AACGTCAAACCTGTCGTCACTGGCACCATCGGTCTGGTTATTTTGCTCCGTCGCGTTGCTCATCACATCGCTGTTGACCGAACGTCTGTTGCCTTTTTGACCCTTCCGGCTTTCCTCAATCCCCTTTTTAAGTCGGGTAATCCTTTTAATCTCCAACAAGAATCGATCAAGCAGACCCTGGGTTGCGATGTTCACGTCTTTGTTGGGTCCGCCAAGGAACTTGATCAATCCCTCCAGGAACTCTGGCAAATAGCTTACGAGTTCTAGGTCAGGGATTGTATCTAGAAGGGTAATCCACGAGACCAGAAAGTTGCGAGTGAACGGTTGGATCACATGTATCCGATCCTTGAGCAGCGGAATGAATCGCGCAAGAGAGAACGCCATGGGAGGGTCCTGGTCTTCCTGATTCTCCAATTCTGGAGTTTCCTTTTCAGGGAGCTGTAGGATCGACACATACGAGGCCGCCGATTCAGCCACAATATCTTTCACCAAGCGATCCAGAAGCTCCGCGCCGTTCTTGACTGATAGCTCCGAATCGGACGCCAGCTATATCCTATGTCAGCATATGCATTACCCCACTTAAACTTGTCGGCACCCCTTACTTTAGCCAGCGCATCGAAAACCTCATTGAAGAATAGCAATATCTCTCCCTTGGCCACTTTGGCTATGTTGTACATGCTCTCGCATGCATAGTATCGCACCCGCGCATCTTGGTCGGAGAAGCATGCGAGCACAGGCGGCACAATTTCACCCAAGTACGGCGCGACTCCTTCCTATATCCCAAGTATCAGCCAAGATGTCATCCAAATCGTTGGTTATAGCCACCACTCACCGATCCCAGTGCAATCGAGGCAGCAGCCAATCCGATCAGACCTCCATTCCGGGCATGGGGTTGGTGCACGGCGTATGCATAGTCGTGGCAGAGCTGTTCAACGATCTTTTGTATTTTCTCCTGCTCTCCTTGGAAAACAGCATCACGGACGATTTTCTCGAGTCTGGTGTAAATAAACCGTGATCAGTATGAGTTCTTTCAAGTGCGGAGAGATGAAACTGGGCTGGCATACTCTAAAGCTCCCTGTTTCCTCCTGTCGTAGAGCTTGTCGTTCAATAACCGCTGGATTGCGTTATCCATGGCTCAAAGCAGCTTATGCTGTAATCTTTCCCCAGCTATGGTCGGCTAAACACTGCTCATAGTGAACCGAAGGTATCTCGGCGCGCTGGGGTATGTCGGGACGGTCAGGAGCTTGAAAGTTGAGTTTGAGTTGGAGGTCTGATGATAAGGCAAATAAGAAAGCTCAGATAGTCCGGCAGCTTCTCGATCTTAGTCACAAGTAAAAATGCAATTGCAGGATGAGGAGAATGCGTTGGCAGTGTGGAGATAGAGAGACCAGAGCGGTGGTGTGACGTAAGGTCTGCGGACGTGAGCCTTACCGCCTTAGGCTTTCCAAGTCTATATTCTCAAGATGAATTCAATACACCTGCAGCTGGTGCCTTATCCGTCTGATTTTATAGAATTAATGCTTTTGTATATGCAAGATTATCTTTAGGGGCAATATTTGTGGTCATGTATCCTGGAGCAAAATGAAAGAAATCCAAGAACAAAGAAGCGAAACCATCCTTGAAGTGCCCCCTTTGTAGATGTATTTTTGGATGTATACAAAGGCAGTAAAAGGCATGGGCCGTACAGTATCTAGAAAGACATATGAAAAGGTATTTCAAAAGACATCGGAGTGCCCTTACAACATCCCTAATATCATGTTGGGCCAAATGGCTCGGATTGTCAAAAACTTGTGTCGCAAAGGACAGAGGCCGCACGAGTGTCCGACTATTCTTACCCTGAGTACTTGAATAAGAAAAGAAAGGTCGAAGATGAATGATTTCGATCTCAGATGTCGAGTATGAGTATCAAAGTCTAGACAGATGAAGAATATGAAACAAGATGAAGAGGAGTACATGACCAAGCAGGCATATCGCAGGAGATATCAAAATCCAAAAGGAGAAGCAGATCCCAACTTTTTGAACATGGCTTCCCGCTGACACATAGAATCATAAAACTGAGACGCAAAGGTAGGTAAACACTCCCAGAAAAGAAAAAAAAAAGCAAAGACATAGTGTGTGGCTGTACAAGAATTCGTCGAGACTCCGCGGAAACATCACGCAAAGGTATAGAACAGAAGAAAAGGTCTTCAGGAAAGAGAGAAAAGGGTGAAAATGCTAAAGACAAGTCGAAGAAAAGGAATGGCGCCGGTAACACAAAGAATCGCTCAGACATGTTGACTTGAGATGTCCCTCACTATCGCGATGACTGACTGCCGCTGCCCCATCCTGATGGGCGCCAGCTGCCAGTGGAGTTTTTAGAGACAGTACTCGTAGGGGAACTTGCGCCCGAGTAGACATATTCGCCGTCGACGTATTGGGCACCCGTGGAGAATGTGCTGCGGTGCTTGCGGCGGGCGTAGCGTTGTTCAAGGCGGTAGAGCTCGAGTTCTGTTTCGATATTAGCCATCTGTCCTAGTATTTCTAGGTCGCATTGCTATTCCGCAGGGTAGTGAGGTAGCATTTTGCTGGGTTGTTTTTCGGGAGTCGCGGAACGTACTGGCTTGTAGCTTATGGATGAGACCCATTGTGACGGTTGAAATACAGTGATCAATATGCTCAAGGTTTGAGCCCGAAAACTTGTTCCTGACTGAAAATGCCAGATGCCAGATGCTGGATATAGAAGGCGACGATCCCACGTGGTGGAACGTAACGCAAGCGGAGCTGTGCCGGAGGGAAAATTGACGTTTCTGTGCAGAACCATGGGTCAGTCCCTGAAGATCAACGTTGACACCCAGTGTTCTGTGTCTCGGTATAAAAAAAGACTGTGCTTACTCGATAACGATTGACGATAGTGGTTTCGGTAAGCGCTTGTGTCAAGGCGGAGACTGAAGATATGCAGGAGAATCCTGGGGAGATGCAGGGTCTGAGATTGATGATTGGACTAGCGACACAGCGGAATAACGGACCGATTTAAAGAACGTAGAGATTTAAAATCAATTGAATGAGAGTAAAGAGATACAATTCCCCAGTCATAAAAGAGTGTACAAAATAGAGAAGAAGAGAAGCCTTGCAGAACAGAAAAGGGGGTGTGGGGGGAAACTCGACTAAATTAGCGTCTCAATATTTGGAGAGGCTAGACAATGCGTATGTGTTTCATCTATACATCTTACTTTCCTACTTAAAAATATGTATTGGTTTCTTTTATAATTGAGAGTATAGAGTGGATAGAATGGAAGATAGTACCAATATAATACTTACTCTATATCTAACCTCCCCCCTTTCGAAGTACTAGAATGATTCTTTTTATAAACACCACGCGACAATCTCGATATTCGATTTGCACAGACCTCTCGACCCGCTAAATTAATCACGCAGTTATACTAGTTAACTAGTAGTTAGCTACTAATTAGCTACTAATACGGCGGTAGAATCTACTAGGTTACTTTTGATAAGTGGATATTGACGTTTGTTATTGTTCTTTACTAGGGAGTTCCTAATCTCTACGGGGCACAACGTGGTCAATTTCAAGGTCTGTGCTGTAAATGGGATTTTACTATTGGATTATCTATTCAAACTATTCCAATAAACAAAACACACCAATTAACCTTATGCCCAATTCAGAAGCCCGAAACAGCCCACCTCAAGTAACTATGAAAGGTGCCAGGAGTGTACGGAGTAGAGGCATATGAATTCGTATGATATTATTTGTAGCGCAAATTTCGTCGAATTGGGGTGTTAAATGGCTGCCGTGTCCATCAAGGACAATAAGCCGATATCCACCCCCGTGAGCATAACCATAACATATCTGGAATCAGCACCTTTTGAAGCCAGCGTGAGCTAATTTCGTCGGAATTCCATCCATTTGGACGGTGGATCTTCGTTCCTCACACGTTCGTAATTATAGCTTTGAATATCGAGATGATAGAGTAGGGCACCTGACCCAATTTGGCCCATCTGATTGTATAGGGCCCTCGCCACGCTTTGTCAGCAGCAAATTAGCCACATCTGCCACCATACTAGGTTGTGGTGCTGCTCCACGGGCATCCATATCCAACATCCATTTTTCTGACCATTCTTCTTCATTTATGGTCAATTTATGGTCATTTGCGCGTACGGTCGGATGTGTTAAATATACATGCAACTTCACGTAAAGACGTGATTTCGTTCTTTTTGATAGCATGGGCGGCTAGCAACATCCTACCCTCTTGCGCGATATAATTTCGAGCAGATTGGGGGCGTTTGGGTGGCATGGTGGGCGCGATTTTCGGTAGGGTGCGGCGCTCGGTAGTGAAGTACCTCGATGATTTTAATGTTGTTTGACAAATAGTAAAAGTCAGGTCGAAAAGGACGATCGCTCACCAAAGGGTGAGCAGGGATATCATTCCAGATGTCCCGAGGTGCCCCAACAATGCCTATCGGGCAATTTCTCATGTGCCTCCACCACCACTAACCTGGACCTTGCACCCCTATCGCGCAAAATGACGCCGAGACTCTCAGAGTTGAAGCTTGAGATAATCCGTTACACGATACCAAACAAATATCTAAAAACAGAACAGATGGCCGAGGCAGCTGAATATAATCAGCGTTCAATCATCAACATCCGTGTTGGAGGATGGCTACTACTAGAGTGGAGAGAAAGCAGAGGAAGAATCATGATCTATTCAAACTAGCAATCCAGGGTTTATATATATACCCTGGGAAAAACCGTCTGCATGCAAACAAGCATCTATGGACTTCATGGGGGCTCCCAACAATCCGCAACAATATTCTTAAGATGAAATCCGGGAAGATGTATGGAAGGCTCTGAGGGACTTGGGTCAAAGATCAGTGAGAACCCCGTGTGTTCAGCGACAATTGATTTTCTCACCGGAATTGATCCAAGAGGTAGAAAAAACGCGTCAATAACAGAGCTTGTCGATGTTCCCTCCCGCTCACTTCATCAACGCCACAGAAACATGCAATCAACGATTCCAACGGTCCACAAATTTGATAACCTTTCTCGCCGTAGCGCTCCGCTCGAACCCATCGAGACCATCCACGAAAACAATACGTGCGAGGTTTTCATTCTCCAGACAGATGAGGAAGAAAGCCTCCATGCGACGCGTAACATCGTCATCGGACATGATTCCTTCCCCTGGAGGACTTCGCAGTAAACGAACCTCCAAAGTAGCCTGCGGCGTGGTCTCCAGCCCGTCCAAAATAATCTGCCACTGTAGAATGCCACATTCCTTGGCATTCATCAAAGACTGAATCATCTCGAACTCGAAATAACAGCCATACCACTTGAAGCTGAAGCGAGTGTCCCGGCCCTTCATGCGCAACACACGGATGTGTTCCCGGTCGGCTTCAGGAATAATGGCAGAGGCCATTTCCGGGAGGGGATGAAGCGAGCCAATATCACCTGTGATATAGCGTACCAGGGGATTGCGGAGTCTTTGAAGAGACGTCTGCACGATGAGGCCTTGCTCACCTTGTGGAAGCGGACTTAGATCCAGCGGAGATTCATCAGATTTGGAGGGCGATATGATCTCAATTAGGACATTGCGCCTGTCAAAGACGAAGTCGGCGCTACTCCCGGTGGGATCCTGTTCCCCCGTTAGATCGGGGTTGCTGATTGCCCAGGCACCTGCTTCTGTGCTCCCCAAGAAGGAAATAATTTTCACACCACTCAGAATCGTGTTGATGAACACTCGCTGGGGTCCAGTGAGGGGTTCCGAGGTGTATACTATTTTATCCAGCTTGATGCGACCACGATCCTCTTGAGACATCATCGAAATATGATAAACGACTTGGACAATCTGGCTGCCATCACCGGTCAAAACATTGACATGATAGTCAGCTAGAGACCTAGCAACTTCTGCAAGTGGCATATTATTTCCGGCGCTGAGAACAGTTGCTCCCGCATTCTCCAATATTTCCGTCGTGAGATCGAGGGACCTACGGGTGTCTTAGTTAAGTGAGCTGTGTCATCTTCTTTGGCGGTTTAGATTCAAGTACCGGTAAAAGCCTCCGGCCAAATGGATGGATAATGCCCAATCTCCCGGCTGAATTACACCACAAATTTTGATAAAATTACCCATCTGCGCTCTTTGTCGACGATTCTCATGCACATCGACTGCGAACATCATGGGAACTCCCCCAGAACCACCGCCAGTGATAGACATATAGGAACTTCGCCGATATGTGTTCAGAGGGTCATAATCATGGGTAAGCCGTGCAATTGCCGTATACCTATAGTAAGTTAGTGCATTTGTACTAATTGTTGCTATCCCACGTTGTCTTACAGCGCTTTTTTAGTGAGCAGTTGCTGCTCGTGCAGAGGAGGTTCCGCTTTTGCACCAATTGACTCTTGAAGTCGCTGGATTGTTCCAATATCCGGAGGATACACAATACCTGGGTTGTAGAATGGGTGGATTCTAGCCACCTCTAGGACTTCTGCCAATGAGTAACTCCCTGTAGCCATTTTGCAAAAGTCTCGCTATAAAGATATAGAAAGTTTCAAAGAAAAGACTTCAGATCTGGTTGGATGGGTAGAAGGAATTGAATATAAACAAGCTGTCACAAGATGCGAAGAAGAAAAAGGAGGAGGAGAAGGAGGAGAAGGAGGGATATAAATGCGGCAAGAGGGTGATCTCGTGATCTCCAGGGAAGAAGGAAACAGAAGAAAAAGCAATCTCATGTATCAAATCCAACCCAACCGACATACTTAGCTTCATACATAGATTGCAGCCAAGAATTTAGACTCGCATTCAACCGCTTGTTCGAGAGAGGCGCAATCGAAGGAATTCATATTAGCAAGCTCTTGCAGTAGCTTTGGATACGATATACATATTACCGCTAGGAAATTTTCAGGACCCTGTTCGAGTCACACGGGTTAACACATTACTGACCAAAGGATGGGTAGATATGAGTTATTTCCTTATTTTTCAGGTTTTATTCAACCCAATCAATTTGATTATGTTGGTTTCGTATGAGGGCACTTCAGTACCACGCGAACACAAGGACTTTTGTTAGAAAGTCAAAGGCAAGAGCGTATGTCATGTTCTCAACGATTGGTCTACATTCAATGGATAGCCTCTGAATTCCCCTTCGATGTTTCATTTTTACTAAGAAGTGACCGTGTCGTGTTACCATTGAATCTTCTCGGATTTGGTTATTTGGAGCTGCGACAGTACCTTGCGTCGGTGCCCTGGCCAGACAAGTTGGAGGCTACAGATACAGCATGTTTACGTTAATTTACAATCTGAAATCTGAGCTGTGTCACCACTCCGGCCAAGTTATTTTTCGTTCGTATGCACTTGGCCAATCCTTGCCTTTTCTTCAGCTTTCTTGCTACTTTCTTCAGGGATCCACTTACTCAGGGTCTTAGCGATTTCCAATATTTGCATTCACCACCTGAGTCTTGAACGGTAGGGGTTACACGCAGAACTTGCGCGTGGCGTACTTGCATGTACGTTAGCTTGGATTGAAAGATCACGCTAAATCAAATGCAGAAGGCTTCATATCACTCAGTGTATAATGAGATAGATCGTAACTCCCCATGTGGCACCAACAACCCGCCAATGGTACTGTATCTAGGAATCAAAGATTAATTGGCAATTGTAATGTGCTCCTCTGTTAGATGGCCAACCTTGGAATCGTATTTTCTAAGTCAGTAATAACAGATATCTACCAACTTACAGTTTGAATATTCCCATTTGGTATGTGGTATTTTTGTGGGAGACTAGTGGTAAGACATGCATGATGCATGTGGACAGCTCGACGGCGAACTAGGGGACTGGGACCAAGCCTCGACGGCAACACCGAAATGGTCCATGGTCCCTATAAGGGAAGAGCACCTATTCTCTTTTTTTAAAAAAAAAAGAAAAGAAAAGAAAACGAAAGAAAGAAAACTGCCAGCAACAGGCATATGACGAGTCAAAATCATTCCCGCAATGCTGGAATTAATCTATGATCATCTGTAGCCTGCATGCAAAAGCACTTTGCATGTTCCGTAGAGATATTGAATATGACTATTGCAGAAGTGCCTCTATACCTGTTCGATCCAAATTCTTTCTTGGAATGATCAGTGAGTTATACAGACTCATTATTGAACGACGATATTTTATTGGTGGATTAGACAACGCAGACACATAGAATGACCCTGGGCTGAGAGTTATTTGCAATGAGAAATTGCCTTCGCCACAATATATTTGGTTTCGCCACTTCTTGTATTTATTAGGAATTCAACAAAAAGAAAAAAAGAAGTCAATTGCCTAAATTCTAGCATTGGATGGTTCCCGCTTCACTGAACAGATCCAGGTGGCACCATCCGACACAGCACATAGTCTCCCGGGGCTGCATCGCCATGTCCCCAGTCCAAGATATCTTCCGTTGGCTGCGTGATAGGTTCCAACCATATGACAACGCTGTGGCGTAGCATCAGACCCCAATAGCACGTCATATTTTGGTTGATCGATTTTGCGCTGCACAACAAAGAGAGTCTTTCCTGTTTTTAGTTTTGGACATCTCATCTGCTCCAGCATAGCTAGCCAACTGGAGTGATCCATTTCATCACCAAAAAGAATACCTGCTCCCTTGCCCCCACGAATTGGTTTTAGAAGATAGCCGTTTCGAAGCATTTCTGACTCTCGGCACTCGGCAATGAACTGATCAAGCGCCATTGAGCCTGGCAGGACGGTGGGGGTTATGCCTCGTTGGAGGCATTTCGCCTGTCTAGGGGTAATGGACTTTCTAGACACCAACGATTCAAGTTCTTCTCGTACAAGACCAAGCATCCTCTTGTCATGGGCAAGTAGGATTGTTCGCATGTCGTTAAAGCAGCGAACACAGATCTGACGTCTCATCTCTGGCTCAAGAGCATTGAGCTCTCGTTGGTGGAGCTCAAGGCCAATTTGGTAAACCTCTTCCACGACTTCGCCGGACTTTGTCATAATAGTGTTCGTAGCACCTGCCTGGGCGAGACAATATAATTTAAATCCAGTAACCTCAGAGGGATCTGGGATGATTCGGAGTGTTTCTGGAGTTATAAGTCGCGGTTTTATACCAAGTCGCATTTTGGCAAACTCAATAAACATAAAGATATCAATCCCATGTTCCTCCCCTTTGACAAGGTGCAAAGGGAGCTTTGTATCAAACAGTTCTAGTAGTCCTCCGAAAATCTAAACATAGCAAATTATTTTAGTATACTATCCAGAGAATAGAGTAGATCTAGCCTTACTTCTTCAGCATCTGTGGCATGTGTAAGACCACGAGACTTCAGGTGAAATGCCGAGAGCGAGTCTTGACCAAAGCCGCCATGCATAAAGCCGTTCCAGCAAAATCTTGCATTAATCTCGCAAATTCGGAATACTTCCATGCCAGATTCGTCAATTTCAACCAAGAAGTCTGGTCGCCAGGATCCCTGTCTCTCACTCCACGGTTGAAAAAGGTGCTTGTTCAAGTGCATCCACTTCCGTAAGCATAATTAATTAGTATAATATCATATATTAGTACCGAAAATAAAGGAAATATTGACTTACACGCAGCAGATCTTCCTCCTCCTGCTCTAATGGCATCCGCTGAGGAAATTGGGCTTGCTCATCGGTCCACCATCGATCAATGATATCCTCGATTGCAAGATTCAAGGCCTGGTGCAAGTCGCTCAACTCATCATGATGCTGATCCGTAATCAGTACCGGATGAGGACAAGCTGCATTCAAGGATCCAGCAGGCCAAGTGGAAGACCATTTTCTCAGTCTTTCAACGTAAGGGGCGCGGCCCTTGTTCAAGAGACCAGTGTCTCGATCCTTCGATGACACAAACGAAAAGTCCACCGCATCTGCAAAGCAGATTTGCTGAAGCCGATCTGAGAATACGTTTTTCATGTTGCGGACGCTTCGTGATGGTGATGAATAGAAGGGGAAACCGGATAGAGAATCCTAGCCTCTGTAAGACCAATAGTCCTAGTTAGCCAACTAGTTAGTTAGTTAGTTATTTAACTAACAACATCAATTAGCTAATAATAATTGCCAATCTTGAGCTATCAACATCTCTCTATGTTGTATGAACATGCATCCATGCATCCAGACAAATAGGCCGCCCATGGCCCTTTGCTGACGATACATGGAATAGCACAAGCTAGTGTAAGAGTCCAATGCAATGTAACCTTGATCCACGTCCCTCCAAGTTTTTGGAATGATGATGATCTTGGGTAACTCGTTTGTTACACATAGGAGGGTAAAATCCGCAACTCAATAGGACATGGCGGCGCGTATGGTGGCATAAATGGGGCGGTACTAGGAGTTACTAGCTCAGATACCTCATTCAAATGTAAATTTACATTCGATACAGATCTGAAATTCCCCACATCGTTCAGCGGTAAGGTCCGAAGCGTCCATTTTTCGCATTTCGTCGGACTCGCCGGAGATGTCGGATGGGTGTTCCTTGTTTTGTTGGCAACGTACCCCATACTCCGTATACTCCGTGTATATATATATTTGTAATGTTAAAAGGGTTAGGCCTTGCTAATCCTTGTTGCAATCTTTCCCCTAAGAATTCGATGCATACCCTTGGAGATGAGGTTTAATCTTGCTCGACACTAGTAGGAATCGAACATATCACATGTAGCTCGCCACCAAACAAAAGCCTGCCAGGATGTGAGAATTTCAGACTATATACCATCATGAAATATCCTTCTGCCATCTTGAACCGCTCAGTAGCCATCCCCTAAAGCTGTAAAATCTAGCATGGCAATTGTATTCTATTTGTTATCCTCTTTTCTATTTATTCTCTTTTACTTCTAACGGAATCGGACGACTGATGCCGGTCATAAATTGGATTCACCAGCAATTGCCATCCTAGATGAATAACTATAGACTAGATCGATCAAAGGATCATCGTGGTGCAGAAAATGATCTGTCCGGTGGTTAATCTACTCTGCGGATCCCACTTGTGATGATATTTGCGCACATGCATAAGCGAACAAGAAGTTGCAAGGATTGCCACGGAGTATAGAGGCTGAGGGTTTCACTGTGTATTTTTGGTATTTTTGGTATTTTTGTGCTTACATTTGTGACAATCTCATGCACCTTTCGATTGCAGCGTGAACATGTTGCTGTATGCCACTTTACGAACTCCACGAAGGCTCCACCCCCTGCACTTGGGCTAGTATTTGGCAAATATACGATCCAAGTTTATACCAAGTCCCTGGTCTTTGCCATGTTTCCATTCGACCTCAAACCCTTTGCTCAGACTGGAAACTACAACCATTCCCTCGGGATGCGTGACCACCATGAGAGGCTGCCAATGGGCTACAAATGGCGTTCATCCAAATGGTTTATCATTGCAACCATCTCAATCGCGTTATATGCTGGTTTGTTGAACCCCCACTGCCTTGGGAACACACGCTGATACCAAGTAGAGACATTTCTCTATGGATTTCTGGTCCCTTTCCTCGGTGACATGCTTCTGAATCGCCTTCATGTCCCACATTCGAAAATCCAGGAGTTGACATCTGCTGTACTTGCCGTCCATGGGGCACTCGCCATAATCGCTGGCCCTATTATTGGGCACTTTAGCGATCGGAGCCACAACCGCAAGACTCCGTTGCTGTTATCTCTTGGTGCGTCTATCATCGGGACTTGTATGGTTGCAGTTTCTCGTTCGGTTCTTTTCCTCTTTCTAGGCCGTGCGGTGCAAGGAATCGCAGGGTCTGCAGTGTGGATCATCGGCTTCGCAACAGTCGCTGATACCGTCAGTCCGAATAATATGGGCTCAGCAATGGGACTGGTGATGTCATTTGCCAACTCGGGGACGATTAGCGGACCTGCAATCTCTGGGCTGCTGTACGAGAGTGTAGGTTACTGGGTGCTATGGTCAATTCCGTTACTGGTCCTAACTATAGATCTTGTCGCGCGCGTGCTTATGGTGGACAATCCGTCGGAAGCTCTACCGTCTGACCGTACATTGGAGACGGATAATGTACCACTATTATATGGAAGCGAAGAAAACCCATCTGGAATCGGGGGTGTCTGGCGTATTTTGTTATGCAATGGTCGAGTTCTGACATGCTTGTTGATTACATTTTCAAGCATGAGTGTAAGTACGAGCTTGCACGCGACGCTTCCTTTGTATATCCACAAGCAATTCGGCTGGGGTTCGAGTGCTAGTGGACTACTATTTGCTGGTTTTGTCATTCCAGGTGTCTTGCTCGGTCCCTTCGCCGGCTGGGTCCGTGACAAATATGGCGCACGATACCCTGTAGTAGTCGGCGCTATTCTCCAGGCGTTGGTACTCAGCCTTTCAGGTGTCGCGGGAGGCGATCGTTTCTCCTGGTCCGGGGCACAGAATGCCGGCAAAGTCATCTATTCAGTATGTCTCATTACTATTGGCATATTGCGACCATTCGTGTCTGGTATTGCACCCGCCGAGTTGACCGGTAAGTCGCCTTTTTTTTCTTCGGGATTTGAATATGACGATACTTAAAAAGATATTGGCAGATACCGCCAAAAGGATCCAGGAAAATACCTCAAGGACTTTGGGGGGCGAAGGAGGCGTGTCACGTGTAATCGCTATGATGGACGTCGCTGCCTCCCTCGGCATGATGGTTGGCCCAATCATGGGTGGCTTTCTTAAGGAACTGGTCGGGTACGAGGGTATGAGTTTGACGTGGAGTAAGTCATTGTTATGATATGCATCAGGATTTATGATATGGATCGCTAACAGTCAAAGGTCTAACTTATGTTTTACTTGTTATGTTTGCAATGCACTTTTTAGAATCCCAGGAATCGAAGGAAGCGTCCTCTGTTGAGGAAAATGCGGATTGTTAGATTATATATTCAGCCCTATATATACTTCGAATTAATAGGCTAAAACTAGCGGGCTTTTTTTTTAATATAATATTGAGACCCTGATGGGTGTCTGTTTAATAGTTACAATTTCGACTTGACCAAATCGGGAAGATTTAATAACAATTTAGTAAAACAGCAATTTCTCCCTTTCGAGTTAACGGAGTGCACATTTCCAACAAGGCGCGATTTGCTGTAGAAAGGACAGTCATTTCCCACGCGCTCTCGCCCTGATTCACGCTGTATCTACTGCGTAACTAGTCATCCTTTTCACTCTAGCGACATGCATCGTATTATTTACTGGGGTTGGTAAAATTACGACATGAATCGTCCAGTATTGTCTGTTTATGTTAATTACAGGCCCATACCTACTGCACCTAGTAGTATGTGTCACATATGAATGGAAACAAGCATGGTACATACTTGGTTCCAGAACACCGGTACATGATACCTCGACGCCACGCAGTATATAATATAACTGGATATGCATTATCTATATAAGTCAATGTGTGCAACCAAAGTGATAGATTTTTGCGTTCAGAAAGTCTCCATCCCAAAATGCAGCGACTTCTTCGTTCTCTTCATACAATCGGACCAAAGGCTGCCAGCCATTGCAGTCGACCCATCAGTAAGTCTAGACATGTCAACGGAGCTCAACATAGTACTAACGACTACAAGGAGACCATAAAATCTCAAGCCTTGTCCCTCTGATAGATGTCGGCACGGTAGATCTCGCTTTTCAAACCTCCCATCTAAAGGCTGTCCACGATACACTTGAAGCGAAGGGAGTCATTCAACTACAGCTGAGATTCCCAGACGAGGATAGTAGTTATCTCCAAAAGCTCATCCTAAACCTTCACAAAGAACATCGGCATGGTCTCCCACTAACCCACAGCGCCGAGCGTGGCTGGTTTTGGGATGTCCGACCTAGCCCCGATAGTTTCCAAAGCCATGGACACCAAGCCCGATCCGAGACAATGCACCGGTTCGATTGGCACACCGACTGCAGTTATGAAAAATGCCCACCTCGATACTTTGCGCTTCAAGTCCTCCAGCCGGATCGTTGCGGTGGCGGGACGCTGTCAGTCCTAAACGTGGACCGACTCCTCACGCTCCTTTCCCCGTTCGCACGCAAATGGCTTTCTACACCCAATTTCCAGATCAATGTTCCGCCTGAGTTCATTAAGGAAGCGGGTACACATCATATCAAGGGGAATCTTCTGGCGGTGAAGAGCGACGGGCAACATGGCGGCAGTCAGCTACGACTAAGAGAGGATATTACCGTCCCATTGACCGAGAACGCGGCAAAGGCACTGGGTGAACTTAAGAATATTCTTTTTGGCAAACTTGCCGAGTCAGAGATTTTGCATATGAAACCAGAGAGTCTACCGCAAGGATCAATCATCATCATGGACAATCAACGTTGGTTACATTCGCGCAACGAGGTGAAAGATCCAAACCGGCATCTTCGCCGAGTTCGATGGGACGCAGTGAAATTCGGAGCTGGCCTATAGCCTCTTTTAACAAACAAAGTCAGCGAAATCACAGTGGTGCTATTCAACACTTACTTTCGATATCCTCGATTTTGGGATAGATCTCAGAATCAGATATGTCATAATATTTCAATATAACTTCCCAGTTAAAACTAGCCAAATTTTTATGAATGAAGTTGGTGACCCTAGCATGCCACACATCACATACAAAGCCATAAATAAGTATGGGACGGGCCGGTGATCCATCGGAGCTCGTGGGAAGGGAGCAATACTCTATTCCTATTTTGTATGATTTTTGGCGCAAAATAACGACCTATCAAGTCAATATGTCAAGATGCATATTGTGGCTGGCTGAAAAATGATTGAAACATAACTAGCAGAGACGTACGTCTACTTAAGGATGTGGAGTCTGTGCTCTGATCGGGATCGGCTGTTCCTTCATATCGGTCTGTCGATCTATACGTTTATGACCTCCATACTCCGTACTTCCTTGGGTCAACTTGATGTTCTCTTGTCAGCCGCAAATACCCAATGACCAGCAATGCTGTATCTACAGTGAACTATAATCTTGAAAGATAGTGGCTCAAAGGACATCACTTTTCACAGTTGAGAATCCCCTACTAACCAGTCTTGTTTCCCTGGCTTTCTCATATTTCTTTAGCGAAAATCAGCGCTTCAAAAAGAACCTCTTAAGTGGCCAATTATCAAAATGATGACATAAAGGGTATGGCCCGAAACGGCCAACAAATTGATGTTTGGCAATGAAAAAGCGGCTCGCTTTGTAATTTGATTAATACACTATTGCCACCTATTAGTTATGTTTGTCGTCTTTAACTGACGCACATCGTGAGCGCCACGCCGATACACCGCGCCCGCCTCTTAGTCACGCGCTACTGTTGTGACACACTCTTCTACCTTCTTAGGATGGGCCGCGATCTCCCTAAAGGTAAAATCCCATGGGCTACCTAGATAGGATCCTAGGATCTAGCTTCCTGGAATAGGTTACGAAATTTATGATTCCTCGCTTCCCAGGATCCCTTACTATTTGGGATGTCCACGGTTTTTGTAGCTCCATAGGATCCTACGATTTCCTAGAGTAGGCCATGGTTTTCGTAACGTCCCAGGATCCCGGAATCTCTAACTTCCTAGGATAGGCTGCAGTTTTTGTAGCTGCCTAGGATTTCATGGATCTTCGTTTCCCAGAATCTCTAACTTCCCTGGCCAGCATATTCAGTCGGTTTTCCAAAAGCCACCTACCTAGACCTTTCAATAGCCCACAGCCCAACCCACAGCCCATTAATAGGCGCCCATCAAAGCCTATCAGAAGCCTATTTCTATACACCAATATAGTCTTGGCATGTATAAAGTAGCTGGCAGTCCTGTCAAACAGGGTCAGGTCACCGATCCCAACAGATAGTTATATATATCGGGTCTATACTTGTTTGTCCATTTGGATAGTACTAATAGTACCTGTACTTACTATGTAATTCCCTAACAAAAGCAAGTACCCCTTGTAAAAAAGTAGAACTTTATGAAAATTAACTTTGGATCTTCAAACCCTTTTGAGTTAATTCATAAGCTTATAAGAAGAAGGTTTCTGTATAGCTTCATATATCGCTCAGGTGGTAGTTTGAATACCTAAAAAAAACCAGAGAAAAATCATTAATTATGCAGCTACGATAAATTGGCATGTTTGTATTGTTTGGGGGCCATTATGGGCGCAAAACCCAGCCCATTTGCGGGTTGTGTTGGGCTTTGGGCTTTGTGGGTCATTGAGAGGTCTACCCACAGGTTCAGGGGGAGACAGTCACCTGATCGTGGGGCTGAGGATGCCAGCACGCTCTCCGGGGGCGGGGACCTTCACTAACAGCATGATTACATCCATGGCCTATTGACTATGTCTTCAACATCAAATGAGTTTGGCGACAAAAACTTGGGGACTCAGGTGGGGGTCAATCACGGACAGATTTACTTTTCGTCCGGTACGTGTCATGACGCCCTTTTTTAAGCCGAGTCAAATTGATTGACAGTCCACTCTTTTGGTTCAGCCCCACGGGAAACCCCACAGCAGAACATAGACAACGGTTCGCATCACCTCGTGCCAGTCAAAGAGACTATGACTAATTATGTAGAGGTGCTTAGGTCACTGGCATTCCCGCAGATGCTAGATCGGAGAGACAATATCGAGCCATGCCATCCCGATACCTGCCAATGGATCTTGGAGTTAGAAAAGTACAAGTCCTGGAGAAGCCAGTCCCGCGGTCTTCTCTGGATCAAGGGCAAGCCAGGTGCGGGAAAATCGACCTTGATGTTATTTCTGCACGATAAACTCAAGAATGACATGGATCATGGTATTCGGCTCGAGTTTTTCTTTACCGCTCGGGGCACAGAGATGCAACGCATACCGCTCGGGATGCTCAGATCGTTACTGTGCCAAATTTTTGATCGCGATGCGACGGCACGCCCTCAGGTGCGCGAGGCCTATGAACAACGATGCAGGCAGTTTGGGTATGGTGAACGTGAATGGGAATGGCCACAGGTGGTGCTAGAAGAGCTACTAGCAGGTACCATCTTGGCATCCGCTAGTCGGCAGCATATAATGATTTTTGTTGATGCTCTGGATGAGGCTGGGGCTGAGTCCGCTCAATACCTGGCAGCATATTTTCATCGACTTATCAATCGTGCGGAAAAAATGAACGTGGCCGTTCAAATTTGCATTTCATGTCGACACTACCCTATTATGGAAAGTGACCCTGCGAGGGAGATTTATATCGAACACCATAACCATGATGATATCGCCAGATATATCAAGGACATCATTGTTGATACGGACGTCGGAGACGCTCCGAGCCAGGAGACGAGGGAAGCACTGACAGAGCAATTGATCCGGCAATGCAATAGGGTGTTCCAATGGGCCCATCTTATAATGCCTCTTATCAGGCAGAAGATTCTCGAAGGGGAATCGTTTGATGAAATCCGTTGCTGGTTATATGAGGTTCCAGCCGGCCTAGAAGAGGTGTATACGTATATTCTGAACAATGTGATCGAAAGGAGGAATCGAGCGCAGTCGTTGTTGTTATTTCAGTGGGTGTCCCTTGCCGAACGCCCCCTGACTGTGACAGAGACGCGGTATGCCTTAGTAGCTCAGAATGTTGACTTAGCATTCCCCCCAAAAGCATGGGAGAGGATCGACGGGTTTGTTGAAAGCAACGGACGTATGAAGCGAAAGATCCAGGCCCTTTCTGGTGGACTTGTTGAAGTAATCTCAACCGAGAATCATCAGGAGACTGTGCAGGTAGTACACCAGTCGGTCGCTGATTTTTTGCGGGCAAAAGGGCTAGGGCTTTTGTGTCACAATATCGGCACCAGCATGTTGCCTATAGATGGCGAAAAGATTATATTTCAATGCCAGGCAACTCTCTATCGAACATGTCTGGTCTATCTAGCCACAGTGCACATACCTCGGAAAATGTTAGGTGAACAGGCCTTCATTCAGGACCACCCGTTGATTGCTTACGCTTCACACTACGTCTTCATTCATGCGGAAAAGGCTGCCGGTTCTCGAGCAGACGTGCTACAAAACGAACAAGATATACTAAAGCAAGTGATTGGTCCATGGACCCAGATTTGCTATATCCAAGATGACTATGGCGGCAGACGCCCACCGGAACGTACGACAATCTTACATGTGGCTGCAGGTGCCAACCTAGTTGATGTTATAGAATCTGTGGTGTCTAACGGCGAAGAGATCACGAAGAAAGACATAATTGGAAATACAGCTTTCCATCTAGCAGCGCGCGGGGGTCATATTACAGCAAGCAAAATACTCCTAGACAAGGGGGCAGACTACGAGGCAAAGAATAAATATGGGATAACACCATTAACTGAGGCGGCTAGGTGTGGGCATGTGAGATTTGTCGAATGGCTCCTATGTGAGGGAGCAAATGTTGAAACAAGTGCGAGAAGTGGAGGTGCATTGCAAGCAGCTTCGTTGGCAGGTCATCAACGTGTGGTGGTAATATTGCTCGGAGCCGGAGCCGATGTTAATGCCCCAGGTGGTAAATATAGCAATGCCCTACAGGCCGCTGCATTCACAGGAAACACAGAAATAGTGCAACTGCTTCTGGAAGCTCAGGCCGATGTTAACGCCCAGGGTGGTTTCTATGGCAATGCCCTACAGGCCGCTGCATACAACAACGGAAACACCGATACAGTGGAACTGCTTCTGGAAACTCAGGCCGATGTTAACGCCCAGGGTGGTTACTTTGGCAATGCCCTACAGGCCGCTGCATTCAACCCAAACACCGAGATACTGCAACTGCTTCTGGAAGCTCAGGCCGATGTCAACGCCCAGGGTGGTGAATATGGCAATGCCCTACAGGCCGCTGCATACAACAACGGAAACACCGAGACAGTGGAACTGCTTTTAGAAGCTCAGGCCGATGTCAACGCCCAGGGTGGTGAATATGGCAATGCCCTACAGGCCGCTTGTGCTACATACAACAACGGAAACACCGAGACAGTGGAACTGCTTCTGGAAGCTCAGGCCGATGTCAACGCCCAGGGTGGTTACTTTGGCAATGCCCTACAGGCCGCTGCATTCACAGGAAACACAGAAATAGTGCAACTGCTTTTAGAAGCTCAGGCCGATGTCAACGCCCAGGGTGGTGAATATGGCAATGCCCTACAGGCCGCTTGTGCTACATACAACAACGGAAACACCGAGACAGTGGAACTGCTTCTGGAAGCTCAGGCCGATGCCAACACCCAGGGTGGTTACTTTGGCAATGCCCTACAGGCCGCTTGTGCTACATACAACGACGGAAACACCGGGACAGTGCAACTGATTCTGGAAGCTCAGGCCGATGTTAACGCCCAGGGTGGTGAATATGGCAATGCCCTACAGGCCGCTTGTGCTATATACAACAACGGAAACACCGAGACAGTGGAACTGCTTCTGGAAGCTCAGGCCGATGTTAACGCCCAGGGTGGTTACTTTGGCAATGCCCTACAGGCCGCTTGTGCTACATACAACGACGGACACACCGGGACAGTGCAACTGCTTCTGGAAGCTCAGGCCGATGTCAACGCCCAGGGTGGTTTCTATGGCAATGCCCTACAGGCCGCTGCATTCAACCAAAACACCGAGATACTGCAACTGCTTCTGGAAGCTCAGGCCGATGTCAACGCCCAGGGTGGTGAATATGGGAATGCCCTACAGGCCGCTTGTGCTACATTCAAAGAACACACCGAGATAGTGCAAATGCTATTAAAATCTCGCGCACATATCAATACCCAAGGTGGTAGACATGGATTGCCTCTCTTAGCAGCTGTTGAAAAGGAAGATTCTGATCTAATTCAGATACTTCTTCAAGCTGGTGCAGATGTGTTGCTTGTAAATGAGCTCGACCAGACTCCTCTTCATATTGCGGCCTTCGCAAATAACCTGGACCTTCTGAATCGATTCCCGCTACTTGCCTCGGGTATCAACAGCCGGGATAAGTTCTTGCAAACCCCGCTTCATCTGGCTATTTGTTTCGGTCACATCGAATTTGCCGAAAAGCTGCTGCATCTCGGTGCCAATCCTGCTCTTCCAGATGGTTATGGCAGAAATGTTCTGGACTGGGTAGTTGGAAATGAAAGGCTGATGCACCAAATCCAAAACCGCTGCCCTCCGATTGTCGTGACCCCTAAGGAAACTCAAGAATTGACTGTTCGTCAATCAATCCTTCAAATCTCAGACACGCTTCTTCGTTCTAAGTTGAACTCCCCATGGCCTCTTTGGCGACAGATAGGCCGATATTTCCTATTTCTCGATGACGTGGACAATGCCCACTATATTTTGCAGCTACATTCATCTCAGCGGGATTCTTCTTACAACCGTATAGATAAAATTGTTTGTCACCTTTGTACAGAGGTGATCACCGGATCTTATTTTGTGTGCAGAGACTGTGCCCATTTGGATGTATGTTCGTCCTGTGTACATGCGCAACCCTACCACAATCGATTACACCAAAATCAAATGCACAAGACTTTTGAAGTGTCAGATGTGCCCGATAACGAGCCCCGGCTCGCTAGCTCAGGACCAGAGCAATTGAGTCATTTTTTGACGAAGATTGTACACGAGCTTTCTGCACCAAAGACCGATATAGCTGAGGCGGAGCCATCAAACGATTCCGTGTCTTACCCACCACCCAAACAGACAGCTCTAGTCCCAAGGCCTATTTTAGGTCGAGCAACACTGTCCTGTGCTCTTTTTTTCGGACTTTCAGCGGTTTTGTTGAGATATTTGTTCTTTTAGATCGCTTTGAATCTATTCCCGAAGTCCATCGTCTCTGACTTGCTATGATTGAAGAACGACTGCTTCCGTGTATAAGTACTTTACAAGAAGCTAGCTATTCTCTTTTGTCATAGGTCTGATAATAACCATGACTGCACATGATACTTGGCATCTTTTGGCCTCCTTGATAGAGATGATTACCTACGTGAGCTCCATAGATATAACCTCAATATTAACGAATTCTAGCTCTAGGTGGGATTGTAGATGGTACCCGTAAAGGCTACATCTAACCTTAGATAAATTAGTCTATTGGTATGTGTTGTGGTGGCCTGAGGCCGCCAGGTTTGTGCCTCAGGCATCAACTCCTCAGAGGTAGATAGTTGGCAGATCCTGCCATTCCATAGCAATCAACTCTCTCCCTCTTTGATTTCTGGCCCTATAACTCGACAGCCGCCACAAAAGTATGAAAGGGTGACTCATAACTCTACAGAAGCTCCGAGTCTGGGAAAATTAGGTACAAGATGTACGGTCTCGCTCAAACACATACTGATGACACTAACTCGATCCTCCCTTGGTATTTACCACGAGCCGACTGATGGTGTCGTGTAACTTCCCGCGGCCGAGCTTCCTTTACACGTCGTCGGCACCTTATTAGCACTCGACGCGCCCCAGCTAGCGGGCACTTTTCCAGCCCCACGACGGGCAGCAGATAGGAACGCCGCATAAGACCAGGTCAAGTCACTAGCAGAGGCCGGAGTGCCGTCGGCCCGAGTGAATTGTTCGGCTAGAGCTCCATCGCTGGGCGTGTACTTGTTGACAACAGCCACAAATCCATCGGCATATGTTTTGACCGCTTTAGTGATGGAAGTGTAAGTGTCCGAAGAGCTGGGATACTTTCCGGTAGCGGCAGATGAAACCAGATCCTTGAAGAAAGGAAGACTAGTTCCGGTGATGGCGAGCGATCCTTGTTGGTCCCACTGGTAAAGAGCGTCATACAGCTGCTCGGCCGCCGCCAGTGTTGTCAAATACCTGGAAATGTCAGCAAAGTTTGAAATTGGTCAAACGAAAGAAAAAGGTTCGCATACCATGGGTTGCCGCCCTGGTAAGTGTCTTCGGCATAACGTCCAACAGCAACGGCAGTTCCAGCCTTCTTACCGCTGTTCACATCATAGACCGAACGGAACGAGTCAACATATAGCTTGTGGTTTGACAGAGCACGAGCAGAGCAAGGCTGGAAGGTAATGTCATCGCAAGTACCCTTAGGGTCGAAGTTTCCGATCGAGGCAAGCACGGAGTTCGCATCGAGACCAGTTCGACCATTGTCAGCCAGGTTGGAAACGACAGCCTTGCCATTCCAGAAGGATTGCAGGAAGCATAGGACCTGAGGCGCCTGGGAATCACATCCATCGCAGGTCTCTCCCAGCGCCTTGGCAAATGCGCTGCCCTCCACCAAGGCACGATGTTGGGCAGCAATAGTGAAGAATGAGGAGCCCTGGACCTCCTCCCACAGATCGAACCCGGTTTGGTTCCAGTATTGCGCGACATAGCTGAGATCATTTTGCACGATGGGCCAAATGTTCGACTTGACGACAGACTCCTTCTTTTTCGAAATCAAATGGTTACCATAGGTGATCAGAGCTGTCGCTCGCAGAGCGGGTCCATCACGCTGCGGACGGCCCCAAGCATCTGTGAAGGCAGTCAAGTCCACATTATACTTGGGCTCTGCAAGTCCTGATCCATCAGACAAGTCGCCAGATGGGTTAGACACAGCCTGCAGCTTCGCTTGAGCAGAGATGTAATCCTGGATAGTAGATTCCAGCGACGTATCTCCGGCAATAAACTCATCAATCAAGACCTTGAATGTCAAGGCTGCATCACGAGTCCAGGTATAAAAGTCTATCGGCTATTAGTTACTGTCATTCAAATTCGAGGAGGGATGGATTCACAATCGGGGTCCGATTTGGATGGGGATGCTACCACAATGCCGGCAGATGCTCCAGAAACAGCAGACCCATCGGCGCCAATGTTGTTTAGGATGCCTTTAAGAGCACCAGCAGTATCCAAGTCGCGTGCATGGAGATCGCGAGCAGGCAAAGCAGATGATAGTACACCTGGTGCCAACAGCGCAGTCAGAACATTCAATGTTAACATGATGTCGGGATGTCGGGATGATTTTGTGATTTTGTGATCTGCACAATATTATGGAGATCCCAGCCTCTTTATATATTCTCCAACCACTACTCCGTACTATAAATCGGAAATTAGGTATCCCAACAGGCAGGCACCTCGGGAATTGAGTTTCACATTGATCCCTCATGTGAAAAATTCAAGGATACTGAATGACTGAATGAGGTGCTGTTGGTGCTGTTCAATAGAAAGCCGTTTCAAGTGGACACAGAGTTACATTGAGTCCATATTGATCGTGATCGACATGGCAGATCGGCGTTGACAGATCCCGAACCGAGTAAGGCTAATCCGATAAATCACCGGTTGTGCTCCGCATTTTCATCATCGCCAAATGTCTCAAGTCGTAGCTGATAATATTTCGATACTTTCCCGATAACCTCCCGAGAGACAGGGTATCCCATCACCACGACATACTAATAGGAACAGGGAACAATGACGCAGATCTGCCTTCAAACTCGGAAGGTTAGGCGGATGCCAGTCATCGTCTTCATAGCCCAACCCAACCCAACCCATTAAATGGGCCACAAACAATACGAACGTGCCAATTTATCGTAGCTACATAATCATAAAGATTCACTTTTTACAAGGGGTACTTCTTTCTGTTAGGTAATTACATAGTAAGTAAAGGTACCATTAGTACTACTACAATTGACATCCTAGGTATAACTATATATTATCTCTTCATACTAACACTCAGTAATCCTCAATCCGTGTCTATTGGAACTTTTGGGGGTGATTGTATATGAAATTTTCATAAAATCTAGCATCATAATGCTAAAATCAGTAAAAATTGAGGGCCATCAAAATGTAGTCGCAAGAGCAAAGGTCCACGGGTGCTTAATAGATGACTCTAAGCAGTCTGAGTAATCAATGAGCGTTTCCAACCTTGCACGCCCTAGGTAAAGGTTAGATCTCACTGAATAATCTCGGTGAGTCTGACTCTGACCGCCCTCATAAAAGCGGCGAAATTAAGTACATATAGCTACCTAGGTAGTTACTTTTTATTGTGACGGCTACGGAATTGTAGGGCCAGAAAGTAAGGAGGGAGAGAGTTGATTGCTATGGAATGGCAGGATCTGCCAACTATCTACCTGCTGAGGGGTTAATGCCTGAGGCACCCATGTTGCAGCCTAAGGCCACAACAACAACACTTTTGAACTTCAGTGTTCACTCCAGTTTTCTCCAGTATCACATATTGCCATTCAGGCACAAGAAATTATACCTATATAGAGATGAATTCCCCATCAGATACCGTGACACCAGACTGCACGCCGAAGAGGAAACCCAGAACCTGCCCTCACTGTAAGCGTCATTTTCGCCGCCACGAACATCTCCAACGGCACATTCGAATTCGTATGTCCAGACATCTGAAAGACAATCCTCACATCTAGAGACTCATGCCTTCCAGATACAAACGAAAAACCATACAAGTGTTCATGTGGTGTTTCTTTTGGCCGGCGCGATCTCCTAAAGCGTCATGAGGACATTGGCCATTCTTCAATAACCCCGTCATTGCAAGAGCCATCGCCTGTGACTACCGATGACAGTCAAAGTCACCCATCACAGGGAAATAATGTCGTTACGACACATCACCCCAGCACATCCTTTTGGGAACTTCCTGAGCTTCAAGGCGCGGATGTGTCGGCTGGAACGATTCATCGGCAGGAACCACTTCCCGATCTTCAATTTGAAGGTATACGGCATCCCTTCTACTTCACTTGGATTTGCGGAAAAATATTCTAACTAGTTTAGGAGGCTCGCTTTTTAATGCCCAGGATCTCTTGGTATTGCAGGACTTGGAATCGTTCAGCCATAATATGGGGCTCAACACTGAATGGGCTCTGCCTTCCGAGCCTAGTATTGTTCAAATCGTTGCGGGAGAATCGAACCTAAATCCTGTCTTTACGGGGTCTACTGGAAATATGTCGCAAGAGCGGCCCTCTTCACGTTCGGGTCAAGATCAGTCTCTAAGCCGACTCCCCATTGAACGAGAATCAGTTGGTAAATCTCCTTGAGCTAAATTTCTATTTGCCTACATGATTACTGACGGTAATAAACTAGCCGAGTTTGGAGTATTAACTTTACCCATTGTGAGAATCACTGATGACCACCGCAATCGCCTTCTTCGAGCTCTGGGTCGATCTCAGACGGCGATGCACGAACCCCTTTTTCCATCCTGTCACTCACTTACAAGATTCGTAAATGGATTCTTTGATGGTTTCTATCCTCATATGCCCGTCGTCCATATCCCAACATTCAAAGCAGAGGACTGTGAGCCGGAAATAATTTTGGCCATGGCTGCGCTTGGCGCGCAGTATCGGCATGAACATCGGAAAGCTGTTATACTTTTTTTTTGGGCGGCAAAGGAGACTTTGCAACGAAATTCACAGGAAAGGGAAAGGATGGAATTGAACAACAATATTCCATCCAGTGCTGGACAGGCAACATGTCCCCAAACACGGAGCTCGGGGCTCGAAAACTTGCCATACAGACAATTGATGCGCGAGGCACGATGTGCTCTCTATCTAATTGCATTTGCAACTTGGCAAAGTGAGCCAGATATCATACGAGATGCATTCAACCTTCAAAGCTTTCTCGCCAGATGTGTAAGAGAGTGCCAACTCAATGAGACAGAAGAATCATTACAACCGGGATTAGAGTGGTACTCCTGGGTACAGCAAGAATCAGACAGAAGAGTCAAACTGTTCTCCTTTGCTCTTCTTAATATACACAGTATAGCGTTCGCTACTCCGCCAGCGATACTGAGTGACGAAGTTCATCTCCGTCTTCCATGCACCTGTTTCGAGTGGATCGCTCCAAACAAAGAGAAATGGTCTATGGTGCACAAATCAGGCAATGCACAGCAAATGCTTTTTCAAGAAGCTCTCTCTCACCTGTTGAATGGCTCCCACGAACCGCATCTACTGAACTCACAACCGGTTCCATCTCCTTTAGCAAACTACATTCTTTTACATGCTCTGATCCAAAGAATCATGCTTGTTCAGCGGGCGTTTAACCCACACACCGACGAGGATCATACCCTGCTCAATCACCAGAAGGAATCTTCTAGGTAAGAAGCCATCAATATATTTTCAATGATCCCAGATACTGAACCTTGTTCTTCCACAGGAAGGCTCTTCACACATGGACGTCTCAGTGGCAACGAGCCCCCGAATCAAGTCTTGACCCTCGAAATCCCAACGGACCTGTCACTTTCACCTCCACGGCATTGCTCGGAGTTGCATATGTTCGACTGGCGTTCAATATAGGTTCATACAATATCCTTGGAAGTCGAGACCCACAGGAAATTGCCGAGAGACTACGCCAAATGCCGCGTCTCCCTAGTGGGCCTCATTTGCTTCCCGCAATATTGCATGCGACACATGCTCTGAGCATACCAGTCAAATTGGGCGTCAGTTTCGTCTCTCGCAGCCATGCATTTGTGTGGAGTATTCAGCATTCACTATGTGGTTTGGAATTTGCAATCTTCCTCAGCAAATGGCTGTTCTGTATATCGGGCTGTCAGAAAACCCGGCCTCTTGATGGTATGTGTATCCCTTCCCCCAAGAGTTAGCAATATGCTGATATGGTTAGAACATGAGAGCCGCCTTATTAGCTGGATAGGGGATATTGTTGAAGAGGGCAGGACATCAGGCGATGAAGACCTTTGGTCTAGGCCCACATTACCATCTAATTGTGCTTACTTGGGCTTCGCCGTTATAAAGTTATGGGCTACATTAATAAAAGGAAATGACCAGTGGGCGATATTGAGGGTAATTGGAGAGGGTCTGGATACATATGCTAATATTTGCGAGCGAATGTTCACCAGTTCTTTGGCAGAGGCCAAATGAATACATCCTCCTTTTGCTCCGATTTATTCACATAGTCAGCAATTTCGGTACAAATTTTGACCTGCGTCGCAAGGCCTCTCCGCAGTGATAGAGCGAGTAAATTCCAATCACACATCCAATAGTCAGACCGGCCAACAGGCTGCATCCAGGGCCAACCCCTAGGTTTTCATAGAGTGGTCTCGAAAACACGACAGCGCCACACGCAAAAGCACTTCGGGTGAAATCAGTGGCGGCAAACACGCTGGCTGCATATTGCGGGTAACATGCAGGGATGTAGAGGAAGACACATTGCATCAAGATGAACACGGATGCTGGGTAGATGACGATTCCTATTGTCGGTACGATCCAATGGATGTTTGGGTTTGCAGCCCAGCCAAAAAGCAACAGGCCAATAGACGGACCAAAGCATGCAATGAGGGCAGGGACTAAGACGTCTTCCGGCTTTCGAAGTCCTCTTGACTTGGGTGTGAAGATCTTGTAAATGTAGAGGTTATAAACTGCGAATGATATGATCGTTCCGACAACAATAGCCAAGAAAGCTAACCCCATCTCTCCCAGATTAAACCCGTAGATCCCCTGGTAGACAATTGGGAAAGCTTCAAAGAACGAATAGTAAATGCCGTATGTCAGGGATGTGTAACAATTCAAAAACAGGATTGCCGGGTCAAGAAAGGTGATCTTCGAGGGAATAAGCAGCGACTCTTGTACAACCGAGTAGAAAGAGATGCCTGCTTGTGCGATATCCGCCGCAGTCTGGTAGCTATAAGGTCTATTGATCCCCGTCTTCTCCAAACGCCGAGCCCGTCGATGAAGGATAGTGGCCGGGCTGGTCTCCGGCAACAACAAGAGCAGGACAAGAATGGGACCAGCGGCTATCAAAATCTCCCACATTGAGAACCGCCAGCCAAGTATGGGAATCGCGAAACCAGATGCTACTACCCCAATGGCCGGAGCGCAGAAAACGCAAAATACCCATGTTGTCATCGCGTGTGGAAGGACGTCTGGTGAGTAGACGTCTGCGATTGAGGCGCCTCCCGTGGCCAAACAAGGACTTCCGAAAAATCCTTGAAGGAAACGCAGGAAGTAAAATCCAATTGCGTCGGGTGCCAGTGCTGTAGGAATACTGACGATGCAGAAGAGGAAGAAGGAGATGGCATATGGAAGGTTTCGTCCAATGCGAGGGATTTCGCTCAGAGGGCTGAAGAAGAGAGGGCCGGTACCGTATCCCAAACTGAATTCGGGTCAGCATGTAATATCAACAAATGATTTAAGGAAATCAAGTCATTTGACGTACACATAAAGAGCAAGGCCAAGGGATGCCTCTGCGTTGTTCACGCCGAATTCTTCAATAAATGCATTCTCCCCCGGGGTGTAAATTGGCGCGGCCATATAAACCACAAAGCTGTAAATACCGATAACAAAGAGGATAAAGGCCTTTTTCGGTTGGGACCAGTTGTGGGGGTTTTCTTCGTCATGCTCGGGGTACCATTCGACTAGTATTGTCTTCTCATCGTAAAATGCGCATTCTGGTTGCCATTCAAGATACTCTTCATTATACTTCAACCAAGAAGGCGTACAAAATTGGCGCAAAAATTGCCCGACGATGCTGTCGCGTAGCCATTGAAGATGCATTTCGTCGAGCTGCTATTAGGGTTAGACAAGAAAACGATGCAGGCCTCTGGGAAGACTAACAAGATTCAGTATACCAGTCGTCTTATACAAAACTCCAGATTCATTATTAATTCTAGCATGATTTGTCAGGTCTGGTCGCTAAGAAGAAAATGAAGTCTCCGAACAAGTGTGGAGGTGGTTGTTGGAGGTGATTGAATTATTCAGACCGACATGAACATACCTCCACCCAAAGGACTTTTCAGGCACAATCGACAAAGCGAAAGATTGAAAACTGTTTACTCTTTTTGCATATTATGTGCGGGGCTCATATATTTACATAGCCTATGGGAGATTTGAACTACTCGTACATCTTTCTACGATACACTTTCTACGATACTCGGGCAAATGAAACAGTACGTGCAGGTGATTCAAGGCCTGACCAGGGCAATCAATAAGTGGCCTTGAATTCCAGTCTTTATTCATCTTAGACATAGCTTTTATTTAGATACATCTAAAGACTCCAAAGTCTTGTTTTGACTTTTCATTCATGTTTGATGGCCTCGACCTCAATCTCAATCTTCATCGCCGGAAACGCCAATCGAGGGACAGCAAGAGAAGTCCAAATAGGACGATGGTTAGGAATGCGGTCCTTCAACTTTCGCACACAGTAATCGAACGAGGAATCAATATCGACGTGGTACGAGCGAATCGAATAGACATCTTCCCATCCGCGTAGGCCCGTCGCCCGGAGAACTTTGTCCACATTTACAAAGGCGAGATCAACTTGGCCATTGATGTTGTTGGCGTCCAAATCACCAGTCTCGGTCCACCCTCCTTGTCCGGCACATTTGACGATATTTCCAAGCACAACCGCTTGGGAGTAGTGGCATAGATCGCTGTGCTTTTGACCAGCACCCTCTTCGTTGATGTAGGTAAGAGAGGACATTGTGGTTGCAGTAGATAGATAGTTCAAATGCAGATGACGAGTAGACCAATCTCTTGGGATTGGGTCCAAATATTCTAAGGATGACGTCTTATATATGAGCGGTGGAGGTGTATTGTAGAATCTAGAGGATTATATGAGAAACGATGTATGTAGATTCAGAATGTAAGGATTGGACAGAGGAGAAAGGAAGAAGAAGAGGAGAGAGAGAGAGAACTATCTACATGGGTGGATCTGTCTCATAGTGGGTCCATGGGTGCCTAAGGCACCCAGGCACCCAACAAGGTGGTTGGAGGCTGTTGGAGATGTTACCACATGCGGTATATACCGACCCCACAGTATCTCCAAACATCTCCAACCATCTCCATGCGTGAGGGTCAAAATATTTCAGGTCGAATTCTGCACGACATTACAAATCAGCGATTGAAGGAATACCTAGGTACCTATGGTTTATAAAAGAGCATATGGTTGGATACTACACTCATTCAGAGATTAATTGATAATACTCGTCTCCCTAAAGACCTCACATTTGCTACCCATACAACCGATTGCATTAAAGACGTCATGTCTGGCCTATTCCAACCTCTCCGCATTGGCGGCGTTGAATTACAGCACCGAGTTGTCATGGCTCCTCTCACTCGCCTGCGCGCCGATGCGGAACACGTTCCCCTTCCTATGGCCACCACATACTACGAACAACGCGCCTCAGTCCCTGGGACATTGATTATTGCCGAAGCAACCCAAATCTCCGCCTCCGAGGGTGGAATACCCCATGGTCCAGGAATCTGGACCGAAGCGCAAATTCAAGGATGGAAAAAAATCACTGATGCTGTCCACGCCAAAGGCAGCTATATTTATTGCCAGTTGATTGCACTTGGTCGAGCGGCTGATCCAGATCAATTGAAAAAGGAGGGAGGGTATGATCTGCTTGCACCTAGTCCTATTCCAATGGAATCTGGAATGCCGGCTCCCAAGGGACTTAGCGAGGAACAGATCTCAAGAATTGTTAGCAATTTTGCAATTGCAGCAAAGAATGCAATTCGTGCTGGATTCGACGGCGTTGAGGTTCATGGAGCGAATGGGTATCTCGTTGATCAGTTCCTCCAAGATGTGTCAAACAAGCGACAGGATCAATGGGGTGGGAGTGTTCCGAACCGCGCCCGGTTCGGTCTGGATGTCGCTAAGGCCTTGGTGGATGCCGTTGGCCCTGAGAGGGTTGGATTCCGACTCAGCCCATGGAATACCTGGCAGAGCATGAAAATGACCGACCCTGTTCCCCAATTTGCCTACTTTGTAGAGCAGTTGAAACAGCTCAAGCTTGCGTATCTCCATGTCATCGAGTCTCGTGTGATCAACAGTGTGGACTGTGAGAAGACGGAGGGAATCAACTTCTTACTTGATATCTGGGGCAGAACTTCTCCTGTACTTGTTGCAGGCGGGTATAACGCGGAGAATGTCCAAGTTGCCATGGAAGGAGAGTACAAAAACAATGACGTCGCTGTTGTCTTTGGTCGTCACTTCCTCGCGAATCCCGATCTACCATTCCGGCTTCGGCATCAACTTCCCCTAAATGGTTATGACCGGTCTAGCTTCTACACCGCTACGCAAGAAAAAAGGCTACGCAGATTATCCATTCAGTACAGAGTTCACGAAGATATAAAGAAGTCGGTCATTTTCGACCTCAGTTCATTTTGGGTATAAAGAGAGATATGAAGTCTGGCTTGTGATATTTACACAAATATGAGGTATCTAGTTAAAGAAGAAACGTTTCGAGGTAGATCACCGCCTGAGAGGCAGCTATTATTTCTACATAAAGAAATGTTCGGAGGGATCCCCGCTTGATCATCAATCCGGGGTGATTGTATTTATTTAAGGCGCGTCAATGCATGCTCTCAAAGACCGTTCTCAACAACAAAACGGAAAGGGAAAGAAAGCTATGAAGTGGCAGAGAAAAAACTCTAGGGCTATGCGGACCCCAATCTCCAAGTTGATGCCTGAGGTATCAACACCTCGTTTGGTATATAGCCGTGCCAAGCACCCAACACCAGGTCCCCTATCATGGAGCAGATCGTGGAGCACTATGTGGGTTATGTTTTTTACTGTGGTGATACCATAATAAATAACTAACACCTAGGCCGATAAATGGGTAGACTTTTTGCTGTGCCAATAGTGTTTACCAATGATATTCAATACCATTACCAGGCTATGTGGTAATCTATCACTGGGGATTTCAACTGTAATACACATTTCTTTCAAGCAAAAAGCGAACGCCACAACCACCGATCTCGTTCCGTATCTCTTCACCTTTCGCTTCGCCGCGGTGACGACTGGGATTTCGGTCTTTCTTATTCCGTTCGTGAAAATTGGGAAGTAGGGTGGCCCGGCAATCAAAACAGATCACTAGTGACATCCAGGAAATCCTGCCCTGTAAGGACAATGTCTCCCTCTCCTTGTGCCGGTGGTCTATCATACACTGCAACAAATGGTAGTGTGAGCGGGGCACTAGTCACGCCATTAGCGGAAAATCTCGACCTCGTGTGCGCAGTAAGCATGCTGCAACACTGCTGGCTGTTGGACTAGTGGGGGGACGTTCGGACTTTGTTGGCACAAGGTTTGAATGTATGCCCCTTGTGAGGGGTCGCGGGCTGTTCGGTGGCGCCAGTTGCCATACTTCGATAAAGACTCTATCTTTTCGTTTCGAAATAGAGATGACCAAGACGATTCGAACCTCGCCGGAAGAGTTAGACAGCCACCATATAGCATCTTATCTAAGCTGAGATAACGATTTAGATAGCCCCGTCTCAATAGTGAGGGTTGGCCAGCCGGGAGGGAGCCCGGGGGCAGACGGGCGGCGAGATGGCGGAAGAAATCCCTAGTCACCTTGTTTCCCCTTGTTCGCCGTTGGCTTATACGTCGTGGTAGCCACCCACTTCCTGCTAGTTGTCGACATAAGTCCCATTGCGATAAGAGCAAGATCCAGTACCCTAGTAAACCCATCTGTGACCGAGTCGTGCTCGAAGGAAGGGACTATCTTAAGTAGCCCAGCATGCCCTTCCCATGCAAACCGATACTCGATTCCTTCTAAGCAACTATGGTCTTCATCGAGTTTTTGTATAGCTGACTTAGATAAGTCGAGAATGACAAGCCACTGGTTTTCTGACTTTGATGACTGAAGGGACTCGACAAGGAATTTGGCACAGGTACGGAGCAACTTAAAGACGTATCCTTCCGGAAGTTTGCTCATGAGAGACGATGAGCGTAGTACGGGCGACTAAGTATGCCATCCGACACATAACTCTCTCATTGGTTATTACTGCCTTCTTGAAGCATTTACTATTTCTATACTATACACTTTATAGATTCAATTCAGGTTCAATTCAGATTCAGTTCAGATTCACTTCAGATTCAGTTCAGATTCAGTTCAGATTCACTTCAGATTCACTTCAGATTCACTTCAGATTCACTTCAACATGATACTTGTGAAGTGAGAGTGGATCTAAATTATTGCCTTGCAATATAAACCAATGAGAGAGTTATATATCGGGTGGCATACTTAGTCGCCCGTAGATGAGGAATGGACGGTACGAGAAACGGACTCAGGAAGAGATACTCGGGCCTGTAGAGCCATCGGTTTTTAGAGACGCCATTTTTGCGGTACTTGAGGAGGAAAGTCGGTTGAAGCGTGAAGAAAAGGATATGTTAAAGGAACGACGAAGAGGCAAAGTACATACTCTGGAGTGCTCTTCCTCTTGGGCCTTGAGTTTCATCCATTCCGAGATGGAAGATATGGAGCATGTGCGAAGGGAGAGAAGTACGGCACCCGATTTGGGCCAATTTTGACAACGAGGTTTCTGCCATGGAGAAAATTAGTAATTGCCACTAATGGAACCCCGGGGATCATATACTACAATTTCTATCAACTTTATTCGGCTTGCTTGGTTTATCCTAAACGGCCCCGTGCGACTAGGAGGGTATTAAAATAGTAAATAAAGCCTTTTATCTATGTGTAAATGGTAGTATCTTTATATTTTTAGACGGTTTTGTTAAGGCCCCTATAGAGTTGTAGGCTAGAAAGTAGGGAAGGACGGAGAGTTAGTGGAAGGCGAGGGGTTTATGCCTAAGGCACTAATATAGCAGCCTAAGGCATACCTCGTTTGGAATTCAATGCCTCAGGCATCAACCTCTAGCAATCAACTCCCTCTGTACTTTCTGACCCTACAACTCTGTAGCCGCCGCGATAATAATTATGCCCCGCACTATGCTTGATTGGGTTGGTCGCTCGTATTCTGGCATTGTGCCTAACCCCGCCTTGGTTTTGGCACAACCTTTGTATATTTACTTACGGTCTTTCCAATCTGAAGCTATACCAAGGAGACCATGGCCGAGCTAGTGGGCCTCGTCGCCAGTATTGCTGGCCTTGTCCAGATTGCGGGACAAATTACCAAACTCAGCTACAGCTACGTCTCAGACATCAAATCAGCCCCCAGAACACAAAAGATGTATCTGCAAGAGGTTTCGGCGCTCACAGATGTGCTTTTTCGGGTGGAAAAGACTATACAAGAGGCAGAGAGTACCGATTTAGAACTGCCCTCGTTGCCCTCTTCACTCAATGAAGAATCTCTTCAGGAGTGCCGCCGCCACTTGCTGGCCCTTCACCTCGATCTCGACAAGCGACTACGCCGCCTCGTATGGCCATTTCAGGAAAAAGAGGTCAAAAAATACATTGATCTATTGCATCGTTACCGATCTCTCTTTGCCGATTTTCTCTCAACAAATATCATGTTCGACGACCTATCTCCCCTCCACGGCAACCACTTGGAAATGAAGACTAATTTGCAACAGGTCCGTTGCCACTGCTACATACAAAAGAGTTGCGGGCATCGACCAAGGTATGGGGTCCTGTGAATGGCATGAGTCCTCACGATAGCTCTAATCCAGACTTTAGAGCAAATGAGGCAGTATCTTTACTCTCTTTTCCCAGCGTCAGATAACCTTTTACGGTCCAGACCAAATGCTTGCCCTGGAACTGGTAAATGGTTTTTGAACTCTCAAGACGTGGAGAATTGGCGTACCGGAGACCCATCGCTGCTCTGGTGCTACGGAGCCCGTACGAAGCAATTCTTTCCGAAGATTTTCTATAACGTATTACGATCTCGCTAACCGGTAATAGCTGGTGTCGGCAAATCGCTACTTTCGTACGTGTTGCTCAAAGTCTCCTATTCATGGCTTTGCAATTTCTAACACGGCTAGGTCAATCACAATTGGGAACCTATGGGATCAGAAGTCAGAGGCTCCAAGCTCGGTGGTATATGTATTTTGTCAGTTCTCGTCACGGGAGCAACAAACACTCACAGCAATCCTGCAATGCATGATCCGACAAGTAATCGAGCAAGCAGATGAAAAGGTGCTTTTCGCAATGAAACATCTATTTGTGGACCCGATAAAGCAGCGTGAGCCCGTAGGACTCGCTGAATCATTTGCAACGGCCTGTGAGCTGAAGTCGACATACCTCCTAGTTGACGGTCTAGATGAGGTGACTGGAGCGGATGGTTTGCTGTCTTACCTGTCTTCTTTTGTCGAAAATGGATGCAAAGTAATGGTCACCAGTCGAGACCTTGGCCATATCAGGAAGGCTATGGATCCTGCAACCAAGATGGAGATATGTTCACAAGTTGAAGACTTAGAGATCTACATTGACTCCCGCTTTCAAAAGAACGAACTTCCTCGAGGAGCACAAAAGTTGATCGGGAAAATCACGGAAAAGTCGGGGAATATGTATGAACTTCCGCTGGGAAATGGGTACAGCGCTGACCAGATACTAGGTTCTTACATACCAAGCTTATTCTGGATGAGATCTTGGATCTCACTACTGTTCGCCATATGCAAAAGGCCCTCGAAAAACAGTCGAAAGGGTTGAATCAAGTTTACCAATCGACACTACAGCGAATCGATATGCAACCAATGGCAAGGAGGAATCTTGCTCGGCGATTTATCGGATGGGTTGTCTATGCGAAGAGACCTCTAAAAATCGATGAAGTGATCCATGCGTTCGCCGTCGAAGATGATGAGGATTACATTGAAGAAGATAACTTCGTCAGCCCGGATCTTCTTCTTCGATCTTGTGTTGGTCTAGTGGTACTACTTGACGACAATACTGTAGCAATGGTCCATGCGACTGCCTATGACTTCTTCGGACCCACAGTGTTGCTACCGTGTGACATGGAGACCGACATCGCGGAGACATGTCTACGCTACATGTGTCTCAGTCCGTTCAAGGAAGGGCCATGCACAAGTCGGGTGGAGATGTCCCGCCGCTTTGATGAAATGCTGTTTCTGGATTATGCGTCCCGGCATTGGGCGAGACATATCAAAGAGATAGAAAGCGTGGGGGAAGATCTAAATTCCCTTGTTCAGTATTTTATTTGCAACGAAAAGCTTCTGAATGCCGCCGTTCAAGCGTTAAATTTCCGCAATGAGCTCGATACCGATCTCCTGGACTCTCTTTTTGATTCAATCCCTCAAGATCAAACGGCGTTGCATGTCGCCGCTTATTGGAATCTTACGGGAACCCTGAGCACCCTGATCGAGTCGGGATTCAGTACATCTTTAACAGATACTCATGGCTGGACACCTCTCCACTACTCCTGTGCAAACGGTCATTTTGCTTCTGCCGAAATTCTCGTGAGAAATGGGGCAGATGTTGATGCCACAGACAATCAAGACTGGACCCCTCTTTTCTGGGCGTCATTCACTGGAAGTTTGGACATTGTTCGTCTTCTATTATCTGAGCACGCAAAGTATACAAATCGCAGCAAATACGGTTGGACAGCATTACACTGGGCTATATCCCGTGGTGAAACCGAGGTGGTTTTGGAGCTTGTGCAGCATCATCAAGCGCAGTTGTCGCGTGTTACTAAGGCTGATATTCGAACCCTCAGCGTCGAGGATGTGAGACGATTAAACACGCCAGAGAACACCTCACCAATAAAAATAGCAGCTGAGGGCAAGAATGCTACAATATTCGATCTTCTTGTGGCTCACTTTGATGCACCGGATTCTACCAGAGAGGAAGATTTCCAGAAGATCTGGTCAAGGGAGAGCTTCAGAGTCCCTATTTCCCGGAGCACGTGGAGAAACACATTCAAATCACAAATAAATGGAGAAGCTAGCCGCCCAACTGAGTTGATTGCCGGGGAGACATACATTGAGGAAGAACCCAGCAATTACTTCAGGTATGAATTCATGAAGGAAGATCCATCAGCATGGAAGTCAAATTTACTTGTCTCCGCTATCCAGGATGGAGACTTTCAGGCAGCTAAACTGTTCCTCGAACTTGGTGCAGATGTGAATTACTTTTTGGGAGAAGTACCGCTGTTGGACCTTGCCGCACAACAGAGAGACCCGCGTTTTGTACAGCTTCTGCTAGAAAAGAGTTCCAAAGAACTACAGGCTGAAATGACCGAGGTCATATTGTGCACTGCTATCTCCCTCGGGAACTTGGAAACCGCAAAAGTCATCCTCGACAGTGACGGTGCTCCTGTCAATCAGAATGGAACACCTTTGCATGCAGCCGCGAGTCAACAAGACCCACAATTCGTGTTGCTTTTGTTATCTAAAGGGGCACGGCCTGGACTCCTAGATGGGTGTGACCAGACTGCCTTGAGTGTCGCAGTAACGGACGGATTCGTCGAGACAGCACGGGCTCTGATTGATGGAGGCGCAGATGTCAATCAGTTGTCGCACCTGTGGATCTGTTACGAAAGTGGATGGCGACCCTGCCTGAATATGGCCGTTTATCTTGCCGGTGCGGATACTAAGGAGCAGGGAAGGAGGGCCTCGGGAACTGAAATGACTCGCATGCTACTTTCCAAAGGGGCCAGTATCGAATTCAAAGATGAAGAAGGCAAGACTGCTTTGCACATGGCAGCAGCATACCGCAGTGTGAAATGCGTCGAAATTTTGATGGCAGCTGGGTCTACGGTTGAGACTGTTGATGGGAGTGGGCGGACTCCGATCCATACCATGATGGAAGCCGTGAAGCCGAGCTGGGATGTGGAAGAGGTGGAAGAAGTTCTTCGCTTATTGTTCCGAGGGCTATCAGAAGACGTCGTCATCTTATTATTGGCCCAGAAAACGTGTCAAACAATTGTTTACGACTCTTCGGACGACGAAGATATTCAACTAGACACACCACTGACTAGCGCATTGAAGAAGGGAGCTTGGAGTATAGCTCGTCTCTTGATGACCTTTGGAGCGGAGGCCCCCACCAGCTCTAGCTTTCGGCCTATTGTGACGAACGCAGTCAGAGGCTTTGAGACTCAAATTGTCGAGATTCTTATTGGGGGTGGTATATCACCAGCTGAAGACGCTGCTTTGGACTTGGTAAAGAGCATTGATGAGCAACTTCTCGCCAAGCCTTCCTCTCTACTTTATTCATCCAGAGAGACACTGTCTCGCTCTCGTTTTGATTTTTGGTTTCTACAAGCACATGTGAAGCATAACCTTGAAAAACCACACCTTTCACACGACGAGGTGGTGCAGGCTTCCCAGCCGATTCTGACTAGTTTGATATCGGCGGGCGCAGACGTGAACTTTTGCGACTCAGAAATAAACACAACTCCTCTTCATCTCGCAGCCGAGAAGATTCCAATTGCTCAGGTTACGGCCGCTCTATTGGATTTTGGTGCCGATTGTTTCCATTCTTTTGAGAATCAATTCGATCCAATTTTGACGGCTGCGGCATTCAACAACACAGAGTGCCTGCGTTGTCTGTTAGCGCATGCATCAAAATCGCCCAAGCCGGGCCATTGGACCCAATATTTGGAGTACCAGGGCCAGCTGAGCAACAAAGAGATGTTTGACTGCATATGTCTGGCGTTGAAACTCGCCTGCAAGCTCAACTACAAGAACTCAAATGATGAAACATTGCTGCATCTCGCCGCGAACACAAGGAACGCCGGTTTGGTCATCAGTTTGATCTCCCATGGTGCTTATGCAGATATACCAGATGAAGATGGCTTTTTCCCCATCCATTGTGCCGCATTTGCCTCGGGTCATAGTGATATAGTACGGCGCCTTCTTCCGGTGAATATGGTGCAACATACTTCCGAGCATCACCCCTATCGCTCCGTTGAGGCAAGATCCTCCCTCCGAGACGAAGAAATTTGTCGGCAGATAGCAAACATAACAAACAAAAAAGGAAACACAATGCTTTGGGAAGCTTTAGAAAATGAGGATGAGTCCATGTTTCTGCATCTGCTCAAGCTCGAGAGCGATTTCAACTCTTGTGCCACACTTCCTGGAAAGCATCCCTCACTTCTCTATCATGCATGTGCTCGTGAAATGACAGAAGCAGTATCTTTCTTGCTGGAGTGCAACGTTGACATCGAAAGAGCTGATAATCGTGGATGGCGTCCACTTCATGGCGCATTAAACTGGCATAACATGGAAATAATTGAGAAACTAATTGCTGCCGGGGCTGACGTCTGCGCTTCCACAACGCATTTCGACAAGCATTCTTCGAGGGATTCCGACCATGACCGGAAACCATGGAATGGTCATGCTCTCCATTTGGCTGTTCTCGTGGGTAACATCGACATTATTGAGCTTCTTTTGAAGCATGGTGCAGACGTGAGTGCAAATGCAGGATTCTTCAAAAGGCGCGATGGAAGAATATGTGGACCGACTGCTTTGCACATAGCATTAGATCCACGGGCATGGTATACTGGGAACGAGGAAGACTGGGAGAGCTATGAAGATCATCATGAAGACTATTTGAATATTGCTAGAATGTTGATTCAAAACGGAGCTCCGGTCGAAGGTGTCTTGGATCAACTGCGGGTGAAGGATATTCCAAGTTTCGAGGGCTTTGAGGATGTTTGGGATAAGATTCGAGGGGTTTGAAAATACGTTTGTTGATATTCGAAGTTATATAAACCGAATCTGCGACCTTTCCCACCCATAGTAATATGTAGCCAAGGAACAAAAATAAGAAGACTGGTCGATCTAAACTACATTTATCTATATTCTTTACTGATTTATGACTCAAACATGCGTGTTTCGAGAAACAAGCTGTTGTTTATCAAGACATACGACTACAAAGTGATTGTACTACCAGACTCAGTTCAACAGTTATTCCAATTCTTCCCTCTAGTTCTCAATTCATATCAATTCACACTTCTCCTCAGTTCCCATCCTTTCCGTCATAATCTCTCTCGGTATGTCCTTGGGGGAGCCAATTCTAGACCACGGAAATGTACAGAACCCCCCGGCGTGGGGGCAAGCGGGACCAATTTCAGGCAATGGGGGAGACTCATTGAATAGTGGTGTGGCATACAAGGACATGCCATTGCAAGCCACCGCACTGTCGAATAAAAAGCACCCAGCGCCAGTAATTGTCCCCGACAGCCCCCACGTCGGGGGTTCTGTATGTCACCGTGGCAGGTGATTGGCGTTCACTGAGGCCAAGAAAGACCCAACGCAGTCATGACATCGATACATGGCTGGATCTGCTGATTGCAGTCGAGGTAGACTGCCCCAATGATGGCCTCCATGGTGGTGGCCATGACGTTGGGCATAATTTTACATTGGCAGGGGTTTTTGACGATGAATTTGTCAATGCCGTGAATAAACCCCTGGTCGGCGAGATAGGCATTGCTAGCCCTCTGCTGGATGGTAATGGAGATTTCGCCTAATCAGAGCCGAAATCGTAAGTCCGTGAAGTAAAGTAAACTAAAGTAACAATGGTGAAACGCTTACCTCTCGTCTTGTTTTTATCGCACCCCAGGGTCACAATGACCAAGTCGAGAATTGTGTCGCCGATCAAGGCGAGTTTCTTATTGCCATCTCCGTTGAAACCGCTGGAGACTTGAAGCGCCTCGCGTAGCAGAGCGTCATTGGCGAAAGAATAGTTGATTTTCTTTTCGAAGACTTGGAGTTCTTCATCCGAGGGGAGCGGAAAGATATAATGTCCCACCATAATGTCCTATGACAAAGCTTGGTAAATGATAAAGATAGATTGAAAGCAGAAGTGTCTGGATGATGAAAAGTCTGGGAGATCATGATGGCATTTATAAAGAATAGAGGGAAACCCGTTGGGATCGAGTATGCCTTGCGACGCGGGGTCGACAGTTGGGAATATGTTGGATGAGGCACAGCAGTGGGCACAGCAGTGAGCGCAGCAATGAGCATAAACAGGGATATATAACAGCTCTTGTTGGTTAATTACATATATGCACAGTATCTAGGTAGTTGCATTGGTTGGATAACGATTCAGCTTTTGCCAGTCGCCTTGAGGCTCCAGGGCAGATGTGAAACAACATAGCCTCTTTCCAGTTTCGGAAGTTCATGCAGTTGACCAACCTTGGAATCTTTTAATTCGAATAGGATCTACGTCGTAGAGCTTCAATAGAGAACCAATACATGTATATTCATATGGACAAATTGGACGGATGAGAGAAGAGAAGGGAGGAAAGGGGAGAGGGGGAGAGAGAGAGAGAGACGACGGGCTAAGTGCCTCAGGCACCAAGGCACCCAGGCACCAACTATAACGGTGGTCTTCAAAGTCGAGCTACTTCCTTCTGGATAGTCTCAGTATTTAAAGCCGCCCGGGATTTCAAGTTCAACCTCCTCCACATAGTTTTACGACGTTCAAGTCCCTCAAAAAATGCTCTTACCCACTCGCGGCGAAACTTGGGTAGCTTCCGTCCCTTGCCCTCCACCCCCTCGCCAGCTAAACGTCGCAAGGTCTCGAAGTAATCCTCGAAGTCTGGGAAGAGCAGTGTGAACTTGACACCGTCACCCCGAGCCTTGACACGATCCGCTTCCCATTTTTGCATCACTTCAGCAGACGGTAGAGTAGCTCGGCCAGCCAGCAGCCGTGCAGCCAAAACAGATTGCCATTCGAAGACCTTGAACGTCAGACCAGCTGCGACAGCACCGACAAACAATAGGGTCGGGTCTTTTTGCCAGACAACGTGTTGGTACAGATCGGGGACCCGGTTATTGCGCACTGGAACTGTCGGTAGGAATGGCAGTGTCCAGCTGTAGCCTGTGCCGAAGACTATATGGTCAACGTCTGTGATGCAATTGCCGTTCGTCAAGTGCACAGTCCTATTCGAGACTCGTTCTATTGAGGGATGTTTTTGGATCTTAGGGTGGCTAAATGCCTCATCGCCGAAGTACCCGTTAGCGGCATGTCCAATTGTGATTGCGTGAACTGGTGTCTTCGCTGTTTCCACCAGATCGACTGCGATGTCGGCTGCTGAGACGGATGCGCCCACGACCACAACTCGCTATAATAACCACGTGAGCATAATGACCCCGATACAATGGAGTCCTGAAATTTGAGGATCTAGCTTACCTTGTCAGCAAATTTCTCTCTTCCCCGGAAGTGTTTGCTGTGAATCACGCTGCCCGGTCTTGTCTTCTCGAATGCCTCCAGGCCTTCTATTGAGGGTATATATGGAACCCAGAAGTGCCCACTCGCCACGACGACCGCGTCAAACCATTCAACCCACCAGTAATCACTTTGCTCTCCATTTTTACGGAGTGTTACTTTCCACTCCGTCCCCACCTTCTCAACCAGTTCAACTGTGGTGTTGTATGAAACAAAGTCGCTGTAACCCCGACGGTCGACAAGACTCTCAACGTATTTTCGAACCAGATCCCACTTTCGGAATGGGGTGTCAGGTCCGTGATGAGAGATAGAGAGTGCGCTGCGCTCTGTTGGGAAAGGTTCCTGGGCGAACTGCATGGGCAGAAAGTCGATATTGGTTTCCAGATAAGGGTAAACGGACGACTCAGTAAAGCGAGACTGGTCTGACTTTGGAGTCTGCGCAGGCAGCGTTTCGGGGATAGGTAGTGGTGGATCAGCCGTTCTTGTCGCTAGCGATGCAAAGTCGCGGAGTGTTGGAGGCTGCGATGAGTCGCCAATCCTGTGTTTTTCATGTCAGTCATCGCCGAAGAAACTTTGGAGAAAAGAAAACGAACCAACATCCTCCAGCGCCCTCACGACGCTCAAATACACGGATAATGTCAAAGGTCTTTTCTTGCGCCAGGGCATCTATCGCAATGGCTCCCGCCGGCCCGGCGCCGATGACCGCGACACGTTTAACAGGCACCATAATAGAAGATTATAACTACTGAAAATATAGAATAATCCCGAGGTATAATTGCGATATATAGATGCAAGGAGCGAGATCCCGCTGCAAATGCCGATCTGGGGGAATTTAGCCCCGATCTAAGGTTCGTTGCTGTCGTCGTTTATGGGCCTTGTCACGCAATTTGGCGTCGCGGGGCTACAACCACCAGCGAACCAGTTACGATGCCAGAATACTTTACCTGTCGAATTTATCTTCAAATCCCTTCAAATCCCGTTGAAGTAAGACGCGGCCCAAGAAATGAATTGTGGTTAAACACTGTTTCGAAGGGTTCGGGGCACGTTTTTTAAGGAGAGATCTCTTATAGCACGCCATATTCTAAATTATGATATGGAGTATGGCCAATGAAGTAAACATCTAGAAGTGATAAGACTAAGACATGAAGTTTATAACTTATACGGAGTACTCTGTAGTTAATACTTGCCTACAACTTTCATCGGACTCTGCTATTTCTGTTTCTATTCCCACAACATACATCTCCCGCCGTTATAAACAAAGTCCCTTTACCAGTCTCCCCGAGGGGAATGATATAGTATGGATCTCAAAGTGAACAATGACAAGCTAGATCCCAAGGATAGCGACTCTTCATCAACGCTGGGCGTATTGCCAGAATGGGATCCCAGCCAGGAGCAAAAGGCGCGCAGAAAGTAACTACAATGACCCCCTATAGATAGAGTATGAAGAATTCAACGCTGATATTCATTTCTCCCCAAGGATCGATATGTCAGTACTGCCTCTGCTTTTTCTCGGTCTTCTTGTCTTCCAGCTAGATCGCATGAACGTGGCGAGTGCATTGACTGGCGGCTTTGCAGCTGATATCAACATTTCACAATCCACAATCAATCTGGGGAATCAGCTCATGTTTATGGGTATCGTCGTCTTTGAGATACCATGTAACATGGCCTTGCAACGAGTATGTATGAGATCACCTCCCTAGAAGATGAATTCTAATGGGAACTCTTGACAGATTGGTCCTCGCACGTGGATATCGGCTCAGGTCTTCCTCTTCGGATTACTTGCTACCATGCAAGTGTTTGTTCGCAATCGAGGATCTTTCCTGGCTATACGACTGCTTCTAGGGTTCGCTGAGGCAGGTTATATTCCCGGTGCAGTCTACACTTTGTCGTCATGGTATACGAAAAGAGAATTAGCCAAGAGAGTTGCCATTTTCTTCTTTGGCATGTTTGGCGGAAACGCCTTGAGTCCTATCCTAGCTTCTGGCATCCTAATTCTCGATGGTCGACACGGTATTCGGGGATGGCAATGGCTCTTCCTAAGTATGCATATGTTCTACACACAAGCTGGCATTCGCTAACAAATCAACAGTTGAGGGTCTATTCACTATATTCGTCTCATTCCTGCTATCACTCTTCCTACCTGGATCACCCGATCTCACCAGGCCATTATTGAGTCCGGGACTTATCAAGTTCTCTGATTCCGAGAAGGACATTCTTCAAAAACGACTCGAAATCGACAATGGTGGAAGCACCGAGGGCGCATATGGCGTACATATCCCGTTAAAAGTGGTCTTCCGTACCGTGGCTTGCTACCGTCGCTGGCCGCACTTTGTTTCTACATTCGTTGTGTTTTCGACGTGGAGTCCTCTAACCACTTACACACCTTCCATCATCATGTAAGTCTTACTGTTCACTGCGGTTGATAGGTGTATTAATCTCATATCTCATTCCCAATTTTGAATAGCAATGAATTGCAGTTAACTCGTTTATACAGGTCGCTCGGCTTCGACAGAACAGTAGCAAACGCCCTGGCCGCAGTCGGCGCATCCCTATCCCTTGGAGTGGTATTCTTCTTTGCCTACATGAGCGATCGGACCAATCAGCGAGGTGCAACTGTGATCGCTGCTCAAGTCTGCTACCTCATTGTCCTGATAGTAACCTTCAAGGTCCAGCCTAATGCCGGTAAATGGTCACGTTGGGGACTGTGGACTGCTGTGAACAGTTTGGCTGTGGGATACCATCCCATCCATAACTTCTGGGTTCAACTCAACTGTCGGGATCCGAGGGAGCGGAGTATCAGTATCGCGTGAGTTTTTCTTTATTCTTGTTTTGGCCTTGACTGGAGCTGATGAGAGTCTTTACTGCATGTAGTATGTGGGTCATGTCTGCAATTAGCGGTTTAATGGTTGGGACACAATATTTCCAAGCGGGAGATAAACCATTGTAAGTGATAGTGTTCTCAGAAGGTCATTGCTAGTTACTAATTAAACAAGTTATTCGACGGGCCTACGTACCATGATCATTATGGTATCCGTGGGAATCGCAAGTGCTTTAGCACAGATTGTTATTTATGTCGTTCATAATAAGCGTGTTGCTCAAGGCAAGCATCAGCCTAAGGATGGATTAGCACCTATGGTGTATGTCCCTTGAGAATAGAAAAGCAAGGAATCTATAGATGGCATCTCGTTCAGGTTAGTTATCTTTTGTAAACAGTCCTATTATTTGCCAGCTGTAATCAACAAGACATGCATAATGCTGTTTACATTGGGATGCTATATGCTAGTAAGCCCTAAGTATGACATAATGAAAGGTAGTCTAACACTGGTATGTTGGATGGTCATCTACAGATTCTCGATCCTAGACCTTAGGCTGAACATCCTCCTCCTCATCAACATCCTGTGCCAGCGACTGTTCCTGGGCTAAAACGAGTTAGAAAAGATCGAGCATCGCCATGAAAAGAAAAACTTACTATTCCAAAGCTCTGCATAGGTGCCATCACGCTCGAGCAACTCACGATGTGAGCCCATCTCTGCCACATGACCTTCCTTCAAGACCAGGATTTGGTCACTGTCGCAGATCGTGCGTAGGCGATGAGCCACAAACACGCTTGTGCGGCTCTTATCTTTGAGAATGCTGTTAATGTTCTGGAGCAGCGCCTGCTCCGTGTAGGTGTCTAGGGCGGATGTCTAAGAGAAGGTGATTAGTTAGATCAATTAACCGCTCCGCTGGCGGACGAAGTAGTGGGGTATAAACACTTACAGCCTCATCGAAGATGAATAATTGCGGATCCTTCAGGATCAACCGAGAAATTGCCAGGCGTTGCTTCTCACCACCAGAGATCATCATACCGCGCTCACCAACCGCAGTTTGGTAGCCATCAGGCAGACCCTCAATGAGCTTGTGGATGTGGGCTCGCTCCGCAGCTCGGCGCACTTCCTCGTCGGATGCATCAATCCGTCCATAGCGGATGTTGTGGGCGATCGTGTCGTTGAACAGCGGCGTATCCTGCGGTACCACTCCAATTGCCCTGCGGAGGCTGTCAACGGTCACATCGCGGATATCCTGGCCGTCAATCAAGATGCGGCCGGATTGGACGTCATAGAAGCGGAACAGCAGACGCAAGATTGTAGACTTGCCGCAACCACTAGGGCCGACAATGGCGAACTTCTGCCCTGCGGGGATAGTGAAGGTGGCATTCTTTAGAATGGGTCGATCTGGGTGGTAGCCGAAAGTGACGTTCTCAAAGTGGATGTGGCCGCCCTGCGTCAGCTGCAAGGGCTTGGCATCGGGTCGTTCCTGGATGGTGACGTTCACCTTCTGCAGGTTGAAAAGCGTCTCCATGTCCAGCAGGGACTGGCGCAGCTCACGATAGACAGATCCCAAGAAGTTGAGGGGGACGGAGAGCTGGAAGACTAACTGGTTGACCATGACTAGGTCACCGACACTCATGGATCCATTTGCAACTCCATTGCAAGCTAGGTACATCATTGCGGCCAGCGCAGAGGAGAATATCATGTTTTGACCAGAGTTGAGCAATGCCAGAGACGTAGTCACCTTAATTGATGCATCTTCATACTTCTTCAAGGCCTTGTCATATCGTGCCACTTCGAATTTCTCGTTATTGAAGTACTTGACAGCCTCATAGTTAATGAGTGAGTCCACTGCAACAGTTGCTCCGCGGTTATCAGCGGCATTGGCCTGTCTCCGGAACTTCGTTCGCCAGGCGGTTGTAGTGATGGTGAACGCTGTGTAAGCAATCATTGTTGTTGTTGTGATCGCAGCAAATTGCAGTCCATATTGATAAGTCTACAACACGTTAGTAAAGTAAAAAAAAAAAGATTATTCGCTATCGTATCATACCAGGATACCGCAGACAAGCGAGATTTCAAGTGCTGTCGGGACAACATGGAAAACCATGGAGGTTAGGAGGAAGCTGATGCCTTTTGTACCGCGGTCAATTGCGCGGGTTAGACCTCCGGTCTGGCGAGAGAGGTGGAAGTTGAGATCCAGTCGCAACAGATGTTCGAAAACATTTGACGCTACCTTCCGAATTGCCTTCTGCGCAACGCTAGCAAAGACCGCGTTACGGAGCTCTTGGAACAATGTGGCTCCAATTCGGGTCACGCCATCTAAAACGTATTAGTGACAAGTCCATTTTTCAATATGCTGCCATTCTTACAAGCAATAATCATCGATCCAGCCACAGTGTAGGCGGTGCCACCGAGGGTAGCAAAGTCTACATTCATGGAGTCGACAATGTTCTTAAAGTAGAAGGGGATCTCCACATTGAGGATCTACATTGGGTTCATATTAGCATAATTTAACGGAAACACAAAAACAGACAAACTTGCCTTTGCTCCAATAAGCAGTGAAAGTGCCGTGCTGACACGGAGCTTTGTGCCCCAATCATTCTACCAGCTATGGTCAGTACTCTGCTACTCTATACCAATAGCACTCGGGGATTACCTTCGGCCACAGATACTTGGCCATTTCTTTCATAATAGCCCAGTCTGCCTTCCTTTGTTCTTGTTTTCCAGTCATGGGCTCGCTCAGCAAGTCCTTCTTTGGTGGGGTCTTTGCATTGCCGCTATCTTCGGGCTTCTGAATGATATTGGCGTTTGCCAGTTGTGATGGTTCGGGGCCAGAGGTAGGAGTAGCTTTGACAGATGCAGATGCAGGATCTTTATTGTCTGTGGATTGACTCCATAATGAATTGTTATTTGACGTGAACGTGCGCAGGTGTGTTCCATTGAGTCGTGTGCTTCGTAGCTTGCCGGCGAAGCTCGGGTGGGCAAATTGCGCTGTGCGCCAGCACGGCGATCGTGCGGCTCTGAGCAGCATGGCCGCTTAGAATGAGATTCTCTCAGCTCCAGAGTAGTTCGAGTCACTGAGAGGAAGTTCAGGGGCGCATAGTGGGAGTAAGTAGGAAAGATTGGGCGCGCAAGGTAGCTATGTCTCCGATAGCTCGTGGGGGAAATCGCCGGCTTCGGAGTAAAACCCGTCGCTCTCGATGTAAGTCCGAAATAGTCACCAAAAAAACAAGCAAATGGAAAATGGAAAATAAGAATGAAAGTAATTCAAGAACCTCTTATAATAAAACACCCAATGTCGCAATTCCGAGGGAGAGTTGTGTACTTCGTAGGCCGCATCGCTCTCGGGCCCACGATTTCCCGATTTCCCTTTCGTCACAACTGACGTAAATTCTCCCTTCGGCACTTGGTCGTTGCTCTTTGTTTTTCAAGCACAATGCGCCCCGTTCAAGGTGTTCGGCCTCTGTCCTGGACTCGAGTTGTTCCTCGCATCCACCGTCAAACGCGATGCGTTCAGATTCGCGCCGCGCCCTCGGGAGTGTCTTCGGTTAATGGCGACAATCTGCCACTCGCTAGCACGCCCAGCTCTGTTGAATCACGAGGTAATTGCATTTGCCCCAAGTCTTTTTGATAGTGACACTGACGATGAGGACACATAGATGCGCGATTCGATGTTGTTGGTGCTCCATATTCGCTTCTTTCCGTTTCGCTCTCAGCCTCGCAGAACCTATACACTCGACGCGGAACGCTGGTTGGGTTGAGCGGCAAGGCGGATAACGTATGCGATCCCGCGATAATGCTGTCCTGGGGGGGATGGTCATGCTAACGCATAATTTGCGCAGGTGATTTCCACCTTGAGCGTTCTAGAGCCCTTCCGGAGGGCTGTTGTCGGAGTACCCTTTCTGTATCAGAAGGTAAGACGCGCGAACGCAGATGAAAACCTAAAGACAGCGATTGAAAATTCCCCAGGTATCCTCACCCACCCCCGTCACAGCTCTCGTTTCCGTTCGGTCACCCAATACCTCCTTTGCCGTTGTCAACGTCAATGGCTCCGTGGACTGGATGGTTGCCCAAAGACGGGCTTTGCTTGCATGGACAGGGCGGTCTCTGACCATCAAGCCAACTATCAACGCAAACCTAGTGAGTCGAGCTGCGATCGCGTGAGGGGAAACTCCAAGCTAATTTGCGCAGAGCTTGTCTCATTGGGGTAGCTCCGAAGTGACTGGCAGAGGTTTAATAGCGTTGGTTGGAAACGGACAGCTATACTCGGTGGAATTGAAGGATGGCGAGCAGTACATTGCGCACCCCAGGTATGACCCCTCCGCGATTACACGTCTGCCATCGCTAATATTCGATGGACAGCAATGTGGTCGCTTACACCATGGCCTCCAACCCTCCTCGTCCCTACCGTTTCAAATCCACCACTCTCAACTTCCAGGTTCCGGGTCTGAAGACACTACCAAGACTTCTACAAAATGCCAAGTTCATTCGTGACGTGTCTGATTCCAAGGCATACAAAACCACTATGCAATGGTTCCACAAGCTGCGTACCTGGTCTCGAATGACCATCTGGGGGGATAGAGTATGGCAACCCTGTTTGTGTTTTTTGTTTTCAAATATTCAACAACTAACAATGTCGTCTAGCTCTTCTTGCAATTTGAGGGTCCCACTACCATCCTCGTGCAATCTCGCGGTCCTCGTCTCAACGATGTTTTGTCGGCACAGGAAGCTAATGAGATCGCCAATGTCCCTAGTGGATTTACACCCGCTCCTCGGTCTACCGACGACACAAAAACACTAGACGAAAAGCCAGAAGCCGAAAAGACCGAAGCCGAAAAGGCCGTTAGCAATATCTCTGGCCTGACGCGCTCTGTCCAGGAATTGGAGCAAGAAATTGAAGGAACGAGCCAAAGCGTTGCGAAGATCCGCAAGGATGGAAAGGTCGAAATTGAGGAAGTTGCTCGCACCAACTAAATAGAAAGACCCGCTTCCAAAGGGTTGATTTGGAGTTTCTCTTCGCATTGGGTTTTGTACGGGTTAGAGCGGTCTCCATTTGGGATGATTATCACGTTAATCCTGTACAGTATGGGCATTTCTTTTTATCTTGGCAATTGCCGACATATCTCTTTTTTTTTCTTTGTTTTTGATCTATAAATCCTTCTTGCTGTGTCTGTTAATCGTGGCACGGCCCACCACCACCTACCCGGTGTTGGTGGGCCACACTCGATCCCAAATTTTCAGCCGATCCCACCAATAAGTATCTTTTGTATGGCAACTCCATATAAAAGGTACATAAATAAGACATAGTCATAACCTCAACTCTCTAAATAAGCAGACCAGTTTAAGGAAAATTAAACAGATAGGTTATTAAAATAAATCGGGCTTAACGGATCTACTACTATAATGAATTCTAAATATATAGTATAGAAGTGTAGGAAACTTTTTAGAACTCACCATATATAAGAATTTGTATGTAAAAGATTAACCATTCTCTTACTCCATATATACATTATTAAATTTACTAGAATTGATACCAAGTAATTGAGGCCTTATTTACAATATGTATATCTTCCTATATTTTTCCTAACTGGTTTGAGGGATGAGAAAATTGGGTTATGACTATGCCGTGTTTATGTACCTTTTGTATTGAGTTGCCATACAAAGGATACTTATTCTGATTGGGATCGGCTGAAAATTTGGGATCTAGTGTGGCCCACTATCCTAACTCCTTAGGTAGAAAGAAAAGTCTTAATGGAGAAGAATATTCAGAACCCAGCACATCCTGGGAAACACTATTAGCTGTCGTTCAGGGACAAGTCAAGTTGTCTCTTAAGAGTTACATGTGACCCAATACTCATTTCACTTGATTTATAGCCCGATGAATATCAGAGATTAAGTTGTTTCAACTGCATCTAACCAAAATGATATGTTTCATATACTGTACCTAGTTATAACTATTTTATTCCCAAACGAGCAATATCCCGCCCTCGGTCTTCGGGCTATCGCAGATATATCCGATCGCTGCAGTTACCCCTGATGGCCTCCCAAGTGGATATTGGTTCGCCAGTTATAGGGCAATTCCCGTGGGTGGGTAATTAACACCATACTATCCCTGGGCTAGTTGGCTATGTAGTTGGCTAATGCAAAGAATCATCCATCAGCTCGGACTTAAGCCAGAAATCGACATTATCCGAACTTATGACCGATTCGTGTTATTGGTTTTTTTTTTCGAGTATTTCTTTCTTTATATATCTCACCTTAAATATCGACCGAATTAGGCCCCTGAACCCTGAACCCTGAACGGAACTTAACAGCCCTAAAGCTTCAGGACCAAACGGCCGGGCCGACGTTGAGGTGAGTTCTGAATCGAACCTGTCCAACGCACAATTTTGGTTCTTAATTTTATACTTCCCGTCTTAATTTGAGATGAGATCTATAAATTGGTGGATTGGTGGTATTTCAAAATGTATTCTAATTCCTCAATCCAGATTGCACACAAACAGTTCAAGTCTATTAACTCGAACTTTCCTCGAAGACAAAGATGGCCAACAATGAGTCTGAGGTTGCTCCCTCTATCGACAGTGCCACCACCATTCCCGTTGTGAATGTGCCAGGGAATAATGACCCAGAAAAAGGACTCGCTTCATCGGAAAAAGATGAACCACAACCACCTACCGAGAAGTCAATTGCTACTGGCCCAGCACCAGCACCAGCAACACCGTCGATCGGCCCACCACCTGATGGAGGTGCACAGGCATGACTGGTCGTACTAGGAGCTTTCTGCGGTCTATTCGTCAGCTTCGGCTGGATCAACTGTAAGTTCTATGTTCTGTTTGAAATACAAGAAACCAACAAGATACTGATATCAACCAGGTATTGGAGTCTTCCAAGAATATTATCAAAGTCACCAACTGAGCGAGTTCTCCACCAGCACAGTAACATGGATTACATCGCTAGAGACCTTTATGATGTTCTTCTGCGTGCGTATACCAAGCCATCCCTCGACCCCCCAAAACCCATCCTAACATCCTCTAGGGCCCAATATTCGGAACCATGTTCGACAGCTACGGCCCACGCTGGATCCTCCTCCTCGGCACAATCCTCCACGTCTTCGGCCTAATGATGGCCTCCCTCTCAACAGATTACTACCAATTCATCCTGGCCCAAGGAATCTGCAGCCCAATCGGCGCAAGTGCAATCTTCAACGCCTCCGTCAACTCCGTCAGCACCTGGTTCGCTAAGCGTCGTGGTTTCGCCCTCGGCGTAACAGCCTCTGGATCCAGCCTGGGTGGAGTCATCTTCCCAATCATGGTCACCCAACTGATTCCCAAAGTCGGGTTCCCCTGGGCAATGAGAATCTGCGCATTCGTCATTTTGTTCATGTTGGGTATCGCCAATCTCACGCTGAAGTCGAGATTGCCGCACCGTCCTAAGCAATTTGATATCCTGAGTTTCGTGAGGCCGTTGGCGGAGCTCAAGTTCGCGCTTACGCTTGCTGCTGCCTTTTGTTTCTTCTGGGGAATGTTTTTGCCGTTTACTTTTGTTATCACCCAAGCTGAGAGATATGGCATGTCTGCCAATCTGGCTGGGTATCTGGTTCCAATTCTGAATGCCTCTAGGTATGTCTTTTTTTTTCCTTGCCCCGTTGATGATTGGTGAATTAACAAAATCCATATAGTATCTTCGGCCGCACGCTCCCTGGTTATTTGGCCGACAAGATTGGCCGCTACAATATGATGGTTATAACAACCTTCTTCTCCTCCATCCTCGTTCTAGCCCTTTGGCTACCGTCAAGGGGCAATGTCCCAGCAATTTTGTTCAGCGCCCTATACGGCTTCGGCTCTGGTGCATTTGTCTCCCTTGCACCGGCTCTTATAGCGCAGATCTCCGACCTTCGCCAGGTGGGTGTGCGTAATGGTACTTTCTTTGCTGTGATCTCGTTTGCGGCATTGACTGGTACTCCTATTGGTGGTGCTTTGGTGCCAGATGTTCTCCACGGCGATTATACCCGACTACAGATATTCTGTGGCGTTGTCATGATCGTTGGGTCAGTTCTGTTTGTTTTTGCCAGGGGGGCGATTGGTGGGTTCAAACTTAACAAGGTATAAATAATATGGGGGCCTTGTTAAGTCTTATTCTCGGTGTTTTTAGATATCTTTGTTTTATACATATTCTCGGCTTTATTGGTGTTGCTAGAAGGACATAACATGTGACTACATAGATATCTAATTGATAATTGATTCTCTCACTTCTCTTAGTTAATTAACAAGAGGAGAATCCTATTCGCAGGCAACAATCCCAGTCAAAAAGGATGCGGCTAAGCCTTTAGTCTCCGACCGAGGTAAGACATATTGTTCCAAGGTTGTTTTATAAGATCCTCATTCCCTCATTCCCTCATGCTGTCCTTAGTTTTCATAAGTAACCACATATCCTAACATGACTTCAATCTTCTCAGGAGTATATAACCTATTACAGGCCGCGCGGGGAACAAACACCAAATTCCTCACAGATAAACACGTCCCGGAGACCAATCTGACAGACAAATGGATTATTATAACCGGATCCAACAACGGCGTTGGCTTCGAAGCAGCAAAGTCTTTCGCATCATGGGGCGCAAAAGTTATTCTCGCCTGTCGCGAGCCACCTGCATGGGAACTGCATCCAACAGCCGCTGTGAGTGAATGTAAAGAGCTCGCCGCTACGCACGCATATGCCTCCACTATCGAATGGTGGCAGATCGACATGGCAGATCTCAGCAGCGTCGAGGGTTTCTGTCAAAGATGGCTGGATTCAGACCGTGCTTTGCATATCCTATGTAACAACGCTGGTATTGCGGAGTCCACTAAGCAGACCTATACAACGAAGGATGGGTTCCAGTTGGTTCATCAGGTGGGTTTCTGGTTTTCTTTCTTGTTTATTGTAGACCACTGATGAATCCCAGGTCAACTTCTTATCCCATGTACTACTGACCCTCCGACTCCTCCCATCTCTAGCTCGCAGCCCCGAGCCTCGAATCATCTGCACAACCTCATGCTACCACCATCTAGGAGTCTTTGATCTCGATCATTTTAGCGGTGCACTAGGCGGGGACGGCAATGATTATCGAAACAATAAACTCTACTTCCAAATGTGGATTGCAGAGCTACAATCTCGACTCCTCAAGAACCCCGAATACCTCCACATCACAATCAACGGCGTCCATCCCGGCTTCGTGGCTTCGGGTATATGGGACAATCTTCGGGACACGGGGAAGGCCCCCGGTGGACTCGGTTTGCTTTTGCGCTATGTCGCTATCGACTCACAACAGGGTGGATTGGCGATTTCCCATGCTGCTACTAGTTTGGTGTTTGGGCCGGATCCTAAGAAGCAGGGGGTTGGTGCGGAAAATGGGCGTGGGGGCGGGAAATATATCAATCGCATTTGGGAGGGGCCTGCGAAATCCGATTGTAATGACCCGGAGGCTAGATCGAGGTTGTGGGTTAAACTGGATGAGGAGCTTAGTTTGCAAGAGAAGGGGCTTCTGACCGGGTTGGGTCTTTAATGTAATTTGTACAGGTGTACTGATAAAGAACACCAGGAAATAACGTTAGAAATGATGCTAGAAAAGATACCAGAGAAAGGGTACTTAAGTTGCCACGTTCTGGTGCATAGGAAAGGATAACCTTGAGAAAAGACCTTGAATCGATGGCTATGATGAAAACGTTATGACAACAAAAAGCGTGCAACGAGGATATCCCCAATGCACTTCGGATGGATTCAAGAGATAGACCAAAATACCTAAGAGTATAGACCGGAAAACGCCGTAGCACCGTCGCTCAAGGATGATGCAGTAAGAGAAAAAAAAACAACCACTATGCTCCGGTATATGCCGCCCCAAAAATGCAGCAATTAAGCCAATACTCCTTGTCTCATGTTCTCAACCGTCTTGACCCCAACACCTTTCAATTGGCTCAGTTGTGCCAAGCTGTTGACCTGGAATTGAGACTGGTTTGAGACACTTCCATTGTCGGTTGTATCCAATGATGCCTGATCCATCTCGCAAAGACAATCAACAAGAGCCTCTGCCTTCTTGGCGCCCACTCCCTTGAGCAATTTGATCTGGCTCACGTCCCGCGAGTTGATGATGGAAAGGATATGCATAGTACGGGGAGAAATGGATGGGTCCTCACTGTCAAGGAGTTCGGGAGCTTCCTCGATCTGACCGAGCTTGGCTGCAGCACGCTTCTTGTGTCTTGGGCGATGAACATCCTCATCGCTTGAAAAGCCGGTATGAGTCTGGTCCATGTAGTCATACTCGTGACTCTCCGCTTGGCGTTTGCCGAGGGTTTGTGTTACGTCCTTCTGGAGGGAGAGCATGCTACCCAATCTCCCCTTGGGCGGGGAGTGGGGTTTCTCTTCCCAAGCCTTTGCGTGAACCCGCTCCTTCAGGGCAGCAATCTTGCCTGTCAGCTTCTCGTTGTGAGGAAAGTGGGGAGCGGCCAGCTGGTACATTCTCAGAGCTGAGCTGTCTTCACCACGTGCCTGATGTTGCTTCGCCATCAGCAGGTATGACAGACCCTCGGCCCGCGCATCTTCTGTGCCATCAATGCGCTGCTCCAACTGTTCCAATCGCTTTTTAAGTTGCTCATTAAGCTCATGCACTTGCGTCTGTCTCGATTGTTCGCTAACGGCCCGCACAGCTAAGATCTCCTCAACCTTCTTCTCAACCATCTCCTCGATCCTAGCAGCCGAGAAGTCGTCGTGGCGCGCGGTGGATTGCGCGCCCAGGGGCTGACGGGTGGTCTTCAATGATGGGAGGCCGGAGGGAGCGTTCGAGATCGAGGTACGTTTCGGTGCTTCCGGTTTCCGAAGCTGGCTAACAAGCTTTGGTTGCGGCTTGTCCGAATATACGCTGAATGCCTTGACAGGTTTGCCGTCTTCCTTTTCCGCGGAGTCCTTCGCAGCAGGTGCCGGCATATTGACGTTCACAGAAGCTGTCAGTGCGCGCAAAGGTTGCCGCGTGCCCATAGATGGCCTGATCGATGGCCGGGCCGGACCCTTGAACATGGGATCGTTTTCTACTTCCCGGACCTCGATCTTCCGTGTGCGGTTGGCGACGTTCAGAGAGCTAATTGTATCAAGTTGGTAGGAACGGACAGGCGCGAGGTTGAGAATCATCACTGTCAAGCCATTGTTCTGTCCCAAGGACAAAATTCTTGTCATCTTGGACTCGCGGTATGGGATACGATGCTGCTTCTTGTTGATAGCCTCGACACACTGTGCCAGGACGAAAAGACTCTTGTTGATGCTAGCCGATTCAACCATGCGCTCCTTATCGTTTTCCGTCCGTCGGTTGTCTTCAGATCCTGCCAGATCAATAGCAGAAGCAGTGCTGACGCGCACCTTGTCTGGTGAGGTGATGGTCACCTTCACGCCGAGAACGGCGTGGGATCGAGACGAATGGGCATTGAGCTATATTCAGATGTTTAGCGAGAGGATATTAACCCCAGCTTTTGGCATAATATCATACCTTTGTCGCCGAGGTGGATCGGTTAATGTTGGCCTGGTCATAAAGCTGCTCAAACTCCTTCAACGTGGTACACGGCTTCTCGCTCAGGCCGCAAACCACGGTTTTGCCGCCATTATCCCGAAGGGGAAGACCTGCCATTGTGCGCTTCTCAGGCGGCTCGAACAAGTCGTACACCTTGTCGTTGTAGATTTCATAATAACTCAGGGCAACCTGCACTGTCGTCTCTCCCTCGCTGTCCTTCTCGATCTTCCGGCTACGTCTGTAGATGCCACTCAGTAGCCGGGGAATTACACCCCGGTCCGCCAGGGTTTTCCCGCCACGCATTGTGTGTGTTTTGCCTGTTCCGGTAACACCGTATGCGAAGAGGGTCACATCAAATCCGTTGAGAAGATGCTTAATTGTTGGCGACACTGTTACTCCGATTAATATACCAACCCATCGCAGGCCTGGTGAGCTTGTAACAGCAACTCACCTTCAGCATCGAACAGCTCCTGTTGTGATACATCCGCGTCGTACACGCCATTGAATTGGAACGCATACTCCTCCCCCTCATTCTTGGGGTTTGGAATCCGAACGACATTATCCCTGTCCCTCAATGCCGCCAACTTCCTGTCGCTCTTGTCACTCTTGTCGGCAATTATTGACTGGCGTGATTTGGAGTCGGTAGCGGAAGATCCTGTACGAAGGATCACATCGGCCTCTCGTTCGGAATTGAGAAGGGGACGGATACGCGCGACAACTCGGACACTCATTGTGGTGGGGTGTTCATTCAATTGTCGTGTGATGGTCTGAGTCCTGGACGTCAGGGATGCAATCCAAACGAAACCGAAGGAATGACTAGAACGAAGCGTAAAGCCAAAAAAAAGAGAACAATAAAGAACAATAAAGTCCTCCACAAAAAAACAAAGAAACGAAACTAACTACTTGGTGTATGCAGAACTGAAGGTTGTGGAACGTGTGGAGGAGTTCTCTTGTGCAGCAGCCGGTGTGGTTGGTGTTGGCAGGGCAACCGCCTTTACTCTACAACATATGTTATCAGTACATTCTTTGACACTCGAACAGCACCGTGGGAATATATATGTAACTCCTATGATACGTTTGAAATATCTTTTTGGAAATTTCATAGTCTCATTATTTATTGCATTTGACATTGTAGTATAGTCGATGGCTGTGCTCTGTGCTTGGACCAAGGTGTTCATATCTGACTAGCCAGATACCTTCAAATATGTAGACTCAGCTCGATGAGAACAGATTCTACATATATATATATATATCTTCCTCAAATTGATATCTAGACCGTCCTATACTCAATATCAAAGGTTGTCGCACAATATGAAAACACGCCTCTCGTCACATGTTCCCTGGCCTCTGATTGGCTGGACCGCCACAACCTAAAGGCCACCGTAGACCATCATCACCGCCTCTCCCACACTCCCTTGGTTTCTTCTGGTGAGCTGTCCTTCGCCTCGCTACTGCCTTTTGTGATATTTCTGGGTTTTCTAAAGGTACAGCCTACCCTGTACGCAACCAGGTTCACCCTGTTTTGTTGACGAGAAGCTGATTGTGGGGTTCCAGGAGCTGTTACCACCCGCCTCCTCATATTGATTCCACCCGCCGAGTTCGTGACGAGCGCAACCCTCTTTTCCTCCCAACCCTTAAGTGCCACTAAACACAACCCACTCGACTCTAATGGCAGCACCACAAGGGGGATTCCCTCCCCAGGAAGGGTATGGCCAGCCCGTCTACGGTTCCCCAGAACCCACACAGTCCCCGGTCCAAGGGCAAGGCGCGCCAGCACCAGCCGCAGGTGGAAAGAAGAAGAGAGCGTACGCTGGTGAGGCATTCGATTTTGGCTCCGGCGCCAATGCCGCGCTGGGTGGACAACCCACGGCTGGGGGTGCTTACGGGGCTTACCCTCAGCAGCCCCAAGTTGCAGGATATCAACAACCCGCATACGGTGCGGACCCCAACCAGATGCAGCCCGTAGCACCATCATACGGCGCGCCTGTTGCCGCGGATGTCTCGCAGATGACCCAGCAATTCGGTGGAATGGGCATGAGCGAGCCTCATCATATGCCGCCCCCGCAGCCTGTGGCCCAAGCCCCGATGCGACCTCAAGTCCAACTCAACCAGCTTTACCCCACGGACCTTCGATCCCAACCTTTCAACGTCGCTGAGCTGGACTATCCCCCTCCTCCAATTATCTTGCCTCCGGGAGTATGTATAGATGCCATATTTCGTATGTGGTAGATGTGCTAACAATTGACAGACCAGTGTTTACCCATCGCCCGAAGCCAACTGCCCTACGAAATATATGCGATCCACGCTCAACGCTGTCCCCACAACCAGCTCACTCCTGAAGAAATCAAAGTTGCCCTTCGCCCTTGTCATCCAACCGTATGCTTCTCTTCACGACGCCGAGGACCCCATTCCTGTGATTCCAGACCAAGTCATCTCCCGATGCCGACGTTGCCGCTCATATATCAACCCCTTCGTCACCTTCCTTGACCATGGCCACCGCTGGCGTTGTAACATGTGTAACCTGACGAACGATGTGCCACAAGCCTTCGATTGGGATTCTACACTGCAAAAGCCCGCCGATCGTGCGCTGCGTGCCGATCTCAACCACAGCATGGTCGAATTCGTTGCGCCGCAGGAGTACATGGTCCGCCCACCTCAACCTCTGGTCTACCTCTTCTTGATCGATGTGAGCTATGCATCGGTGACCAATGGTCTTTTGGCCACCACCGCTCGCACTATCCAGGAGAGCCTTGATCGCATCCCGAACGCAGACCGCCGTACTCGCCTCGGATTTATTGCAGTGGACTCGAGCTTACACTACTTCAGCATCCCCGGGACGAGTCAGAGTCCTCCGAGCCCCGGATGTTGGTTGTCAGTGATCTGGATGAGCCTTTCCTCCCCATCCCTGGTGATCTCCTGGTGACGCTGAGCGAATGCCGGGAGAACATTGAGGTATTCCTCCGCAAGCTGCAGGAAATGTTCCAGAACACCCAAAACAACAGCTGTGCCATGGGCGCGGCATTGCGGGCTGGTTACAAATTGATCGCCCCCGTTGGTGGAAAGATGACTGTCCTGAGCTCATCTTTACCCAACACTGGTCATGGAGCGCTCACTATGAGAGAAGACAAGAAGGTGCTGGGCACCAGCAAAGAATCGAGTCTGCTTCAAACGGCAAACTCATTCTACAAGAGCTTCGCCGTCGAATGTTCAAAATCTCAAGTCTCCGTGGATATGTTCCTCTTCTCATCGCAATACCAAGATGTTGCGTCTTTGAGCTGCTTGCCTCGCTACACTGGTGGTCAGACCTACTTCTACCCTGGCTGGAACGCTGCACGGACTGAAGATGCCATGAAGTTCGCCCGTGAGTTCTCTGACTACCTCTCCTCGGAGATTGGTCTAGAGGCCGTTCTCCGCGTGCGCGCAACCACCGGTCTGCGCATGAACACCTTCTACGGCAACTTCTTCAACCGTAGTTCCGATCTATGTGCTTTCCCCGCCTTCCCCCGTGACCAGGCCTATGTGGTCGAAGTGGCCATTGATGAGACGGTCACCAAGCCGGTCGTCTGCATGCAAGCGGCTGTCCTCCACACTACCTGCAACGGTGAACGTCGTATCCGTGTCTTGACCCTAGCGCTCCCAACGACCCAGACCCTGGCAGACATTTACGCCTCGGCTGACCAGCAGGCCATTGCCACATTCTTCAGTCACAAGGCTGTCGAGCGTACATTGAGCAGCGGCCTTGAGCCCGCTCGCGAGGCTCTTCAGGCCAAGGTCGTGGAGCTTCTGCAGACCTACCGCAAGGAGCTTGCGGGTGGTAGCGTTAGCGGTGGTGGCCTTCAGTTCCCTGCCAACTTGAGAGCCTTGCCTGTCCTGTTCCTTGCCATGATCAAGAACGTGAGTTTTCTCTATTTCGTTTGTGATGGCTGTTCTATACTAATCGGTCCTTTATCTAGCTTGGTCTTCGCAAATCTGCCCAGATCCCCACGGACATGCGGTCCGCAGCTCTCTGTCTTCTGTCGACCCTTCCCCTACCCCTCCTCATCCAATATATCTACCCGAGAATGTACTCACTCCACGACATGCCCGACAATGTGGGTGTGCCTGATCCACAGACCGGCGAAATCCTCCTGCCCCCTGCTGTCAACTTGTCTTCGGGCCGCCTCGTGCCCTACGGTCTGTACCTCATTGACGATGGCCAGACCCAGTTCCTCTGGGTTGGCCGTGATGCTGTTTCGCAGCTTATCGAGGATGTCTTCGGCGTCCCTGACAAGTCGCAGTTGCGGGTGGGCAAGCAAACCCTCCCCGACGTCGAGAACGAGTTCAACCAGCGTGTGCGGGCCGTGGTTGAGAAGAGTCGGGATCACCGGGCCAAGGGTGTGGGCAGCATGATCGTGCCTCACCTGTACGTTGTTCGGGAGGATGGTGAGCCCGGTTTGCGTCTTTGGGCTCAGACAATGCTAGTTGAGGACCGTGCCGATCAAAGTCTCAGCTTGGATCAGTGGATGGGTTCCTTGCAGGAGAAGGTTTGAGCCCTCTACTCTGGCCATCGTATCGGTCAGCACTGACGATTTGTTTCTCAGGTCGTGCAGTAATGAGCTGACCGTTTGGTCTCGGACCATGAAATTCGTGTTTTTCGCGAGTCCTCCCGCCTGTACCATTACGTTGGGGAAGATTGCGTTTGGGTTTCTGTCACGGCGGGCATGTTTGGATTATCTAGTACTAGTAGATTGCCGGGTTATAGTTGACAGGCGATAGACGATGATCGCATGTATGGAGAATTAACGGTATTATTTTCCTACTCTATTTTATTTTATGAGAATTCCCACTGGACATGGAAATGGCAAGCCCTATTTGAGATGATTCTAGCACTGCCGGGTAGGTCTTAGCATAGGGTCAGAAATAGTGTCTACTGTACCAGCCGGATGTACTGGCTCTTATATGCCATGCCCTCTTTCAGCATTGAGACTGCCTACAATCTTGGAATGGGGTCGAGATGACCAGACCAAGAGCCTCATCCTTACATGTTCTACCTACTAGGTACGAATTCTTGCGCTCTAGTCAATAAAACTTCTACCAGCTATGTACACAACAAATGCAGCTACTCCGCCAAAGCCAGTCCCTGGTTAGGATACCCTTCGATCGTCCACCCAGAGGTGTTATACTGCGCGGCCCACTCGTGAATCTTCCAAAAGTCACGACAGGTATGTTTGACAGCGAAGTTAGGGATCCAGGCCGTGCCATTATTCCGTGAGCCACCGGGACGGGGGATGTGTACCAACGGCGTTACGTCGCTGTGGCACATAATGCTCTACACAATTAGCATGATCGAAAAAAAAAAAAAAAACAAGAACGAGACTACCTACTTGTCTGAGATAGTCGATGCAGTGATCTATCTATCTGTTAACCAGTCTGAGCAAAATATCAGAACAAAGACGACGTACCCATATGCATCTCCGCATTGACGCCCTTGGTAAATGTTGACGTGTTATAGATCAACCGACGTAACGAGTTCAGGCAGTGAAGCTGGTGGAACACTTCGAGTTGAATCAACGGCGTGCTGTCTGTGTCAGACGCGGGCTCTGTTTCTTGTCCTAGGGCTTGGTACATTGTATCATCGAGAGCGATAATACCGGCTGTTTTATTAGCTGGGAACAGGAAGAGAGGTGGATAAACCCTACCATCCAATAGTTCAAACCACTTGACGTTATTTTCTGGCGTTGGGGGTCCCTCGTATTCAGTGACAGGATGTTCTCTTGTGCCCATCCCACTCATCTTAAAGACAATGTCCTGATACTCGATGGAACTTGCAACAGGGCCTGGGTTGTCAGTTTGGGCGTCTAAAAATCAGCAGGGTTGAAGCATACCGAACTCGAGGGCGTGTAAGCCAGGACGGCAGGTGTCTCTGTGCATGAGATACCATGACGCAGACACCCAGAAAACCGCTAGTAGGGCGTGAATAGCGAGTGCGAGAGGATATGAGAAGATCGACCGGGGAGGCGGAACTGGACTCTCGAGATCACCGTCCTTGTCCTGCTCCAGCTGGTCATACCGGGTGCCTTTGGTGAGAAATTGAAAGGCTTTCATGTCGAGCAGGACCCCATCCGAGTATGAATCCTCTAGAGAAGAAGTGCGCTATCATCTGATGATAATCTACTACTTAGTAATATATTACTGCGATACCGGTCTACTATTACACTAGTCTAGTCGTAAACGCCTCTCGAATTATATTGGGTCTCCGTACTCCGTACTTCTAACTCCGTTTCCGTACTTTATCGAGTTTATATCAATCAAAGGTAGCATTAAAGAAAAGAAAAGGCTTGAGATAAAGAGTATCATGGCACATGACCTTGTTTGTCAGAACTGTCACATGTCAATAACCAGATAGTCTCCTCTCCTCCTCTCCTCTCTCTTCTTCTTTTCCTCTTCTCATCAATCATCATCCACATTGATCAACCATCATCAGCAGTTAGCCAGAATACATTGCATTGCTGATCTCTTCTCTTCTCCTGACTCGCTGTCAACTATGCGCACTAGTAGTGATGCAAGACCGATTTAGAAGGTGGTATACAATTTTGGAATCATCCGGGTCCAATCTAGACGGCGGTATACAATTCTGGCGTTTTCCGGCAAGGGGACCCGCGCGGTAGTCACGTGACCGTATTTGTCTATATATACCCACATCCCCCCCAAATCTTCATTCTTCTTTTCTTTCTTCTTCAGCTCTCTTTGCCTATTGGCTTAGATCAAGTGTAGTATCTGTTCTTTTCAGTTTAATCTCTGAAAGTTTCCGTCCAGGAAACACTTTGATTATTCCTATTTTTAGAACCCGCGACTTGGCCCCTGTGCTTGCGCATGCCTCGTTGCACAGTGTCATTGGGCTTACACTGACCCCGATCGACGCGAACTCCTTTTTTCATCAACTGTTCAGCTTGTCCGGGCGCTTGGAGAAGAAGTTTTCTTTAGTAAACGTAGGTGATATACCCTCTGTTGGTTAACTAACATTTCTCTCACTTGTCACTCGTCATGACGCGGTCACTCACTTGTCACGACGCGGTCTACACTGTCTTGTATCTGGTTGTTTTCTGCTGTGTTTTATCCCCTGGATGCTCTAGTCCTCACTGGCTGCCTCCCTGGATGGCTTTTGTGCCCTTGCAGGTGAGACACTACTACTGCACAGTAATATAGTTATCCACCTTTATGGGGAAGACATGTATGTAAATCATTGACTATTCACACATAGTGATGAGCAATCTATGGTAGATTACTACTATATGTGGGAGAAAGCAAAGCAAGAATTCTTAATTGGTAAAACTAATAATGCAGGTGTTTATATACCCTGTAGAAACTATCTGAACATTGCTCAATTGTAGCAAACAACAAATAGCAAATAGCAAACAAATATCAAAAGGCTCAGTCTGCAGCAAACAACATGCATGCATGAATGGGGGATTGTTCAACACATAGTAACCCAACTAGACCGTTGCACTCATTTTATTTAATCTATACCAGAACTACTCGACGTAATAATTGCTTTGCATTGTTCATACTCCGTAACAAAAGTGTTGGGTTGCATTATAGATCCACTATGTAGTACCTCCAGGGCTAGTTACATAGTTACTACATGTACATCCATAGATAGTTAACTAGTGTAGCTTGCATGTCTCAAGTGGCCTATCTCGGCTGCACATGGCAGGGTGGCAGTGAACACACTATACTATAAACAGGGGGCCAGAAAGCGGGGAATTCATTCTACAATGTTCTTAGTGTACGACTAGTTATACAATGTCCTTACGGAGTAGTGCATATACAACGTCCTTGGTGCATACAAGGGTCCAAATAGTGGAGCGCAGGAGCGCTAGTACCCCAGTAATTGCAGGAGAGTCGAAAAAGGCACTCCGTAATATTTCACTATATCTCGACCAGGAACGAAGAGGGAAGAAAGATGCGGAGGCTCTATCTAGCTGCATCGGAAGCCGACGGTCGATCCACGACAGCCTCTTGGCAATGTGCCATACTATATACAAGCTTATACTAAAAAGGTTGTATACTCTTTACAAGTCGGCATTTCCCGCAGCCCAGAGTTCCCCTTTCTGCCTAGAATTGCTATCAACTTCTAGGTAAAATCCTCACTTAGTGTCCAGCATAACCCACCTACTCTTATTTTATTCCTAGTAGATCTAAAAAAGAGTCAGTTCCTCACTAGTTAGGGTTGTTGCGGGCATGGAACTGGTTATGGTATGATTAACTCATAGTTTATTCTCTAACATTTTAGGTATCATCTCCACTAATCCGACTACATATTGATATTAGATGCCGTGCAGGCATTTGTATATCCATGTCTTATCCACTAACCACGCGACCTTCCACAAATACCGATCCAGAGCGATAGACTCCCACCCCTGCAAGGACATATATCCGGTATTTCCAGCTCACAGGGATGCAATCACTAGCCTTAAAATACCATACAACTAGTTAACATCGGGTACACTTTCACCGCTTCCCATAGACAGCTACCTAACAAGAGACAAACTTGGTCTGGATAATGGTATTGGTGCTGTTTCGCTCGAGGTGTTGGGCAAGGAGCATCATTTCGCAGTGCGCCGTGTGATTATACTTGCCGATATAATTATCCACAGGTTTGCCCCGCAACAAGGCCCGGTGCATCTTCCGCCAAGTGTATGTGCAGTGGAGCAAATGATATTCCCACGAAACAAATAGCTCATCATAATCGCCCCTCAGCACTGATTCATGCGGCGCCGGTGATCCGTCGGCATCCGTGAACCACTGCCATTCCTTCAAGCCAAGGAAGCTTTTTGTAAGGTCGGCGTCGTAACAGTCTGTTGGTAGCCAGGAGAAACTCATCGGGTCGAAATGGCAGCCTGCGGATTTGGCTTCGTCCCGTGAGGATCCACAGTGGGCGATAGGAGAGGTTGACATCTTATATGGTGGAGGAGTGTAGAGTATATTTGCAACGAGGATGTTGAGAGACACGAGAACGACGATGATGATGAAAATAGCGGTTGACTTGATCTTGGATGCTTTCTGGACCTTCTCTCTTGGGGAAACCTTGAGAAGAGACTCGCCGATTTCGAGGTTTGGTTCCATATTGGGCATAATGCTAGGAGAGAGACTGACAGCTCATGGAGTTGATCCGTACAGTTAAATTGAGTGAGTGTATGATGAACGAATCACTCGAGCATACCGCTAGACTGGTTCTGGACCTGATAGTATATAGCCTTGGGGGCCACGGATGTGCCCCGTGATAAGTATTTTACTCGAATCTGGTCTAGCAAGAAAGTTAGGATAAGTAAATCTTGTTCTCAGACCTTCACTCTCATATTGACAGTCCATAGGATTCCAATGCCTGTCTATCCCAAGCCCGGTTTCGGGGGATGCGTGAGTCAGTAGTCGATATCTCAAGATATAAGTAGCTGTCTCTCCCCTCTCTGTATTTAAAACAAGTCAAAGATCCAACTCACTCCCGATCTTGAATAAATTCTTCAAAATGCGTTTCACTACTGTGCTGTCTAGCCTCTTCGTCCTCGCCACCCTTGGCCTGGCTGCTCCTATCGCTGAGCCTACTCCGGATGTTGTTGCTGTTAGTTTTTGTCCTCTCTATCACATTATATACTAGCCATTTAGACTAACCCCTGCTAGCGTGATGAGGTCGCTGCACGTGGAAGCCTGGGATACTGCTATATTAAGCGTGACACTGAGGGAACAGATTCGGCTGATCAACTCTGGTATGAGACCTATCACAGTTTCTTGGTGACACCCACTGACAGTATTCATTCAAGCTGAGCTTAAATCGAGGTCACCACGGCTCGTTAGTCTCTGAGTGGTCCTATCAATGACTACAACATAGAGGGTTGGACCCAATGTGATATGTGTGTTCAGATTAGACCAATTAAATCAAACGATCTAATTTTTGAAAAGACATCGAAAGCTGCGGGGGATAATATTATAGGCGGACATATGTTCCAATTCAGGTCTAGTAGTAGTTGTCTGCACCAATAATGCAACAGGATGTTAACGAGAACGAGCGCTATCTATATCCCTGCACTTTCGGGACCTTTGTTTCTCTCTATCTGGTGACCCCCGCAGCCGGAGGGGGACATTTAATTTAACTGCATGTGCGGATCTCCATTCTACAACTTCCTCGTATTCCTTCTCCACCATGCTACCCTCGAGAGATGACATAGCAAAGTTCATCTCCATCGTTCCAGAAGCCAGTGAAGGGGTCGCCCTCAGGTTGTTGGAGGTACGCCATTTGTACCACTTCCCTTTCCAACTATACTGACACGTATAATCAAGCAAGCGGAAAACATCGATGATGCTATCAGTCGGTATTATGATGTTCAAAATGAGACTACAGCTCCAAGTTCGCCTACTATGGATGCTGAAGCGGATATGCGGAACTGCCTCCCGCCGTATGCACGTTCAGCAATAAGAGGGCTTACACATCATCACACCAATACATTCATTGAAGCTACCAAAATCCGCTCTATAGATGAAGTACGTATAGAGTCCTTCTATTTTGGTAATTTGCTGACTTTTATCTGCTCCGATAGCATGATATGAAGGCCACCCTACACGCCATTCAGCAGGCCTGTCACATTTTCAATAGTGATATTGAACCACAGTATACCTCGCAATCTATTATCTGTGACTGCGATATTCACAAATACAAAGACAGAAAGTCTGCCCGACTTTCTGTTCAGGAAATGTGGTCCAAAGCAGTCATGTACCCAGGTCAGCTCTGTCAATTTGACGATATTAGTTGCGTTGCGGCGACGGTCTAACCCTCTTTCTCGTCCGAGCAGATGAATTAGCCTATTATGATAGTCATTCATCGGCTCGCGTCATGAAGAATCCGTATAACCGTGTGCCCTCGCCTTTTGCAACTACAACCACCGGGAGTTACAGTACGGCAAAGCCTACTCTGTTCGGCTACAGCCAGTATATTCAAAAGATTGTACGATTGAATGCAACTCTCAATGCTGAGGCACAGGCTACCATTGATGCAACAGAACCAACGTCTACCATATGGGATACGGATACCGAAGACCGAGCGACATCTATACCGAATGAGGTTGACCCCACACCTTCTTCAGATACCCAGCAACCAGTTGAACAGCGGCTCATTCATCAAAATAATCCGTCAGATCCCCTCACTGAAAGCTCCAAGCCATCAGCATTTGGTAGTTTGAAAAAGATGCTATCGAAGAAGACGACAGAGGAGAAGGCAGTTATTCACACTAGGGGGCTACGCAAGGCCATCCTAGATGAGGAGCAAGGCAGATGGCCAAATCAAGAGTGGCGACAGCTTGTGGCAACATATCAAGAAACAGTTGGAATAAGTCCAAAGATCGCCGATCTTCGTACCCGGCACCCAATTCAGTATTTCCACCTCCTCCGAGTTGGATATTTTGAGCCTATTCCACTGGCCTGGGTAGAATCAACATCTAATCCTCTCAAATTGTCCATTGACGCAATGGGTGGGTGGAGAGGAGTCACACCCGGTTGGAGGGGATACAAAGACCTCGCCGAGGAGCGTCTATACTGGGTCATGAATAACACAGAGGGCATTGTTGGGAGTAAGACGAAGCCCGATATCATCTCCGCGATGAGCATGGCTCGATCTAGAATGGAATCCGCGATTGAAACACCTCCGGAATACTCCTCACGCGATGATATCTGCAAGGTTCAATCAATCTCCGAGACTTACTCGAAACAGGTCATGTCTCCTTTCAGATACTTTGGGGAGCCGGCGGTTCCTTTAGACGAGACTATGGTCCTCCTAGAGATCTCTAAGTCTATGAATTTTGCACCGCTTCGCCCGAATTATAAGGAGCATATCATTACAGGCTATTTCACCTCTAAGCAGCCAAAGAGCAGAGGTGACAATATTCCCCTCCGACCCATCTACATTAGATATTAACTTCAGGAAATAGATATCGCCAAGACCATCATACATCGCTTTACTCAAGCAATGATCAATCACGACCACAATACCCGAGGCTATCAATTCGTCACATTCGCAGATCAAGCCCGCTATGTTGGCCATATCAACCACCACAATTTCGAACAAACATGGTCAAAGATTAAATTCGGAGGAGATACTCGACTGATGTCAGGCTGGCAAAGAGCAAAGGAACTCCACTTCCAAAAACACTCGGGAACAGCAATTTACCACCCTATGTACGGGTGGCAAGCTGGTCCACAAACGCCCATACTGAGACTGCTTATCGTACTCGACGGCGAAGTAACAGACATGAACGAATTCCTGCTCGATCTTCTTGGTTTAGATTGGGTGTACGCCACGATCTTTCTGATGGGTCCAGATAGGTGTCCAAACCACCATCGCCGTGCAAATGAGCTACAGAGAATCAGCAATACCAATCCCCGTGTCTCGCTCCTAGATGCGCAGGGGAATATACCGGAGCGCTTCGTCACTCATGAACTGTTAAAGCGACATCTTCGATATGGTGTTTCGTTCTCTGATTTTGAGACGTTGGAGCGAGCGACGATGGATTTACCTTCATATATGGAATAAACTGCACGTGTTCGGTCAAATGGTCTGAGCTTTTCGATGTATCGCAAGAAGATCAACCATCTAGATCTGATTGTCGTCTTTTGCCTTTTACTACAACCACCGTGTTTTTATACCTCTAACTCAACTCAAATTGGCCACAATAGGTAAGGCCTTTGGTGCCATCTGCTTTTAAAATCTAGCTAAAAATAATGAGAAATCTGAATATCAGTGATGGTCTATATATATACTAACAGAAACAAGCATTTAAGTGCTGCTAGACTATTAGAAGAGCTCGTACAGTTTCTAGTTTCTATTCTTGAATGTACCATGGATTTTAGCGCCTGGTTATGATTAAATGGAAGGTCTGGGATACTCAGACCCTCATAACATGACGAGGGAATCACACGGCCTACAATCCCCCAGAGAGAACTATTATATATAGACCCGTATGACTTATACTTGTTTTGCCTGAGATTTAGTCACCGTCTCAGACCCAATTAACGGGATACCCCTTGGAACTAGTGAAACTAGGAATGGTGGGTTCTCCAATCAGGATGAAACTAGCACCTCCTATGTGGTGGAGCGGGAAAGTTGATTGTGACAAGTTTCGCCAGGTGCAGTAGCGCCGTCCATTGAGCGCGACATGTGAGAGACTTTGGCGCTGTGGCGGAGATCCCTAGATCGCTGTATCAATGTACTTCTAAGGTACTTTATAATATATGGACAACCTCAATCAATACCAAGTACTTCTCTTGTAGTTGTGGAGATAACTCCAGTGATCCAAGGTTCCACGTCCATCAAACCAGAGAAATCAGACAGGGGCATTCTCACTCTCTCTCTCTTTCGATGTCTCTTTCTCACTCTACTTCCTTCTACACTTCTCCAGAATCAATTATTCCTAGTCCCTCCTAGTTCTTCTCTCTTAATTGACATCAATTTCCGTGAATTTCGGAATCGGGACCACTTTGTTTCACCTACCAAATTGCTGGAGCCGCTTCAAAGCTCTCTGCCCCACCACTTCCCCTACGGCCCGCTGTTTCTCCAGGTTCACCTCTTCTCATCTTCATCTCCTTTCATTCTCTGTTTTTTCTTTGCCTGGCTAAAGGACGAGACAACAAGGTGAGCTCCAATCCAGTCCCGACCCGTGCTGATCCCGCAGCAAGAGGTTTGACCCCGCTTCGGAGCGTCTTGGCTCATCCTCTCCATGCGGCCCAGCATCATCACCGTCAATTCCACTAACATGCCACGTTCTTAGGCTCTGAACTTGATACCGTGATACCGTGATACCAACCTGACAGCACAACCCCTGATCTTCGTACCCTACTCTGGTCTCTTGGGTCTAGACGCTGTACCTGTCACATCCCCTCCCCCACCCGGAGCTTCGTACGACCAAGGTCCCATTACCTTTTCTACTCCTCGCCTTACATTCCCTGAGATCTTGCCGACCTTCGAAACCCAATCCAGTCGAGAGCTTGAGCACCTTTCCGAGAAACCAATTAATTCGATTGCAGCGCAAACGAAAGTAAGCTTTATATCCCGGTTTCCGTGCATTGTCGTGGCGTTTGTTCCCCCGCGCCGGCACTTGTCGAGTTGCTCGAGCCTTTCGAGCGATTGACCCCAAGTGCTATTTTCTTGCGTTCCCTGAATTGTGAATCGTCGAATTGTGCGCGATTCTCCGTCTACTGTTTTCAAAACCCGGTTCCCGTTTCATTTACCCATGGACTGCGTTCGACCTTTTTTCCATTGGATCCCACGGATTTTTAAAGCTGACGATTCCCCAAAGGATACCCCTACCAAAGGAATTACTCTCAACATGGTTCAGCCAAACCCTCCCGCGGGAGGATCCCGGAAGATTTCCTTCAATGTTTCCGACCAATATGAAATCCAAGATGTTATCGGCGAGGGCGCCTATGGTGTCGTCTGGTATGTAGTACGAGACTTTTTTTTGTCAAGTCTCCTCTAACTCCATGCAGCTCTGCCATCCATAAGCCCTCGGGCCAGAAGGTTGCCATCAAGAAGATCACGCCATTCGATCACTCCATGTTCTGCCTGCGTACATTGCGTGAGATGAAGTTGCTGAGATACTTTAATCACGAAAACATCATCTCCATCCTGGATATTCAACGGCCCCGTAACTACGAGGGGTTCAATGAAGTTTACCTGATTCAAGTATGTCCAAGCTTGCCATCTGGCAAGATGCGCATGTATGGGATATGCCTATGCGCAGTTTACTAACAGCATGCAGGAACTGATGGAAACAGACATGCATCGGGTTATCCGCACACAAGACCTCTCAGACGACCACTGCCAATACTTTATCTACCAGACCCTGCGTGCACTCAAGGCGATGCACTCAGCCAACGTCCTCCACCGAGACTTGAAACCCTCGAATCTTCTGCTCAATGCTAACTGCGACCTGAAAGTCTGTGACTTCGGTCTGGCTCGTTCGGCCGCCTCCACCGACGACAACTCCGGATTCATGACAGAATATGTGGCCACACGTTGGTACCGTGCACCGGAGATCATGTTGACATTCAAGGAATACACGAAGGCTATTGACGTGTGGAGTGTCGGCTGCATATTGGCCGAGATGCTGAGCGGAAAGCCTCTTTTCCCTGGCAAGGATTGTACGATTCCATTTTTCCTTTCAAGCAGCAATCACCATAACTAACATGTACATCTAGATCACCACCAGCTGACTCTCATTCTGGACGTCCTCGGCACACCCACGATGGAAGATTACTACGGCATCAAATCCCGCCGTGCCCGCGAATACATCCGCTCCCTCCCCTTTAAGAAGAAGATTCCCTTCCGCGCACTCTTCCCCAAGAGCAACGACACGGCTCTGGATCTGCTTGAGAAGCTACTCGCTTTCAACCCGGCCAAGCGTATCACCGTTGAGGAAGCCCTCAAACACCCCTACCTTGAGCCGTACCATGATCCCGAAGATGAGCCCACTGCACCACCCATTCCCGATGGATTCTTCGACTTCGACAAGAACAAAGATGCTCTGAGTAAGGAGCAGCTGAAGCGTGAGTTTACCCTTCGTGTCTGATTCTAGTCTTCTCTTGGTATATCTACTAACTTCTTTTCCAGTCTTGATCTACGAGGAAATCATGCGGTAAATCTGACTTTGACTATTTCAAACGATATTAGGCTGGTTAGGGAGATGTTGGGTTCTATTCTATTCCGCACGCACGCACTTTGACTTGACAGCGTGATTTGACACATGTTAGAGATAGCAGGGCAACTCGAAATGTGATTATAGGTGTTCACGTAAAACAGTTGATTTACACTGTAATACCTTGCACTTCACCTCTCTTATTTTATATACACATAGTCCGAGTTCTACATCTAGTTATATACATCCACCCTACACAACAAGCACACAAAATACATACTTGTACACACCCATCCATATCCACCTCTCAAAGTCCACTCCTAAACTTCTCAATACCCTCAAGCACACCCTCAGGACTAGGCTTAGGCGCACAAACATGCGCCTCAAACCCAAACTTCTCACGCAGATGGTCCCTCGTCGTAGGTCCAATAGTAGCAACAAAGACCCTCCCAGTTCCTTTTCCATTTCCAGTTCCGTCTCCAGTTCCAGCAAAAGGCCCTAACCCAAGAACCCTCAACATAGCCTCACACCCCGTCGGCGAGAAAACAACAACCCAAACATCCCCAGCCGACCTCCCGACGACATCTGCAAAATCCCCTTCAAAAGACTCCATAACACCCGTCTCATACACAACAAGCTCCTCAACCCCAACCCGCTTTTCCACCGGTAAGGTCGTATCCATTAGTGTTTTCGGGATAATATCCCTCCGCACTTCCCCGACGAGAAATAAGAGTGCGGGTTTGTTAGTCGGGTACAGGGAATCATAGTGTGAGAGGATGAGACGGGCGAGGTTCTCTCCGGTTCCTGTGTCGGCGCCGTGGATGAGGGCGTTTGGGAGGTGTTTGTCGCGCAGGGTTGTGAGGGTTCGCGCTGTTGCTGGGCCCACGGTGTACAGGATTAGGGGTGGGGTTGTTTGGATATTGAAGAGTACTGGATTTGTCACATTTGGTTACGTTAGTTGGTTGTTTGCGTTGGGATGTGTTGGTGTTGGTGTTTCGGTTGGGTGTTGGGTGTTGTATGTACCGTCTTTTTCATCTTCGATCATCTGCGCGAAGCCCTCGACTGCGCGTTGGCTGGTGAAGATTAGTCCGCCGTATTTTCGGGGGGGTGGGGACATTGTTGTTGGATGTGAATGCGCCGGTGCTGAATTGGTCGCGGACTTGGGTGAGGTTGTGTTTTAGGAAGCGGTGTTCGAGGACTGGGATGAAGGTTGGGGTGTAGTTTTGTGCGGAGAAGAAGTCGTCGTAGCCATCGTGGGGGGAGGATTTTGTTTTGAGGAGGAGGATGGGTGTTGGGGACATTGTAGGAGACATTGTGGGGGGTTGTTTTGGGGTGTGGAGGTTGGGGTGAAGGTGAGGGTGAGGATGAGGATTGGAGGTGGGATTGATATGATGTTACCGAGTGCGGGGAGCTCTGGGGAATTGGGTTTTTGATATTTGGGCCTCTTCTGGCGAATGAGTTCGATAGAAGCTGGCACTTTAGTTTATGGGCTTGTCTACTAACCTACTGTACACATACTATGTTCGTACAACACTCATCCACAAAGGAAATCGACTTTGGTCTAGGAAGGCTTATTTACACATTAAAAACACAAACTACTGATCGTCCAGCACGTGCAGGTACCGCTTGTCCTCCTGGCGCTCGCGCTCCGTGGAGGGAGGCAGATCGTAGTAAGAGGCACTACGGTAGCCCTGCAGGTAGTGGAAGGTCAAGTTGGCCAGATCGGCGGTCTCCTCCATGCCGAGGTCCTTGAAGGTCTTGGCTGTTGGGTCGATGACCTGGTCGAGGAACTCGCGCTCCACCTCGTCGGCGGACAGGGTGTGCCACCACAGGGCCTTGTTGACGTAGTGGGCGAGGGGCTTGAGAAGAGCCTTGGGGACGTTGATGTGACGGCGCTTCTTGATGATTTCACTGTCGACCAACTCTGCGATCTCGGCGGTGGAGTAGTTCTTGGGGCCGTACAACTCAAAGGTTTGGCCGGCGGTGCTGTCATCGTGCAGCATGCGCTCCAGAGCGGAACCGACATCAATGGCCTAGATAGGGTCAGTTCAATGTAGCTTGGCCATCCTGGGGAATAACTCACGTGAACGGGCCAGTAACGCTCCTGCATGTGGTTGGAGGTGAAAACGTTGCCCATCTTGGCCAGCTTGTGGAGCAGGTTGTCCTCGAAACCGAACATTGGTGCAGGTCGCACGATTGTGGTCTCGGGGTAGATCTTGCGGACGATCTCCTCACCCCATGCCTATATGTCATCAGCACTCTCCTTCTTGTATAGTTCCCGTAGATATGCTGACCTTGGTGGCGAAGTACTCGGAAGGCGAGTCACGGTTAGCGTTGTAGGAAGAAACGTGAATGAAGCGGTCGACATCGTACTTGGCAACAGCATCGGCAATACGCTCGACACCGTCGACGTGGACGTCTTCGTAGGAGAAGTTCCTGGTATTGTTAGGAACCACTTATTTATATATATATCACACACTATAACTCACTTGGTGGGATATTGGCGACCGACAAGGTTGTAGACAACATCGGAGTGACGAACGCTCTCCTCAATGGACTGGGTGTTGCGCAGGTCATATTCCTATACTGGAGTCAGACACACCCCCTCAATTTAAACAAAATATACGGTAGTAAGACTCCATACCATGAAGACAACTCGGCCAAGATCACCAGTGACCTTCAAGTGTCTCTTGGCCATCTCCTCACGGTAGGGAATGACAACGGTGCATCCCTGGCGAGCTGCGAGCCGTTAGTGCATGATCCAATTGGGGTGCAGCAGACCCTCAACCTACCAAGCTTGTTGACAATGTAGCGACCGAGGAAACCAGTAGCACCAAAGACGGTCGCGGTGTGACCTAGAATCGTGTGAGCATATCGGACCGAAGCGTAGCATCAAAATGGGAAGGCTTTAGCTACCTCCAATGGAAGAACTATAGAAAGAGCGCATCAGCAAGCAAGAACAATAACCCTGTCCATAGCACAATTGATCACTTACCGGCCACCTTGGACCTTCACGAGGGGCTTGCCAGTCCGGGTGATGCGGACATCCTGAAGGTTGCGCTGGAATTGAAGCTGAACCCGCGGGACTGGCACAAAGGGACGGGCCCCCAGGGCAGTGTTGATAGTGCGAGACTTCTGCATGGTCTCTGGCTGAGTATATCTCTCGAGACCAGCGAATTGGAGCGGAGTGTTGCCAAGAAGGGCGTGGTGATGTGCGAGGGTCTTTCGCAGCGTCAAGTCGGAAGAACCGCACGGGACTATTGCGCTAGTCCTGATTCGGGAGTACGGACCACCACTTTAACAAAACATTTTCTCGTCTTTCTTTCTTTTTGTATAGCCAGTACAACATATGGTGGATTCTGATTGTTCTTTGATTTGAAATTAGTATACTAACTAAAATCTATGGGCTTGGCTATATCTACAACCTCTGTAGGAGAAAATCACCGTTTTGATCTGACAACACCTGGACTATGATTGGATGTTCCCCAGGCTTGAGTTGGCTATAAGATTGCCATATTAACAACATAGTCAAAGTAACTATCACTTACGGACTGTGTGTCATGGGGGTATTAAAGCCATCTATTGCGTCTTGAATGGGCTTGCAGTGGTATGTTTCTCTAGTATAAGCATTGAACAATATATAGTTGTTGGATGTCTGGGAAGAGGATGTTTACCTAGGTAGTGATATACACTCTGACTACACCCTGACTACATAACTATATATACATACATACACTCATCCATCCACCCTACCAACCACTAACCAATAAATACCCTAAAAATGTATGTTTATAAAAAAGGAAAGCCATGATCGTATCTGAAAAGTACTATTTTTGATAATAAAAAAATAAATGACAGCTGTGTCATTGTGTATTTCCAAAGATTTATGAGAGGAGTTTTGTGGGCAAATCACGGCCATCTCTGGTAAAAGGCAAGAAATGGGTTCTGCACTAACTTGTCCCACTCCTCGGGTGTCTTTATCTTATTTGCTTTATAATATACCCCCTTTACTACTTTCGGGCAAGGGGCCGAACACACAACGGTCGGTGTTCGAAACTCGTCAGTGGATTTATTTCCAATTATTTGTCGATGACCCCGCATATTAATTTACTATCGTTGAGCTTCAATTCGACTGACTTCATTATTTATCACCCCTTAAAAAAATACCATACAACATGTCGTCTGCTGCCTGTATTTTCTGCAAGATCATCAAGGGTATGTCCATTCTTTAACACTATAGTTATCTACATATGTACACATCAATCTCTATTGCAATATTCAACTCGACACGTCATACCAAAACATGGGTTGACTGACATGCCTCCTTGGGGGGTCCTATAGGAGATATCCCTTCCTTGAAGCTCTTTGAGAGCGAGAAAGTCTTCGCCTTCCTTGACATCCAGCCGCTGAGCCGTGGCCATGCGGTGCGTATTATTATTCCCTACAAGCGCTCTTCCCGATGTCCCCGCATCCGGCAGGTTGCTTCGTGGCGGGGCGACAACGAAGTTGCCCGTACTCTGGCGATAGCCTGCAGCCAGCAATTCGGAACCGATAATTAAAAAGAAAAGAAGAGAAAAGAAAACCAAACTGATCGCATGAACAGCTTGTCATCCCCAAATTCCACGGCGCAAAGCTGACCGATATCCCTGACGAGGACTTGCTCGAGATCTTGGTAAGTGCATAAGAGAACAACCCAGGGTCAAGAAGAGAGTGAAGACGAGAGTCAATTTCTTCAATCTCTGATTGAGTTCGACTACATCGTCACGAGGACCTTGGGGGCAATCCCACAAGGTCCCTCGCACACAGGGACATAGCTAACCGAGATGTACGCCGGCAGCCCGTCGCGAAGAAGATTGCCAAGGCCAGCGGTGCCGAGGATTTCAATGTCCTGCAGAACAATGGAGCAATTGCGCACCAGGTCGTTGGTCATGTGAGTTTCAGTTGAGGATCTTTCTAATGATGGGACTGTGCTAACCAACCCTCTCTAACAGGTTCACTTCCACATGGTATGCTCTACTATCTTTTGGATATTTGGTCCTACGCTAGAAAGCACCTTCGGAACATACACTGACAAAACAATAGATCCCCAAGCCCAACGAGAAGGAGGGTCTGATCATTGGCTGGCCTGCCCAGGAAACGGATATGGCCAAGCTCAAGGCTCTTCACGAGGAGATCAAGTCGAAGATTTAAATGGCTTTGGCTTAGGATAATCCTCGAACGAAATCGATAATATTGAAAACCGAGTTATTTTCATAAATTAGAACACCGTAACCCGTTGGCCGAAGGATTGTAGTCCTACTTGTGAGTAGATGGAGCTAGAAACACCCGAGTAGGAAGTTAGTTCAGATGTAAAGGAGTCCGCTCTTGAATGTATACCAAAATGTTCGTATATCCTCTAGTTAACAAGAACCAAGCCTGTATGTTACAAACATGCAAAATCCGGACTCTAAATATCTAGTAGGTAAGCATGGAAATCAAAATTAAACACACCCGACTCATGGACTCTGCACAGCTTATGCTGATGTACTCTCCGCTTCCTTCTCCGAGCCAGGATAGAAGTTAATCTTCCCACCGCCCTGAACAACATTAAGTCTGTCGTAGAGCGAGCGAGCCCGGACATACGGGTCAAGAACCCAGTAGTGCGCACGCAGCTGCTCGATCAGCCCCTTCCGCTTCTCCGCAGCAGCAGAGGCAGCGTCAGTCTCCTTCTTGAAGCTGGCGCGGATCCACTCAACGGTGGTATCCTGGATCTCCTGGGCGAGCTTTTGGCGCTCGGCCATCAGGGTATCCCGCGTTTCCTTGTCAGCCATCTTGGGGTTCTCGTTCTCCGGCACCTCGACGTATTTGTATTCCCAGTCTTCGTCGCCCTCAAGCTCCTTCATGATTTGGCTTGGGTGGATGAAGTTTTCGAGATCCTGGCGGTTTTTCGTGAAGTGGATCTTTGCTGCCACAACTGGGTCGAGCCAGCCCTTGATCACGCTCCAGATGCCTGGGTTGGGTTAGAAAGGGGTGTTTTAGATGGCTTGTGGGATACGGACTTGAGAATAACCAGGGGGCCTTGTGGATGAGCACTGCTCCGAGTGACTCGGGGTAATTGGCTTCGAAGCACTTGATCATGAATTTCACGGGGGCGTAGTCCTGGGAAATATCAGTATACATAGCGTGGACAATATTAAGACGAAAAACTTACCATGTTGGCCATACCGAAGTCCGTCATATCGAAGACAATAGTCTGCAAGAGTCAGTTACCGAGACACAATCCTCACACCAGAGTACTTACCGCAGTCTCGATCGGCGGCGCAAGCAACAAACGCGCAGTCTCAATAGTATAAACAGTAAACCGCTCCAAGCCCTCATTGTCCTGATCACCAGCCTTATGCAAGCGCACACGGACAACACAGATGGGCCGACCAGCCCGATCAACACCGTGCAGGAAACTCTTACCCAGACGCATCTGCGTGAGGAAATCATCACCCTTCTTCTTCTCCTTGGGATCAGAGCCCTGCGACATCTTCACAGCTGACGGCTCACCGTTGAACATGATATCGTCATCGACATGCATTTCCAGCAGTCGCCAGCGCATCGTGGAAATCAACATAACAAGCGCCTTCTTGGGATCCCACTTGCGCGCACGCAGGAACCGCAGCAGAAGCGAGTCCGGGTTATCGCCTTTCACCATGCTCCAGAATGCCGTGCGGATCTCCTCGGGCTTCATGTCCTCCAGTGCCTGCTTGAACTCCTTGGACTGGCCGTACTTGTCGTCACCATCGCCGACGCTGATTGAAGATACGCTAGAAGTGGCGCCGCTCTTCGTGTCCTCGTCGTCGGCGCGGCCGAAAAGTCCCCACCGGCCCTTGGACTTCTTCTTATCCTGGGCTGCGGCGGATGTTGCGGCTTCGCTGGTGGCTGTGGACGGTGGCGCCTCGAGTCCTTCGAGTGTGAGGCCGAAGACTTTTAGAGTCAGGACCCAGAATTCCTTCAGCTTGACTTCTTGCTCTGGGGTGAGGTTCCCGACTGTTCCGGGGGCGGGTTCGGCAGGCATGGTCGCGAGGGTATCGATTACTCCGAGGGAGGGTTTTTGAGGGAGTCGGGGCTGCGAAGTGATTGTGTCTTTGGGATTGAAGTATCTGTCCTGGAGCCAAGCGCCTCCTCCAACAATAGCGAGTGTAAATGTAAGGGTCCAAAAAGATGAAGCCTTCTGATGTTCTGGGTAGGTGGAGAATGGTCGCGCGAATGAATACCGAGCGACAGGGAACTTAGCCGAAGGATAGAGACGGCGTAATATCGTGCCACGCATAAGCAGTGTAATTGATATGGTGATATGATGATATGAGTGAGCACGAGGTCTTAGTACTGAGAGACAGAAAGGAAGAAAATGCGAGAGCGGAATCAAAGATATGACGATGCGGGGAAGATCATCTCCTAAAATAGATATATAGTCTAGAATAATGAATTAATTTGAGACATTTTGATTTCCTTCGAGTCTATAATTGTTGTTATATATCTTGTACAATCCACTCCTCATCTCAAAGTTGCAAGTATAAAAGGTTGTCGCGTGAGAGATCTTTCCGGGGGGAGATCAACAATCCCAAACACAACCCACTCAACATACAACATAACTCGGACAACCCACCTGTTTCGCAATAACAACGCCCTATTATTGTTGGTCCATTGTCTCTCGCCAGCACACCCATCGCATTCTTAAAACACATCACAGACATGGACGCACCTCGATCATCCTCGCGTCCGAGACCCTCATCTAGGCCCACAACCCCTCTACGCCCCAGCTCGCGCTCTTCATTACGGGAGGCTCACGGATATGGAAATAGCATTGGAAATGCAGGATATACACAACCCGCCATCAATGCTTTAGAGCCACAGTTCGCCGAGCTGGCCGATTCGATGGCAGACCTCGAGGCCAACTTCATGCACTTGCAGCTAATGCACGAGAGCCTGACGCGCTTCAGTGAGAGTTTTGCCAGCTTCCTCTACGGATTGAATATGAATGCATTCTGTGTGGATTTCCCAGAGGTATGGTCGCCGACGCGTCGTCCACAGTTGTGGCAGTGGTGATAGTGCGCGACTGGGTTGCTGATTCGTTCGATTTAGGCTCCAATTTCAGACTCATTCAAAAAAGCTAAGCAGGACGAAGAAGAAAAAGGTGCGAACGCTCTCTGTGGGAAATACCTGGATCTGGTGGTCGGGGTTTGCTAACAGCTATCCAGAGGCGGAATTAGAACCAACACGACCGATTGATGACGGCGAAATGACCTTTATGTGAGTCGAGAGAGCGATGCGATAAATCCCCCATAGGAGAATAATTGAGCTAATGCGCTCTTATGTTACAGGACTACGGACACAACTTTTGTGGAGAATCCCTCGAGCACCACCACCAGCTCCTCTAGACCGACGTCTAAGTATGCTGCAGGCTCACGAGCATCGTCGCGTGGCACTGCCCGTGGTGCAGCAACCAGCCGGTATACTACACGAGGCACTGCGCGTGGCGCTCGTCCCAGTGCACTGCCTCGGGGCAGAGGGACTGGAACTCGGTAAAGAGCTGGATACCCAAATACTCAGAATTGTGGACAATCAGTGTTATGTTACGGAGTACATGTATGACCATTGGCACCCAAGAGCTGGGCCTTTGCCTACAACATACAGCTTTCACCTATAATGGGCTAGCGCATCTCCCTTCCATTATGATTCCCTAGAAATGAATGACCCATTGAATGAAACTATACCATGTCACTCAGAGGTTGTGCAACATTAAAATCAACCTATATACTTTAATACCAATTAAATATTTCCTATCCAAAAAAAAATTAACAAAGACCTGCTTCTCTGCTTTGGCCATCTTCTGCCATTGAAATTGCTCCCGATCTCTTATCCGGCGGTAAATCGGTAAATCGGGGTCAGGCGAAAAACCACCGCCCGATGGCGAACTCACCTCCCCCCCGACTACTTTTGAAATCCACAGGGAACTTTGACCCCATTCGTTGGATAATAGACCTTTATATTTATATTCATTGCTTTTGAGTAGGGTCTTATTATCTGAACTTTGACTGTCACGTCAAATCAGGTCATTAACAACCCTTTGTGGGACTGTATAGCTTCCCTCTGTTGGTCTGCTATTGTCCCCATTCACTTGCTTTCGTAAGTTCTATTGTTCTATGACTCTCTGATTGATCATGTAATTGATTTCTATTGTTTATACAGTGCAATGCTGGCCCTATTCAGGAAGGGTCCTTGAGGCTGTACCGGGTCTCTTTATACCCAGCCTTTCTCTCTCCCTTGGATAACTCTTCTTCAACATCCTCTTCTTGTCTCCACGTGGATAGAAGTCTGGAACTTCTATTAACGTGTTTTTACTCCATATCTTTGTGTCGACTTTTGATTGACCTTAACCTTCTCCCTTCCATCCTATCTCTCTTACTCTCTCTCTCTTCTCATCCAACCATACTGATGTCGCTCACTATGGCAACCCTCGATTCGGTCCAGCTTCTTTCCGAAGCAGCTTTTGGCTGTGGTAAGAATTGGCAATTGCCGTGGCTCATTAATGCCCAGCTGACCTCCTGCTAGTACATCTTGCGTCTATTCTCTCTAAGGACGAGAAGACTGCTGGCCAGTTCAGAGAGGCATTCTGCAGGCAATACAAATTGCTAGCTCCGTTCTCAAAGACAGATACGGTAGCTGTTCCAACCACTGGCCTCCGAACTGTTGAGTCGCTCAAGCCGAAGTATCACTGTTTGAGTTGTGCAGAAGTATGCCTGGGCTCCAAGCGAGCGGAACATACTGCGGCGACTGGGCATGCATTTTGTAAGTCAATAAACTTTGACTGATCGGGTTGTTTCATACTTACACAAAGGTAGATCTCGAGTCTCGCAACCGCTTTGTCTTCTGTGAGAAGTGTGTCGATTTTATCTATGACCACACCCTGGACAGACTCCGTGGTCCTTCTGGCAAGTTCGAAGCCATCGGTGAGTCTCGGGCAATTCCAAATTACTCATCTCATGTGCATCTACTAACATCAGGCAGATGGGCGATCTATTTGGGCTGAAGACTCGGTCTCTGAGGTCTACGTCAAGAATAACGCCTACAAGAATCCATGCGCCATCCGCGGCGCTCGTGGTGTCTGGAACATGGGTCAAACATGCTACCAGGCTTCTATCTTACAGGCCATGCTTCACGACCCTAGCCTCACTGCCTATTTCCTGGGAGGTGGCCATGATGTCCACACATGTATGATCAAGGACTGTCTCGCCTGTGCGACAGCTGAAGTCTTCATGGAGTTCAATAGCGCCGATAAAACCGAAGCAGTCTCCGCAGCGGTGCTTCTTCACCATGGTTGGCAGAAATCCAAGGTATGTCGAGGTCAGAGTTGAAAGACAGAACTGGCTAACTAGTTTACAGGAGATGCGTGGATACCGCCAGCAAGACGCCCACGAATATTTCCAATTCCTTGTCAATGAACTGCACTCATCAACGCCTGGACACGTGGAGAACTATGACAAGCCGTGCAACTGCTTCTTCCACCAGATGTTCTACGGCGAACTGCGCAGCAGCGTCATGTGCCACAAATGCGGCCAAACCACAAATACCCACGACCCCATGGCCGATCTGAGTCTTGATGTGCAGCAGCAACACAAGAAACGCAAGCTCGGTCGCTCTACTTCTTCTACTACCGGAACTCTCTTGGGCTGTTTGGACAGCTTCACTGCTGCTGAAGATCTTCACGCCGATGCTGCCTACCACTGCGAAAAGTGTGGTAACACTCCACAGCGGGCTTCAAAGCGCCTGCAGATCCGCAAACTCCCTGTTATGCTTTGCATGCAGCTAAAGGTTTGTTTGAGTTTCTGACTGCCTTGGAATAAGATTCCATACTTACATTCATATAGCGTTATGGACACTCCTCAAACTCCTCTGAAAAAATGAACGGTCATATCGACTTCCCTTTGTCTGTGAACATGCTGCCCTACACTGTTAGAAAGGACAACCTCCCTGTTGACATGTCCAATTACATGTACGACCTGTCCACTGTGATTGTCCACCAAGGAACAATGGACTCTGGACATTACTATGCCTATACACGTCTTGACAACGACAAGGTTCGTTCCACTATATAACAATTGTCTCTGTGTTTGTGCTTTGCTAATGAGTTAACTTTATAGTGGGTACTGATGGATGACAATAAGGTCACCATCGCAGGTGTGGCGGAAGTCCTCCGCCAAGATGCCTATCTCCTGTTTTACAGCGCCCGCCATCTCCGGGCCGAGAAAGGAAAGAAGTAGATCCCCTATGCACAGAACAGACCACAGATAGGTAGTCCAATTAATAAGTCCCATACGTCGCTAACTACTTCATTCCTTCGCATATACTGGTATGACGCTATCCTATTGTAGACTTAGGAAGCTAGTAGAAGACCTCAGGAGTCCCCAATGTCCACAGGATACTAGCCAATTCTGATGAATGGGAAGACAATTCACATTTTATATCCTTCTCTAGCTACTAGATCGGTTTCTTTAATGTTGCAAGTGAAGCTGGAACCCACAATTTCAATCAGTCGACAGCTATCATTGTCACAGATGTTGGCCCTGGAGCGTATACGATGAATGAATCTGTATTCTCCGCAAACGACTTAGGCTAGCTAAATAACTACTGTTAGCCTGGCAAACAATGCATATGTCTCAACACCAAGTTCACACCAATACGTGAGGGGACAAATATTGTTTATGTAGCCAATGTGCTCCATTAGAGTGATTACCTCCTTTCTACTATGTTATCTCCTGACTAAGGATTTGTTGAAAGAGCATTGCTGTGGCCTTTTTGTCTTTTTGTGCTAATCACCATGTTTCTTCTGCAGTCTTCCATAACTACAAACGGCAACATCGACCCTCCAATGTGTTTTCTCGAGATTATTCCGATTATCCCCAAATCTATCACAGAATTGACATTTTGACCTTGCCCCGATTCTCATATCTAGTCTAGGGCAACTGTTTCATGGCTGTGGGGAGGAAGAAACACATCAGTCTTTGGGAACGGATGGAGACTGCGACAGAAGGGCTATATTTAAGAGCAGGCGAGTTGCATCGGCTGTACACGAAGGATGCTAATAACTTGCCTTTTTTTCGAGGTACATGAATTCAATGGACAATTACAGTTGACCCTGCTGTATATTGTAGTAAAAAGTGATGGTCTTATGCACATAATTTTATGAATTCCTGCTACTAAAGTTAGCATGTTGTATTTACAAGAGCAGGCCACAATATCTTATAGAAATGTCAGTTAAAGACATCAGCCTTGAAAATATTTGAAGTATAAGATATTAAAGCCTGAGGCACCAAGATGTTGTGATCGCCTTAGTCACATGATCCACCAAAAAAGTTAGCGTAACTCAAGCGAGTTGGCCCGTGCCCTATTCCCCATTGGGGCAGCACACAACGCAAATTCCAACCCTAACTCCTGTCTCCGTTCTTAACGCCCAACGCCAGCGACCCTCGTCCCGTCAACAACCCCGTCAACTCCCAGGTCCCGCCTTTAAACCTTCAAGATGACTCACGAGAGTGTTTGGTACAGCCGGCCCCGCAAGTAAGTCGAAACCGCACGCACACCAGGCACTATATCGAAAAAGAGTGACAAGGCTAACCATAAATTCGATAGGTACGGCAAGGGCTCCCGCGAATGGTGTGTTTACCCTACTACAATCCCCCGATGAACGATCCAGTCGACACCGAGAAAGAAACTTGGAGGAGGCCTGGATGGAATCGAAAATCGATATAAAAGGAACGGACTTGCTAATATTTGTGCGCCTTCAGCCGTGTCTGCTCCCACCGCGCCGGTCTGATCCGCAAGTACGGCGTAAGGAGAAACCGATCCCTGGAGCATATTGCAATGTGCAATATGTGACGTGACATGGACTTGTGTGGCTAATATGGCTGGTTTTAGATGAACATCTGCCGTCAGTGCTTCCGTGAGAAGTCCACCGACATCGGTTTCACCAAGGTTCGTTTCAATTCCTCGCTCGACGGTCCTATCCGATTCCATTCGAATACCACACAACCACGTTCTTCCGATATGAAAATCCAATCGACAATTGACCAATCTGCTACCACCACACATGCACCCTGCAAAAGCACAACACTAACCACAAGTCTCTCAACCTACAGTACCGCTAAGCGACCAAAAAGACTGACACCCTCCTCTCGAACCGTTCGCATCCACGAAATCCATCTACGCACCCAGCTCGACTATGGTAGCGTCCAGTGGAGCAATGTTCCAGACGAGCCCAAAAACGGCGTCTTTGATGTTTTTGTGAATGGAGGAATAGATATCCGGCCTGCGGGTCCGGTGTCTCGGGGTTGCGAATCACACCAGATCTTGGCTCCGAGGGGAGGATTTGGGGTTGTTGCATGGAATGTCTTGAAAAACGAGGATTTATGTTATTTCCCTCATCCTGGTTTTTTCTTAACAATTTCAATGACGGAATTTTTTTTCTCTGGGAATCATTTCTGCTCCGGATTGCCGTACAACTTGCTTGTGGTTTGGATGAGCGTCGCACGATTTCGCATGGCTCTTGTCCTTGGATTTGGTGTAGCTTTTGGTGTTTGGCTAGGTGGGCCTATTGAGGTGCACCGATGGTCTTTGGGCCTGCGAATTCTTCGTAGCGGCTTCAATGTCAGCAGATCAGATACATTTGGTCCATTCTGCGTCTGAGCACGTTCTGGCGCCTCGGCTAGATGGACAATCTAGGTGACAGTATATGCGTTGTAGGGCTCTATACGGCATTACTATCAATAAAAGATCATTCTGCAACAGGGTACTACTCTTTGATGGATGAAACTAACAAATTCTTACGTTATTAGATTTTGATATAGAATAGTAATCAGGCAGCGGGACTTCGGGGACGCTACTGAGGTAGTGTATAGTATGCAGTTTAGCGTCTTCTACAAATTACTTCTAGCCTGAGAGTGCTTTTAGTCAATCTCCAACTATCCAACCGTATGCGTGCCCATGCCCAATTCTTGCACTCTTGTTGATCACATGGGATCTCAAGGTATTCAGACTATGCTCATTGGTCGTCCGTGATTACCATTACCCCTGGGGAACGGCAAGATCAGAGCCGGGGTGCGGATAGCAGTTGTGCCGGACTTCCGGTTAGTCAGGCTTCTCAACAGGGGAATATTTCTTGGAGCTGTGGACGTGTGATGTTTGCATTCCGAGAGCTGAGGGCCCTATATTGTTAATCACAAGCCGGACACGATGAGAGATCGAGATATGCAGTTGTGGCGCCAGGTCACACCGTCTTCTCATTATGGCCGGGTACAGCCGCCATGAAGGCATGAAAATCACGGCGTTAGAAACCACCGAATCAAATACATAGAACGGCGGGTTTAAGGTTATACCATGAACACGCGTGAGTCATATCAATAACTTACGGCTCATGTCCTATGGGATATGTAGTCAAACACGAGGTAGTCGGGGAGATATACTACTCCACTTCGTACGGAGGACGGATATACAATATAGTTTACAATATTGGGCGGGCTCGGGGTTCGGAAGTAAGGCGGAGTTTGCATTCCGACATAGCACTCACCTTAATTGATTAGCAATTATTCAACGCAGATCCTAGGGACGTGCAGGTGCGTGGTCGTAACATTTCAGTCTTTTCCAGGTCCCCCGGATGCTCACGGATGCCGATTCACCAATCGCCAAGATCGGGCTCGGGCTCGGCCTTGACCTTGGCGCCGACTGTCTGACAATGTCCAGGTGCTCGTTTGTTTCGTTACCACTGGGGGATGACGGTTCATGGTGGCGTCTATAGTAGAGTAGGAGGCGTCTACGATAGAGTAGAATATAGTGTTGTACGGAGTATGGAGAACGGAGTACGGCAGGAGGGGCGCTTGGCGAGGATATCGCTCTGGTGAGTTGTACGAGCTTGGACCAGGATAGGTTAGAACACCACATGACAATATGCATCGGGGACGTGTTGATACATATTGGTGGCTTGAATAGATCAGGTTTTTTTTTTTTTTTACCTTGTTATGTTCTACTATGTCACGATATCTGTGTACAAATTTTGTGCGTCTGGGGTGCAAGGACCATCTTGTGGTCTTGCATTCGGATTATCACGGAGATGAGTGAGCTACTACTGGAGACAAATACCTCAATATCACCTCTTTGGGTAATAAAGTAAAGTGCCGAATTTCCGCTTGAATTTGTTCTTGTTTCTCTGTTTTCGTATATCCAGGTGATGAGTCCGGCACTACGGAGACGGAGTATACACCACCCCCACTACGATGGGCCAAAAATGCGGCTCGGGAAACCAAGCGAGCGAGTCCAAGACAGGGTTTGTATGAAGTACGAAAGCACCTGACAAGGAATGCATACTCCGTACATATGTTGGCTCTCGGTGATTGGAGGAACAGATTCTTGATGATCATCTGCTTCAGCTTCAACGGTGCCAGACTTACACCGTACATATTGATAGTTGCCTTGGTAGTCAACCTGAGATAGTCTAGAAGCCAAGCAGACTGGCATATTTTACGTTACATGCTCATTGTGGACCTCATAGTATAATCTGTCAACCTAGTAGGCATACATCGAATGTATAGTTGTATAAGGTGCAAAAGAGAAAGACAATGAGAAGATTAGGCTGGTCACCGTCCAAATAAGGTAACGATCGACTACGTCATTGGCCTAGGCGCTTACAACAGTAGACAACATACATTTTTCTTGGACTCTGTACAAAATACAAAATGCGTGTGGTATCAGATGCAGGTCTACATACTCCGTAAATATCTTCCAATGGCAAAAAGCACCAACTATGGCCTATGTAGCCCATGGTTCCTAGCCTCCCGAACTCGTGAAGTCACCAAGATCTCCACTAAGAAGCTCCCGAGACACCCGAGTGAAAGGGAGAGAAAAAGCAAAACATACCATGAACTCTTGCTTTAATTTCCATAATTCAGGTGTAAATAGTGACATCTTCAAAGTCTAGATTGTACAAGAAGGATATATCATATTAGGTCTCATATCATCCTATATTTACATACAACATAGGTATAAGCAGAAACGAAGTAATCCTAAATTAGGACATTATCAACCCTGAGGGTCCTCGTTTCTTCCACGCACTTTTATTTTCATTCAAATTAAATTAAATTTTTTTTTCTCCTCAAAAGCATTGGAAATCGGCACCGGCGAGCTGTTTTGTATTTTATTTTTTTCTTTTCATTTAGCTTTGTTAGATTTTGTTAGCAGAGAGTGTCTCGGTACTTCTTTCCTAAGCCCCGCCTGGACTTTATATATACAGCAATTCCCTCCCCGGACTTCTCATACTTCAGCCCTACAACTTCCTATACTCCAAATAATTCGTCTGGTTTGAACTCCAGATAGTCTTGCCTAGACCTCAAAGGACAAAAAAAAAAAGAAACAAGAAAAAAATACGGGCCCAACTAAGGTTGACAGGTTCGCTACGTCACAATTCCATAGAGCTTCGACCCTCAGCTGGTTGGAGCTCTATATCTCACGACCAACTTGCATTTTTTGCACATACAAACGTGCACATTATCATTTCTTGCAGTATAACACATTTTCCTTCCAATGCGGCCTATAACTACTCATCTCGCATTGGCGGCAACTGTCACTCTGTTTCTCGCATCCCTCGCGACCGCGCTTCCACACGGCGATGAACCAATGGATATGAGAATGGATATGAACGCAGTCACCGACACGCCGCAACCTGAACCCACCATGATGCAAAACAACACCGCTGGTCCGATGAGCTATTTTGCATATAGCAAGCACTCTAGTCCCATTATAGCTCACATTGCTCTGATGGTTTTGGGATGGTGCTTCGTTCTTCCTGTCGGTAAGTGGCCCTCGTGTTGTTGCGCGGTGAACGCAAAGCAAAGAAAACAGACAGAAACTGATTCCTCCAATAGCTGTCATGCTGAGCATTGCGCGCTCACGGCTCGCGATTCCATCGCAATTTCTCTTCTTGGCCTTCAACGCTCTCGGTGTCCTCCTCGGATTTATCTATAACAACCAGACCCCAGACCTCTACGAGAACAATGCACACCACAAGCTCGGCTGGGTTGCCACGTTTGTTGCCGGTGTCCAGGTCGTCCTGGCTTTGCTCTTTACCTACGCTGGCCGCGGCGAGTCGCACACGCCCTCTTATCAACATAATGCGTTCTTGCCTGTCGCGATCGACGACCATGACAATGAGCGTGTTTGCCTCACCGATGCGATGGGCGAGCGTCGCTGGTCTCGCGATAGCGGCCAAGGTACTGATAGTAACTCGTCTTCTATCCATAGCCCTGGATCATCTTGTGGTTCGCCTACCGAATACGATGGATTTGAAAAGCCCGACGAACTACCTGCGAGGGATGCCGCTCAACACGGCTGGATTCATCGCACCGGTGTCGGTCGCTTCCTGTCTAAGACTGTCCCTGGTCTGATCCCCAACCGGGTGCTCCGCGTTCTGAATGTCGTCTATAACATCGTTGACCGTGTCATTCTTCCATTCGGATTTGCGGCTATTGCGAGTGGAGCCGTGACTTACGGTGGTATCATGAGGGGCCGCGACGTCTTCAACGGGCTTGCCCACTTCATCAAGGGTGGTATCTTCTTCTGGTATGGTATCTTGACCCTTGGACGCTATATTGGTTGCTGGGCAGATCTGGGTTGGGCCTGGAACAAGAAGCCCTCTGCGGCTATTGTTGGTTGGAAAGCCAAGGTTCCATCGGGTGAAGCTACAGAGTCGTTCGTCATTTTCCTATATGGCGCGTCAAATGTTTTCCTCGAGCACCTCTCCGGTGCGGGTAAGCCATGGTCTGCTACAGATCTCGAGCACGTTTCGATTTCCATACTGTTCTTCGGTGGCGGTCTGGTACGATCTCATCTCCTTCCTCTCCCGCTCTTTATATGAATCAATCTGGCTAACCTAAAATAGGCCGGTATGCTTTTCGAATCTAGTTGCATCCGCGACTGGGTCAACAACACCATCCTCCAAACCCCTGCTCATGCTACCTCGGATGAAGCCTGGACGCCACCGAGGTCGCAGGGTGTTTCCTTGAACCCCATGCCAGCCCTGGTCATCATGTTGCTTGGCATGATGATGGGGTCGCACCACCAGGACAGCATGACATCGACTATGGTACACAAGCAGTGGGGTAACATGCTGGTTGGGTTTGCACTGGCGCGCGGAATGACATATGTTATGTTGTACCTCAAGCCACCGACCTCGTACCTCCCGGCTCGTCCCCCGACGGAGATCATTGCTGCATTCTGTCTGATCTCTGGAGGTCTGATTTTCATGTTAAGTGTAAGTACACCTACCCCCCACATATCCTCGTATAAGCTTTATAGTGTCACTCAAGAGCATGACTAACGTTGCCCTAGACCCGTAATGTGATTCAATCGATGGAGTACTACGAACTGGACGCAATGTTCACCTTCACTGTTGGCCTGGGCTTTAGCGCTTTCATTATGGCTTATGAGGTCTTTGTCATTGCCGTCAAGGCCTGGGCTGTGAAGCGTGTCCAGCGTTCACGGCCAGACTTCCACTTCAAGTGAAAAATTCACGATATGTTCCCTTTGATACCCCCCCCTTCTTTACGCTTCTGAGGTGTTTGTTTCATGCCGGAATATACGGAGTCATTCTGTTTTTGTGAATCCTTCATGCGGCATAATATTCCCTGCAGAGCAAGATACCCTGGGAAGGACAGTGCCTTGGAAACCCTCGGACATGATATTTTATGACGTTTTGTGCATGGACTAATGTGGTAATAATTGTTATTGGGATTGATTGGGACTGGATATCCCAGTCTCCCAGATGATATATGTATGCAGTGTAGGTGTTTTTATGAATTCAAGTTCTCTCCAAACAAGTACCTCCCGGAGTTTAGCAGCCCTAGAGTTTTATCCCCGAGTCTCCGAGTGTCCGTTGTGCCGAGTCCCGGTTACCACAGGACAATTAGATACCCCTCTGTTAGTTGACTATACAATTCTACATGAATAGAACCCATATATATATCCAAGTTAGGCATTAAAAACCAATTCGAGACCATTGAGTATCAGCTCTGGAAAATTAGCCCTAGAATGAACTTATTAACAAAAATCCAGATCTCCATGAGGGGTAAGTGGGGTAAAATATAGTCAAGAGGAAATAGAACAGCCAGTCTGATTGGAAGAAAATGATATCAAAATGAAAACTGCCGGCCAATCTGCCCTTAAGCCAGAGGGAACAAGGAAAAAAGGTCAGGTCGTATCCATCCGATAAGAGACATTTATAAGCAGTGAGTGAGGGACCCTCCATTTACCTATTTACTTAACAAAAAACTTGGAGAAACCCCCCTCCCCTTTCATTTTTACATTCTACATACCCCTCCTCACATTAAAATGGCCTCCAACCCTCCCGCTGCCTGCTGTGCCTCTGGCTTCAAGCACGAAGGTGCTGCTACTGGTGAGCTTAAGAATATCGACGGAGGTAAGATACTCAATTCCCCAAATTACAGCCACACCCATAACCCACCACAGAACCCATTGTTAACCAAGCTACTCTCCAGTCAACACCTATATCGCCTACCCTAAGGATAAGAACCCTGAAAAGGCTATTATCTTCCTGGCCGATATCTTCGGCATCTTCATCAACTCCCAGCTTCTCGCCGACGAGTTCGCCAACAATGGTTACCTGACTATCATCCCGGATATTTTCCAAGGCGACCAGATCAGTCTCAGCGCCATGGAATCTGGCAAGGCCGACCTACCTTCATGGTTCCCCAACCACCAACCCGCCAACGTTGAGCCCGTTGTTGAGTCGACTATTAAGTACGCCCGTGAGACTCTCGGTGTTAAGAAGATCGGTGCTGTGGGCTACTGCTTCGGCGGTAAGGTATGTACTTATAGTCCAGATCTGAAGATCCAATCTCCGAAAAATATAACCTCCAAACGGTGGTGCTAACAATTCTGATTTAGTACGTCTGCCGCAACCTCAAGCCCGGCCAGATTGATGTCGGTTACACTGCGCACCCCTCGTTCATCACTCACGAGGAGCTCGGCGCCATTGAGGGCCCCTTGTCTATCGCCGCTGCCGGTAAGTTAATGTTTGCTATCTCAGTTGGAAAAGAAGTATCAAAGGCTAATTTCGCATGTTTCACCAGAGACCGACTCCATCTTCACTACCCAGCTTCGTCATGAGTCCGAGGAGATTCTTATCAAGGCTGCCCAGCCGTGGCAGATCAACCTGTTCAGTGGTGTCAGCCACGGCTTCGGTGTGCGCGCCGATCTGAGTGACCCCAAGCAGAAGTGGGCTAAGGAGCAGGCCTTCTGCCAGGCTATCGCCTGGTTCAACCAGCACCTGTAGATAAATTGGTGGATTTTATACATGGAAGCAGCAAATAGTGATATGCAGTACTATTTGATCTCTGATAAATTAGACCATTGAAGCAGCCAATACGGAATAGATTGAGATAAGTTGAGATAAATTGGAATCAATTGGACTCATCACTATCCCCCGAGCCTCGGGGGTCCGGACTTTATAGTTGCGCGGTTGGTCTTTATCGCAGGGCGTAACTTCGCGAACAAGTCGCCTCAATGGTGCCGCGGGTCTCCCTCGATCTCTTTTCGAGTCTAATGGTTATTTTAAATTGTTTCTGATCTTTGACATTCGGAGTTTTTACTCGTTTCTAATTAGGACTTACTTTGTGTCTTGTTTTCTTTTCCCATCAAAGATCGCGTGCGCCTTGTGAGTTATCCCTGGGCCCGGCCCGGCACTTTGAGGAAAACAGAATCTAACGGTTGATCTTCCTTTCGCAGTCATTAATTGTTGGGTCCGCCATCCGACCCTTGAATACATTGTCAATTCTTCTTACCTGCCCCGACTGCAAATCCCCTCTTTCAGAGTCGCGGTATATCCCGACTTGCCAGCCCAACTCTACTCCCGGCCTGAGTGGTATCATCATTATACTATTTATTCGACAGTGATAGTAAACGAAATATCAGCTTTCAGAAATCATGGCGACTCCCGCCGCTTTACCCCCGTTGCCTTTCAATCCGGGTCGCATACGAACATACCTCCTCCGACTACCGCTGTTCACCAGACTGGTGCTGCTGGTCATTCTGGCCTTCTGGCTGCTTGAATTCCAGACCATGTGGAGTGTCGTGCAGTGGGGTGCTTTGATTCCAGAGGAGATTAACCTGGGGACTAGTATGTTTGATTCCATGCTGTATACAGGAGAATATTGGGCGCGTGCTGACTTCATGGTGTTACTAGTGTACCGACTGAACACTTATCCCATTATCCATACTGGCTTCTTCCATGCTTTCTTTAATGCTCTGGCAGTCACACCGCTGCTGGAGCGCTTTGAGGCCGAGCATGGCACTTTGACTGCTATTGCGTTGTTTATTGGACGTGAGTACTCTCGGGGAAAAGCAATGCTTGTGGGCCATCTTGACTAATGTTGGATAATTTAGCTCTCTCGACTGTCCCTGCTGGTCTTTATATCTTGATTGAGAGGTTCATCCTACACAGGAATACTTCAGTGGTCGGCGCAAGGTAAGCTTCAGGTCACCAGGTTGAGTGTTGAATGTTTCGGTAACTGACCTTCAATCCAGCATCTGGGTTTTCCTGCTTCTCGGTTCTGAAGCTATCAAGACCTACAAGTCTCACCCCAACTTCAGGTATGATTCAATTGGAAATATCTTGCTCCAATCTTACTAACGCCCTTTAGTCTTGGCCCATACAAGATTCCCACCTGGACTTCACCCCTGTTCGCATGTGTCGTTGTATCTATCCTCATCTCGAACGTGAGCTTCCTCGGTCATCTCTGTGCAATTCTTGTCGGATACCTCCGTAAGTTCCCTTCTCTAACTTTCCCTTTTTTTCGCTGCTAATTGTCGCTAGTCGGCCTCGGATACCTCAAGGTGTTTGTGCCCCCTGAGAAGGTTCTCCGCTGGATCGAGGGCAAGCTGAACCTCCTGGGACGCCTACCTCACTACGTCTCCGTCGACCAGAAGACCTACGGTCGCTATGGAGTTCTTCCCACCACCAACCCTGCCGGCGCCAACGGCAACCAAACACCCATGAGCTACTTGGGATCTACCCAGCGCCTTGGAGCATGATTCCGGATATTGACGCATTCTTCATTTCTCATTTTAATGTATATTTTCCACTATAGTACTTTATATTGTTGCAGACTCGGGGGATATTGGATAATAGCATAGCGTGTGCATACTCACATTTAATTTGCACGGTTGGTCTTTGTCGGTTGGGCGTAAATTCATTCCACTTCTCCGCGCATAAACAACGGAGCTCTCGATCTCCACTGTTGACTTGTAACAACTCCAGTTCAGTCCCAATTAATTCCACTCATTTAACGGCTTCGCCTTCACGGCACGGGAACTAGTTTCCCGATGGTCATTACTCAATGGCGTTGAAATGTGAGCAAGCTGGAATACCACCTGTCTTTCCTGACACCAGCACCGGAGACACCCCCCAACTAACAAGATGCCAGCTGCAATCCGCAACTTGGGGAATAACCCCCCACCTTGTTTTTGTTCGCCTCCCGAATCTCCTATCCTTTCTCTGCATTGTCGTCGGCGTTGTGTGGCTACTGCTCCTACCTCTGAACGAGTACTCCCGACAAACCTACATCTCCGAGAATGCGCTCCTGCCGGGCCAAGTCCATGCATATTTCACCGGAAGCGAGCAGAACATATTCCGTGGTTACAAGAAAGAACTGGAAGGATTGTTGAATGATGGACAAGCGAGAGGCGGCCAAAAACACGAGGCGGAAGTGACAGCGGCGTAGGTCGAATGAACCCGGTACAGGCGGGGCTAATTCGCTGATACTTCAACAGGGTCTCGGACAAATTGCAGTCAATCTTGCATGCAGCAGGCCTTAAAGTTGCTACACAAAAATACGAATATACCTCCGCTGGGATTACCCACCAGGGAGAGAACACTTATGCTATTATCCATGCGCCGCGCGGTGATGCCACAGAGGCAATTGTGCTGGTTGCGCCATGGCTAACGGCTGATGATGAGTTGAACTTGAACGGTGTCACTCTTGCCCTGACATTGGCGAGATATTTCAAGAGTGAGTTGTTTCGTGGTTGCGCTCCTAGTCTGGTTATTGACGGTTGATGCTAGGATGGTCATTATGGTCCAAGGACATTATTTTCCTAATTACCCCGGACAGCAAAACTGGAACACAGGCTTGGATCGATGCCTACCACGATATGCACCCAGCCTCCGTACAGCCACTTCCTTTAAAGAGTGGAGCGTTGCAAGGTGCACTAGTTATCGAATACCCATTCGATCACCGGTTCCAGACGCTCCATATTGTATATGATGGAGTCAATGGTCAACTCCCCAACCTCGACCTGTTCAACACCGCTGTAGCCATTGCAGGCGGCCAGATGGGTATCGGGGCTAACTTACAAGAAATGTGGGGCCACGACGACAGCTACGAGCATCGTTTACAGACCATGTTCCGTGGTATGACCAAGCAGGGCCTCGGGTATGCTACCGGTGCACACAGCAGCTTTATGCCGTATCATATCGACGCTATCACCCTGCAGACCAAGGGCGAGGGGTGGGAGGACGAAATGGCTCTAGGCCGGACGATTGAGTCTCTTTGCCGCAGCTTGAATAACTTGCTGGAGCACCTGCACCAGAGCTTTTTCTTCTACCTGCTCATGCAGTCCAACCGTTTTGTCAGCATTGGAACCTATTTGCCCAGTGCCATGCTGATCGCTGGAAATTTCACTATCATGGCAATTGCCCTCTGGATTCGCACTGGGTACTACCCAGAGAGCAAGCCAAGTGCCAACCCCAAGAATGAGAAAGCACCTACCGAAGAGAAGGAGAAGCCCAATACAATTAGCATTGCGGAACGACACCTTGCTCTACCACTCTCGCTTGTTGTCGGACTCCATCTACTCGGTCTTGTCCCGCTCTGGGTCTTTAATAACGTCTTCCACCAGGTGAGAACTGCCAGCCCACGGTCAGAATAACAATAGCCGCTAACAAGTCTACAGTACTTCACAACTACCACCTACATATTTGTGGTCGTGGACATCATCCTTCCTCTCTTCCTCGCCGCAATCCTCTCTAACGGCCTCGGTCTATCAAAACCAATCATTCCCCAACAGTACCACCTTATAAAATCCTTCTCCCTCCTCCTACTAGGTCTCTCCCTCTCAACCCTCGCCACTCTCAACTTCTCCCTTTCATTCATGATTGGTCTACTCTGCGCGCCGCTTAGCTTCATCACTCGCCTGCGAGGCTCCGCGCCATTCCGCTTGGCAACTTCCAGTCTGGGTCTAGTGCTTCTCAACCTTCTCTCCCCACCAACTGTTCTTCTAGGTGTCTGCTGCTATATGGGGGTCTCGGTCGAGGCTGTCCTCACCCAGGCGGCTTTCGGTTGGGATGTTTGGGGTATGTGGACTCAGGTCGTTGTTTGGTGTGTGTGGTGGCCAGCTTGGTTGATTGGCTGTGTGCTTCTGGGATCGTCGATGTTCTGATTATATTGTTGTACATTGTTCTGTCATGCGGTTGCATTGGTCTGATGATATAGGATATTAATAAATACAAGTCCATGCTATAACTACCGAAACAAAGACAGGGACCAGGCAAGAGCATTGCATGCCACGAGCTGACAGCAGGGAGTCCAAATATCAACTGTTGGCATCCAAGGTGCGAATACAGAATGTAGCTAGATACTCTACTCCCCTTGGATGTGTTTCATTTGCCACGCCGTACATGTTTCTAATTCTTACTTTAGGGTGTATCTCTCACCTCACGATAACAGGTTACCATCAAAGAACATTTGCCATTCGACGCCAGAAGAGCCCAAGGCGAGGCTAAACAAAGACCGTGCCAACTTTGTAAACGTACTACATTGCAGAGGTCATGCACGGCTGATTCAAGCGAACAATGAAAGCATCTAGGATGTTCATCTTCCGACGCAACACATTTCCCCCGAATCTTTGTTATAGCCCATGAACAATACTAACATCTCACATTCATCAAGTGCATCAAGTGCATCAATGTAGAATCGTTCTTGACCAATGTCCATGAGACTGGCCCGAAATCAGAAACAGTGTTCTATTCCTTTCATGCACCTCTATCCAGTCTCAGTTTCAGTCCACGGTCCCCCCTACCACTTCTATATAAAGAATGACAAGCCTTGTTCCTCGATAAAATGGGTGCATCTCCAAGATCTATACAAGAAGATGGGTCTCTTTCGAATCGACTTTCTTGCTCTATGGCTTCTCCTACTCCATCTCACAACAGCAACCGCCCCAGTCCCAACCAAAAACGGCTTTTGTTTCAAATATCTCATCCAGGGATATGATACCTGTGCCTTGATTGCAAAAGCACACCATATCACCGAAGCTGATATCGAATCCTTCAATAAAAACACTTGGGCATGGCTCGGATGCAAACAGTTATACCAGGGTGACTTTATCTGTCTCAGTACAGGTAAACCCCCAATGCCAATGGCCCTTCCTCAAGCTACCTGCGGTCCACAGGTACCTGGGACAACACGTCCGGCCAAATGGGCCGACCTCGCCGGCATGAACCCATGTGCTGCGTCTAAATGCGTGAGTACCTAACTAAGTGACCCCAATGGCTTAGTCCAATCCGTCTTATACACCCAGTACCTAGTACCCAGTTCTAATAATCAAACAGTGTGCTTTCTGGGGTCAATGTGGTACCTCCGATCTATATTGTCAGAATTACCGTGCACCCCCTGCTGGTCCTACAGCCACCGTGAGAGGAGCGACAGAAGCGCCGAAATCCAAAATGACTGGCAATGCAAAGGCAACCGGCGGCGCCGGCTCAAAACCCACCTCCAAGCCCAAGTCCACTACTACTACTACCAAGGCCAAGGGAATTACAACAACAACTAAACAATCAACTACAACAAAAACAAAAGCAAAGGCACCACCTGAACCAAAGGGAACCAATTATCCTTGGGTAGCTCCGTGGGAAATCACATTGTACAGCAAGAGAGGCTGCGAGGGCGACTACTACCATCTCGAGGGGTATAACAAGGAGTTCCTCGATGGTGAGGGCTGCTTAGCGCTCCATGGTGGTCTGAATAGCAAGTTCACCGAGACAGGTGTTACCTGTAAATGGTGGACGGATAATGGTTTCACGTGGAGTAGTTGTGATTCGAGTAAGCTTGAGAAACCGCAGTCGTGGATTGTTAAGGGTGGGTATTGTTCTTCGTTCAGTAAGAAAGATTGTGATTGCTTCGATGGGGTGGCGCAGTATTATAAACCTGAAGGATGTCATAATCGGACGGGGATTGATACGCCTAATTTTGCGGCTTTGCAGTGTTCGATTAATGGAGCGTAAGTGTGTAGATTCTTTTTTTGGTACTGGGATTATATGAAATGTCATAGCTATTCTTCCTATTCTTCCTATTCTTCCTTGAGAATTACAAATATACTAGAATCATAACAGACGACACCATTGTATTCATTATAATAGAACCTGATCAGAACACAAGTGAAGATGAGACACATCTATGCAGCCCAAACATCTTTACCAGCTCCCTCGATCCAGTGACCGAGCTGATTAACACCAGCATCCCAATCCTTAAGACGGTTTCGCATACCATCGATCTGATTCATATCCAGAACCTTAGGCTGAACCCAGTGGATCTGTGCAACCTGAGCAACCTGATCAATAGATCCACGCAGCAAACCAAGCGACAAAGCCTTCATAACGAGATGCTCGATCTCGTCGGGCTGAACCTTAGTCTCGGAAGCGATAGCCTGGAAGGAGAGAGAGCGGTCATGAGGGGGGGCGGTGGAAGACCATCTCCGTGAGTGCCGAGAGCGAGATCTTCTGGTACAGGAATACCCGGTGTGACTCCAACAGCTTGTTCTTGCTGATGTTACCGGCCAGCACGTCGTAGGCAGTCAAGTCACCCCGGTTGAAGGCGAAGAGAAGCTCGCGGAGCCAGTTGTGTGGGGTCTCGGTGAGGGAGTCCAGAATCGGGTGCAGGAGGAGCTCTCCGAAGTTGTAGATCGTCTCTGATACCAGGGCCGCTACGCTGAGGTTGTAGGCACGCGATGCGCGCTCGGTCTCGGGGAGTTCTTCCAGGTCAATGCAGGCGAGGTAGAGAAGGGCGTTTTTGTAGAAGGAGGCGAATTCTTGCTTAGACTGTTGGAGAGTGGTGTTAGTTTTCATCTCGAGTGGCCGTGTCTGGCTAGAGACAGGATTCTGCAAAATCACATACGTGGTAGTAGTCCGCGTTCACTTTGTAGAATGAGGCGTGCACAACGGTCTCGACCGAGTCGAACGTGTCCAGCACCCGCTGGCAGGTGGCCAGGTCTGTCTGTGCTCCGTCCAAATCCTTCAGCGACAGCTTGACGTTGGCCACGTCAGCGAGCGCGTAGACATATGCATCCTGTGTATCGGCCGTATCCGTCTTGGTAGCGAGGGATGTGAGGAAAGCAAGTCGTTCTTGATCATCTAGAGGGGGGGATGGTTAGCCTACATCAACGTAACCGAATGCTCATCATAGGTGGATTTTGGAGCTTCTAGGATAAATTGTGGGCCACCAACCTGTGCATTCTGTTGCTGCCATCAACCCCAGCGACACAAACTTGAGCTGGTTGACCCGGTCGGCGAAACTGAGCACGAATGTCTTAAACAGGGCTAAGCGGTGCGGAGCACTCTCTGGCATGCGGAAGAACTCGACCAATGAGTCTGTAAGCTGGTGCCATAGTTTGCGCTCCCAGTAGTCTTCAAAGGTGAGGAAGTAGGGTTGTGTCTCTGGGCTTCCTTGTGCTTGCTGCTCGAGCAAGAAGTCGGGGATCTTGGCCTCCATGGTGGAGATGTGGGTGCTTGTTTGAGTTGAAGTCACTGATAGAGGAAAAGATGCTGAATCAAGAGAGGAAGGTAGGTAAAGTCGGACGGAATTGGAGATGTTGATGGTTGATGCGGACTGCAAGAGAGCTGATATGATGTCCTCACGTCGGCAGTTTGGGGAGCTCTCACTCACCGCCCTGGCTTCCACGGTCTTCGATGCTTTGCTGTTTCAACGTCAGTTTTCTACTTTGGTTTTACTCGATTTGATGTTATGTAGCTATGTAGGCATGAGTAGAAGCAGATAAATAGTATGATATACAGCATTTTACCTAGATATATACTTGTTTGTTGGACTTTTCTCCGATTGTTTATGCTACTACAACAGATATATATACTAGCTACCCATGGAAGGTTTAATGTCTTCTGTGCCTAGATGCTTTATCCATGCAAGATATATTTATGTTTTTCTCGTTACTCAAGCCCTTAAGCGATACTTATGATTTCTTTCCCCTTTGCTTCATGCCAGGACACCGGATTAGCCAAGAAAGACTACCAGCTTTCTCTTCACAATCCTCTTCAAGTCCCTACAATCGTTCGTTCTGAGAAACAAATTAGACTCTATCTAGTTCCATCATTTTTTAGAATACAAATATAAAAAAGAACACCAAGTAGGTTTGATACGAATGAGAAGACCTAAGATGTTACAAAATAAGCAAATCTGGATCCAGAGTGAACGGCCGTTCGCTGGCATGAACATAATGCTTGTTCTCTCCCAAGTGAAACTAGCAAGGAACAGATAATTCCTAGAGACTTGGTACTCACTTGCATGAAGACCTCGAATCCCACATTGAGATGTACTGTTGCCGAGCACGAGCAAGTACATATAGGTTGGCCATCAGGTTCCAAGGAATCCAAACCATATGAAAGTGGAGAACTAGGTGGTGTAATTGAATGACCTTGAACTAACTCCTGTCGTGTTGCTCTTGATGCTGTAGGACATGCCAAATACAGTGGAATTGATACTACGATACTAAGACAAAAAGTATAAAGAAGCCCCAATGGGAAAAGGTATTTTGTATTTTGTAAAACCCCACCACACCCCAGCTAGGAACATGGAATCATAGATGCTAACGAAAAGCGACACGCTTAAGCGTCATCGACGGTGGTGGTGTGGAGACCCTTGGGGTCCTTGACGTTGACGGCCTGGACGTGGGAGTAGAGGCGCTCCTTGGCGTTCTCCTCGTCGTTACGCTTGCGGGAGATGCGGACACGGAGACGGAAGGGAACACCCTTGATACCGGCTTCCCAGACCTTCTTGTTCAGCTGGGGGTCGACGCGGACATCCTTGGTGCCCTATTGATGAGTTGAGCATGTTAGCGAACTGATTCCCAAGGGTGTCAGGGGAGATAGAGAGCATCGCTCAAAAAAAAACTTACCATAGCCTGCTCAGCGAAGGCGCGGATCTCCTTGATAGCCTTAGGAGCACGCTTCTTGAAGCTGACGCCGTGGCACTATAATTCCGGAAAAGAAGTTGCAATCAGTCTTCCGCCCGAATGCCATCTGCTAGAGAAAACTCTGCACGATGAATGTTTCTGGTCTTTCGGCCATAGTGGACTTCATAAAACTAATTCTTCTTTTGTGTTCCGGGTGCGGATATGTGTGGATGCGAGCGAAGACTTTTTCAAGATCTCCTCTCGGCTGTCTCTATCGCAAAGCAGACAAAAGACAAAATGCCATGTCCTACCTGCAGATTTCTCCACAGGTCATGGTGAGGATGGTGGTGTGACATAACAAGGTGATTGGTTTCCCATTCTACCCTTGAACGCACACACACACCAATCCACACCACACACATTCTTTTCCGTCACAAATTCCATTTTACAGGAAAAGTTTCTTGTTCTCTGTCCATTATATGCCTCCAGAACTGAATCGTATTCGAATCGTCGCAGGTAGACTGGGAAAGGGTTTATGTTCAACATACTCGCTTGTGCAGGTTGATGGTGTACTCGCGAGACACCACATCGGCGATAGCCGAGCGCTTGTTGCCGGTCTTGACGTTGGACATCTCTGCGGAGAAGGTTAGAGGGGTATTTCGGAGTGGTAATTGAGGAGACTGACTGAAGGGGTGGTCGACGGTGGGCGGAAGTGATCGATTGTCAGAAGGAGAATTCGCGGTCGATTTTCGTGTGAAATTCAGTGTGGTCTCGCTTGACTGTGCGGGGTCTGATTGGACAGAGTGGGGCAGTGTTACAGCCAATGATACTTTTGGATATTTTGGGTGTGGATATTGATGCCTTAGGCAATAATGACCTTATATTCAACTATCAAAATTCATACTCCTAATTTTGAAATATTTAGGAGGTTTAAACTATAATCTTTAGATCAAATTTGATATATCTTCCAACAAATAACCCCTACATTACTTCTGGCCTGCGCTCACATCGGGATAAAGGTCAAACCGTCGCTGGTTGGAGATAGGAATTCCACTGCGGATGTTCGCAATCGAATCATTATCCAAGTCAGCGTAAATAATGGTCTCCTTCTCTTCAGCTTCAGAGAGAATATTTGCACTGGGGTCAGCGACCAAGCTGTGACCATAGGCGTGGTAGGCGGCATCTAGATCACGCGCCGGGCTGCAGAGCGCCACATATGACTGGTTATCAACAGCTCTTGCCCGAGCAAGGAGCGACCAGTGCAAAGGACCGGTGGTAGTGTTGAAGGCCCCCGGGTAAACGAGGAGGAAAGCGCCCTGGCGGGCAGCGATCATCGCTGCCTCTGGGAAACGAATATCGTAGCAGATGGCCAGAGCCATCTTTCCGTACTCGGGGAGATCAATGACTGTCAGCTGGTTGCCAGGTGAAAGTACATCGCTCTCCTTGAACTGAATCTTGCCCGGGATATCGATGTCGAACAGATGCGTCTTGCGGTGGGTGCCGATCAAGGCGCCTGTCGGTGAGAAGACCAGCGAGGTATTGTAGTACTTCTTGGTGGATGGCTCCAGCTCGGGAATACTTCCGCCGATAAGGTATGCATTTGCTTCCACGGCGATGGCCGACAGGGCGTGGAAGGAGGGCGATTGTTCAGCCGTGGGAGGAGAGGGAAGGAGGGTCTCAGCGTATTTGGGGAAGAAATTCGTGCCATAGGGCGAGTTGAAGCACTCGGGAAGGACAATCAATCCTGCGCCAGCCTTTGCAGCTTCAAGGACTTTACTCCGAGCATGAGTGAGGTTCACGGCCTTGTCCGCCCCTAGATGGTTCGGTTAGATGGAAAAGAAATAGGCAGTTCTAGGGCTTCAAACCTGATGCGAGCTGGACAAGAGCCAATTTGAGGGGCTTTTTTAAGAAGGTAGCCATGGTTGGGAATGTGAAGAAGAGATGAGGGGGAGACTGGGATGATATCGGAGCGGTTGCGAATTGCGGGGACGGCCATTTCGCCGATAAGCAGATCCCGACATTACTCGCTCAAAAGTTCATACTTGACAAGCCCACCCAAAACCCCCAAAAAGCACCATGTCCAATCTTCTGTCAGCTGGGAAGCTATGTCCCTGGCTTCCAAAACACCTTGGCAGTCTTCACGACTGGCTCAAAAGGGTCGAACCAACCTGGGGCTTCACGATATATCGCACAATCTACACCCCAGAGTATGACGTTGCTTTCGCCAACGTTGTCGACCTCATGACAGTATACATAAAGGACGGATTTTATAAGCAATACAAATCTCTCCTCGAGAATCCCCGCACAGCAGATCAAGCCGACGAGGCTATCTTCGATGAATTATGGGCCGCATACAAACCACGTGTCATAGACGATGCTACCCACTTTAATAGTCTATCAATAGACCAGCTCTGCACTTAGTTTGAAGCTTGGGCAGAGGAGTAGGGCAGGGCCGATAAATTCTCTAGCTACCGTATGTTTATCGTCGTCGATGAACGTTTTAACTCCCTTCAGAATGCGCCCATACCTACGGAGCTTCCGATAAAACGGCGCATCGCGCATTATATAAAGCTGGTAGAGGCGGGGCAAGAACAGGATCGCAATTCGCTGTTCCCAGGGTGGATGAAATGTTCGTCGAAGGGTCTTTGGGATATGTGGCGGAATATGCAGGATGGGGACTATATGCGGAGTAGCTATGTTGTATATGATGATGGTTCACGAGCGTCGTGATGTTTATTGAGGTTTTATCTTGACGTTGAGATTCTAAGATCACGGCGATACTATGACGAGAAATGTCTCCTCCGTCTGCCTAGACTTTCAGGAATTGAGTGACATCCATCCATTCTTGATCAGCTAATGCAAGCTCAGAACATACCAAGTTCGCAGCATAGACCATCCGAGAATGAACTCGGCGATCATTGAGGTAATAAACAACTGATATGATCGATCGGATACTTCGGAGATCCGGGTGATAATCATCCTCGTCAATCAAATAACAGGGCGTGGGATCTCTCGTCCTGGCCGATGCCATCATTGCAAACATGCCTAATGGCATCATCACCTCTCTCTCCGCTGAGAATTCAACATCACTCTTTTTGAAGAATGTTGGATTCTTCAATGTTAAGACTGCCATCATAGACACAGTTAGTTATACTATGGATCTTTGGATATAAAAAGGAGGCTTATATAGTAGTGAGGCCCACAGTGATATTGGTCTCTACCAATAGAAATGCAACCAACTGTGGAGTCCCGCTTCTTAATTTCTTCCCGTTTGGAGACATCGGACTTGAGTCATCTCCATTAACTGCTCCTGCATCTCCCTCTAATCTGATCCTACTTACAGCCTCATTTGTGTATGATAAGATGTTATGGAGGACGGAGTCGGGACCCGTCACCCCAAAGCATGCCTAACCTGTGCCAAGGCCAAAGTACGATGTTTCCCGGAAACACATGGTCCTTGTAAACGGTGAGTATACAATAAATAGTTGACAGTTGACTTCATACATTTAAACCCATATTGACTTTTTGTTAGTTGTCATCGCCTGGGAAAAGAATGTGGAGCTCAACTACCTGGAACCCATCGCCGTGAAAAGAAATCAGCCGCAAATGGCTCGTAAGTGTTCACCATTTATAACAACCGTCCTCCCACCAAGAGACCCCTAACGTTCTAGCTAGAGATGTTGCTACACTCGAGGCTAAATTAGACCGCATGGTTGCCATGCTGGCAGCCTCGGAACAAAATTCCAGAGAACGACTAGGAAGTGGCCCAGCAACGGAATCATCATCTACCTTTGAACATAACATCGCTGCTCCCGATGAAGCCGAAGACCAGCTGTGGATGGAAGTGTTCTTTGAGAAAATGCTCCCGCTCTTTCCATTTCTCGTGATCCCTCCGCATGTCACCGCAGAGGAACTGCGACGAGAGAAACCATTCCTCTATCTGAATATTTCAATGGTCGCGTGCCAAAACCCTCCACGCCAGCGACAAATCGTGGACGCAGTACAAGAATATGTCGCCGAGCATATCGTCATAAGGGGGAGAACATAGCCTGGATCTACTCCAGGGCCTTCTACTCAATGTGGCTTGGTTCATCTCAGTCAGTCGTTTCCCGAGACCTAATGAACCTCCCCTCAATGTGCCCAAAACCGAAGAGCCTCATCATGTCATTCGAAGCACCACCCAACTCGATACAAATATACACTTACTCGTGGCACAATCCGTCAGCTTGGGCCTGAATCAAGAGATGGCTTACCAAAAAAGCCTGAACTATCCCTTGACTTATTTAAAGGATACTATAAATGAGGACCATCATAATCCGGTCCGCACACTAGAAGAGAGACGCACCTATCTTGGGTGTTATTATCTAATTACCATGTATGTGTATGACCTCTAGACTTGCTGGACATAAGCTAATATTTCAAAGGCTCTCGACATGTGTTAAAGACTTGGGGTCGATTATTCGCTTTACAAAATACACAGACGAATGCTGCAATGTTCTAGACCAGATCGCTGAATATCCCACAGATGCCTCTATGGTACAGTTAGTGCGAGCGATGAATGTCGCAGATAGGATCCATCACACACTATACCAGACCGAGCTCTACTCTTCGTCTGTTTCATCAGCACCTCCGTCTCTTGGACTAAGCATACGATGGCTCGAGGCCGAGCTTAAGCAACTCAAAGCTCACATGCCGAGCGAGTCACCGCACTCTGGTTAGTTATGCCCTCGTCGTTGCGCACAACTTAACAATGATCTAACAACGATGACAGCCTTTTTGAAGCTTCATTATGATACAGTCGAGATAAATCTTTATCGAATTGCCCTCAACACTGACGCCTCCAAATCAAACTACGGTGATCACCCTCTCATGCAATTGGATTTTCTTTTCCGCTGCCTGCAAGCGACAACCTCCTTTTTCCAAACCATCCGCTCTCTCCCCTCTGCCCTGTTCCCTTTCTTCCCTTTCACCACGACCTGTCAATTCGGAAAGGCAATCGTCGCTCTTTCCCAACTTTCTCTTTATGATCACCCCGGATGGGACCGAGCATACGTCGAAAGCACAATAGACCTCGACCAGACCGTCGATGCTATAGCTTCCAAATTTGAAGTAGAACTTCCGCTTTACGAACAGGCCCGTGCACAGGATCCAAAGTCGACTGAATTGCCGGAGGTATTTGGAAGGATGAGGAATCGCGCGCAAATGATTAAAAATATGCATCGGCGGAGAAAAGATGCACTCGAACAAAAATCCCTGTCTTCCACTGTCGCCCCGATGGCCAACGACTTCATGATGGATTCGCCCCTCGATCTGCTGTTTCCTTTTGGTGAAATTCCACCCATGTATGGACAATACATGTAGTTGATATGTAGCTACGTCTAGGTCTACAGCGGAGATAGATCTTCAACTACTTATACATACCTCAATGTGTAATAATAATTTATTTCCAGTGTGCAACTAATGTATAAGATTACTACTAGAAGTAACCGATTTCAAAGTACATAATGTGGAGAGAACCTAGCTCTAGCTCGCCAAGATGGTGGGTCGTGTAGATCGGCGATGCGGCTCAAACTTTTCTTCCCTGGTCGGGTAGTGGTGCTATGCTACGTGCTGGTGGGTATGCGCAGAGATTTGGCTTGGGCGAGTCCGACTGTTATTCCAACTATTCATCGAGACTCGAGCCTGTCTCCTCTCCAAAGCCGAGTATAATCTAACTCCACAAGGTAAAAATACACAATTAAGTCAAAACTACAGAACCATGACTCCGACCATAGCAGCCATTACAGCCATGACACCGGCGACATTGGAGGTGGGGGTGCTAGCAGCAGCATTGAAAGCGGACGAGCTAGTCGCCGCAGCCGCAGCAGAAGTCGAAGTAGCGCTACCAGTGTTCGAGGCCGACGAGGTGGAAACAGTAAGACCAGAGGGCGCATTGGTGATCATGCTATCGGCAGTTTGAGTGCCGGACGGGGACGAAGAAGAAAAAGAAGACGCGGAAGACGAGTCCGACGCCTCAGAAGTCTGTGTTGCGGACGCGAGCACAATATCAGTGGTCGACGAAGCGGTCGACGCCACGGTGCTTGTAGAGGCAGCTTGTTTGCCATTGGGTCCCCAGCCCTCCAGGTAGTCTGCAGTAAGCGTTGCGGTTCCGGAGTATTGGGGACAGCCTGGTTGGGTGGTCTTTGGGGGAGCCCGGCCGCCGCCACAGTCGAGGAATGAGCAGATCTCGCCGCTGTCTGGGACGTACCAGAGGTAGCTGGCGTAGTAGTGGTCGAATATGACTTTCGAGGAGACGCAGCCTTCCAGGTCGGTGCGGGCTGTGGCGAGGCTGGCGAGGCCTAGGAGGAAGGAAATAGTGAGGGGTTTCATTTTGGATTTTGAATGAGTGACTGGGGTAAATTTAACGAATGAATGAATAAAGATCTAAGGAGAATAAAATAAAAGGAGAACTCGAGATATTTGTTGAGGGAATGAGTTCAACCCTATTTAGGCGCTACTGGGGTCTCGGCCCTCCAAAATCAGCCTCAGGGTCTACGGGTCTTTGTTAGTTGGATTAGTTGGATTAGTTGGATTAACTGAATTCAAGTAGAAAAAAGATCAATTTTTTATTCATTTTCACAGAAATACAATGTTGACCCCATTATCTTCACAAAAAAAAAGAGGAATATTCGACTTGGAGCCCATAGTGCCCAAGGAGACACTCAAACCGGGGCCCAACTGGGCTCAAAAGGGAGGAGACCGATGCAATCGGGAAGCTGGCCCACTGCGTGAAGCCGGGCCAGCTTTGTCCCATCTAGAGCTCGTGGTGCCCAGGGAGATACTCAACCGGGCCCTAACAGGGCTCAAAAGAAAAAGGAACCGACACCATCGGATTTGAAGCTGGCCCACTGCGTGGAGCCGGGCCAACTTTGTCCAGGAGGGTGGGGGTCGATGCGCAAAACAACAACAACAACAAAAAAAAAGCAAGAGGTCAAAAAGAAACCGAACCACATACGGCAGAAAACGCATATGCAAACCTTCGCCATGCGCTTAGACATAAACATACACTCCCGAAAGGGAGGACAAAGATGGACAAGATATGAAGAAGAGATAGAAGAGATATCTAGTTCTTGACATTGTTGACGAGCTGGTGGAACTCATGCAGTCTCTCACCCTTCACTTGAACGGCCCATTGTGAGAGAGTCCCAGTCTCGTTGGGCGCCAGGAATTGAACACTGCTATTGGTGGCCTTGTAGTCGAACTCTTTCTTCAGGAGAGTGTTCAAAGTGACATTTCCACTCGGTTCGGAACGGGCGACGATCCGCGCACGTCCAGTGACAGGGTGCTTCAGAACGCGGACGGGGCCAGTTCCTTTGACAAACCACTTATCCCCAAGGTTGTAAACCCGGGCTCTGGCTTCAAACATAACAATTTCTTCTTCTTCGCCGCCGTTGCCCTTTGTCAGATCGAAAATTTCACCAGGTGCACCCTCCTCATCTTCAGTGGGGCTGGAAGGAGTGGGCATCACGGGCTGTGCGGAGGAATTGATTGAAGGAGCCAGCGGTGCAGTGGAGACTCGTCCAAACATACTGGCACCCGCAGAAGGAGGGGGAGGCGACGGCTTCGTCTTCTTTGCGTGGGGATCATCATGGTTGTTACTTTCATCCATAGAGGCCTTGCGTTTCGGCGAGGTCGGCTTGAGGCCGCCGAAGATGTTCTGCGATGCTGGTACTGGCTTACTGGACGATCCGAAAACCGAGGAGCTGCTAGAGGGGCTAGAAGCGCCTGCACGGAAGAAAGGAGGCGGGGCCCCAGGCTTGCCCCCAAAGAGTGCGGCATCCGCAGGCGAACGTGTGGCTGATCCGATGATAGATGAGAATTCTGACGACCGAGGAGATGATGTCATAGGGATCTTGGGTTCGAAAGTCTTGGAAGACCCATACTTGGGTGGACCGAAAATGCTGTGGGAGGCCTTCGGCTTCTTTGCGCGGGAATCATCCTCGTTGTGACTTTCATCCGCGGAGGTCTTGCGTTTCGGTGAGGTCGGCTTGAGGCCGCCGAAAATGTTCTGTGATGCTGGGACCGGCTTACTGGACGATCCGAGAACTGAGGAGCTGGTAGAGGGGCCAGAAGCGCCTGCACGGAAGAAAGGAGGCGGGGCCCCAGGCTTGCTCTTGAAGAGTGCGGCATCCGCAGGCGGATGCGTGGCTGTTCCGGCGAGAGTTGAGAATTCAGACGACTGAGGAGATGATGTCATAGGAATCTTGGGTTGGAAACTCGAGGAAAACCCAGAGGGAGTGCCGTTCGCCTTACTAGACGCGGGCGAGGGAGTAACAAAAGGAGGGAAGATAGTAGGGGGGAACTAGTAGTACCCGTAGAGTCGTTCCGTGGAGTGGGAGTAACAAAAGGAGGGAAGATAGTAGGGGGGAATTAGTAGTACCCGTAGAGTCCTTCGGTGGAGGAGTGGCAACGGCGGCAGATGTTGCAGGCTCCTCAACATTCTGTGGAGCAGCGTCATCATCAACGAACTTGAAACCCTCACCGGGGACAAAAACGGCACGCTTTTTAGCTGCAGCTTCGATTTCAGCTCGCTTGGCGCGTTGACGTTCCTCATCTTTGCGCTCCCACTCCGCCTCATCCTCCTCATCAGAGTCAAACTCTTCAGCCTTTCTCTTGGCCTTTTCATCAGCCATGGTGCTGTCCGACTTTGACTTGAACTGGGCTAGAAAATCGGCGCCAGTAGCCGGAGCACCAAAGTTGGGAATTTTAAAAGCAGGGGCAGCGGCTGAAGTAGCGGTATCGCCAGACTTAGCAACTCCAAGAGTAGAGGTAGTGGCTGAAGTAGCTGCACCACCAAATTGGGGAGGTCCAGAAGCAGGCGCGGCAGTCGAAGTGGCCTCACCAACGAGCTTAGGAGCTTCAGCGGTAGGGGGATCCACAGGAGTAGCAGCAGGGCTGGCAGTGGGAGAAGGCTCAGCCCGGGCGACTGAAGCAGTAGCAACTGGAGCCGCAGCCGGAGACGAAGGACCAGCAATCGAGGCGGAAGAAGTGCCAGCCGAAGTAGTTGCCGGAGCAGGAGCCGGAGCGGAGAAGGATTGGGCGAACTTGGAGGAAGTAGTAGACCCACCAGAAGGCTTGGTAGAAGGCGCTGGGCCTCTATTATCAACAGCAGGAGGTACGAAGGTCGGAGGGGTCCCGACCCGAGGAGGGGCGTTGCCATCTGCCGCTTCCTCGGCGGCATCGCGTTCGATGATGGCAGCGCGTTTGGCTGCTTCCTTGGCGGCATCGCGTTCGATGATGGCATCGCGTTCGATGGCGGCAGCGCGTTTGGCCGTTTCTACGGCGTTAACCGACTTCGACCCAATGGGGATACCAAGCTCACGGCGAAACTCGGCGTAAACAATAAGCACACCGTCAATATCGTCTGTCATGGGGTCGCATTTAGCGATCTCACGCTTGAACGACTCAGTCAAGGCGCCAAGCCTCATGAGCAAATAGGCTTGGGCTTCAAGCTCTTCCCGATTTCTCTCAGGGAAAAGACGCTTGAGCGGCATTTCGTCAAGATTTTCGGTTGATACAGGATAGTCAATTGATACAGAATGATCAGGTCGAGGGAAAAGACTGTCAGGGTTTGAAGCAGTGAAAGTCTTGGAAACAGCAGAGGTTGAGGAGGAGGAGGGGGGAGAAGAGGAAGAGGGGGCAGGTAAACAAGACGAGACTTCATGGACGCGTGGAGACTGCGCAAACGACACATGAGGTGTCGCAGGTTTCGTCGCGCGTCTCGTCGCACCTTCCGTTGGAGGTTCACTCGACACCTTAGGCCCAGCGGTGAATGGGCTAGTCAGTGAGCCATTGAGACCTGCGATGTTATTGTCTTTATTGTTGTCAACTGCTGTACTTGCACCAAAGAGAGAAGTGCTCGGTGCCTGGGGCGTTGCAGCCTGCTCTGTCGGCTTTGGCGCGAATGGGTTGCTAAACGCGTTTTGCCCTGACAGGTTCGCGAATGGATTGCTAGGTGTCGGCTGGGTTGTCTTTTCTTCTCCAAGCTTCGACGGCGCAGGAGACGCCCCGAACATTGAGCCAAAGGGCGACTCCTTCGCAGGCAAAGGAGTTTGCCCTTCACTTGTCACCTTCGGTGCAAAAACACTACTCGCCGGTAATTGTTCCTTCTCGGCCACAGGTGTTCCAAACATGGACTTGAACGGCTTGTCCTCGGATGGCTTTGCAGGGGTACCCTCGGCAGCTGGCTTTGGCGAGAACATATTGCCAAATGCTGGTGAAGTAGTCTGCTCTTTTGCGACCTCTGAAACTTTCGACACCGCAGGTGTACCGAACATGGGCTTGAACGGCTGGTCCGCTGCAGGCGTTGCAGCCGCGTTCTCGACGGCCGGCTTCGGCGAGAACATATTGCCAAACGCTGGCGTAGCTGTCTGCTCTTTTCCAGCCTCCAAACCTTTCGATGCTGCAGGCGTACCAAACATGGGCTTGAACGGTTGTGCTTCGGCAGCCTTTCCAGAACTTTCGGTCCCACTAACCTTCGGCGCGGACAAAGCGCCAAATGAACTCGGCGCTGACAGGTTCGCAAATGGATTACTCGTCTTTGGTTCTTCTGTCGCTGGTTTGGGCGTGAATGGATTGCTAGCAGGCCCCGAGGGCTGAGAACTGGGGGTCGACCCGAAAAGAGCACCAAAAGGCTTCGCAGCCTCTGCAGGCTTCGCAGGGCTTTGCTCCGCTGCCGTTGTCTTTGGGGCAAACAGGTTAGGGCTACTGGTTGGAGCCTGCCCTGACAGGTTCGCAAATGGATTGCTGACTGTTGGCTTCTCTCCATCCACAGGCTTCAAAGCCGCGGGAGTTGATCCGAAAAGTGGTTTGAAGGGCTGGGTCTCCGCAGGTTTGTCGGCTGGTTTCTCGGTTGCAATTGTCTTTGGTGCAAATGGATTACTGGACGCATTCTCTCCTGAAAGGTTCGAGAATGGATTACCAAGTGCCGACGGACCTGCGGGTGGCTTCGGTGAAAACATGGAACCTCCCTTGGGCTTGGTATCGGGTGAAGTTTGCATGCTGTCATCGGCAGGCGAAGTCATATGTGCTGCAGACTGCCCAAACAGGACGGGCTTTGCTGGGGTGCTTGTGTTCTGTTGTGCTCCGAATCCACCGAAGGATGGAGTTGACTGATTTCCGGCATTGAATCCCCCAAAGCTGAAACCATTGGTACTTGGCTGGGTATTTCCGCCAAATGATGTGTCAACAGCAAAAGGATTGCTCGACGGTGCAGATCCAAATGAAGTAGGTCCCGCGCCGAAGCCGAATGACGCCTGACCACCCGCCTGGCCGTTAGTGCCCGACGAGAATATTCCACCCTGGCTGGGCCCCGAGCTTGCCCCGGGGAAGCTCTGGCTCTGAGTCTGGCCAAATGTGAACCCAGTCGACTGGGTAGGTGCTGGTGCCGCGGCCGGGGCCACGGATGTGAAAGGGTTAAATGAAGCCGCATCAGGTGCGCCTCCGCCGGTTGTGGGAGTTGGAGCGCGGCGTTTGCGGACATCCTTAATCCTAAAGGTTTCAAAGAGATCTTCGGTCAGTTTGTGGCCATGCACAGGTATTTCATTTGTCACTTACTTTCTGCTGGCTAACTGGGCTGCTGTGGCTCGGTGAGGTTTCTCATCCGGAGTGCTAGCCATACCGAAAGCACCCTCGTCTTCTTTGGACCCTTGAGGGCCTTGAGCTCCACGTTTCAACATATTGCGCGTGTGATAACACCACCGTTGATTGTATGCTTAACAAGCTCGAATCGCCAACTGCCTCCTATCCTTCGGAATGTATGTGACCCGGTTTAAAGCGCTAAATCAAGCACGATGCAATATTTAATCTTGGTGTGATGCCGTGATGGCTTTCCTCACTTGCGGCAATCGAAGCAGTGAGCTTTCTTTGCGGCGAGGCTCTCTCCGACTCCGCGCCGACTCGAAAAAGCAACAGGTTCGATGATGATTACCCTCCACTTAAAGATTGTTTATCGTGGAGAGAGCAAAACCCAATTTGTCTCTAACGTCTTTGATGTGGTTGTCCGTTGGTACTCGCGGTTCCGTGACACGTTCGCGATCCGTCGCGCAGGAAGTTATCAGCACAACCAAAAAGCTTTCGAGTTGAGGGCAGTGATATCGAAGACAGATCGAGGGCGTATTACTATCCCTGATGATATTCGTCTTCGAATTTCGATATGTCCCACGACGCAATGAAGGGAGGCACGACTATTATATTTTTTTTTTTTGCAGGAAGCTTCCAAGGCGGAAAAGAGCAAATCACGTGATGTGTCTTGGCATCCAAAGGTCCATGCTCGGGACTTTACAAGCTATTGTTTTACCCGCATTGGATGGACAAAGGGGGGATGTGATATGGTTATATGATTATCACAATTTTGTTGGGATGAAATTTGCTTGCTTCCAAAAACAAATGAAGTGAAAGAGGAAGGGGAATGTTTCTGCCCTCAAATAAAAACCCTGCTCACTTCATGATGTCGCCGACGTTGAGAAGCGGAAGAAAGCTCTGCTGCAGCAACACCACAAAATACACTAGAGCGCGAGAAGAATATGAGGGCTACTACTGTGTGAAGCAGGGTCTGAATCCATAGGCATAACAGGTTTGGCCAGTGGATTCAAATGCCTACTGTGGTTTCCGAACCGCCGAGTCTTCCCTTTGAAGGGCAATTATATGAATCGATAAGCGATATATAATTAGCCAAAGGGACTATATATGATTCATGTGCATGATCTAACAGAAAATAGCAGAAGCCAAGAAACACCGAGTGGGCTGCACATTGCATCTTGCGAGTGACTGGAAAACCATACCGATCTAAATCTGCCACTCGAGTATTACAATGTTCGAGTCAAGGTGAACAAAAGTGAGTGATGGTGATGTATAAAGATAGAAGAAGTACCTGAGCCTTCAGTTTTGTCTCCCCGCACTTAGGGCACTTATGGCATGGCATTGCGTGGGTCTGCTGACCTTATTTCCATTTAAGTTAATCAGAGTTACCTGAGTTACCTGAGTTACCTTAGGGACCTACCTAGATAGGTAAGTAGGGTAAGTAGGTAGGAGCATACAACATAAATCCCTGATCTGCTTCTCTTACTAACCGGTCACACATACATCCTTAAGTCACATATCACATACTCCGAAAAAAAGTGGCTGCAATGGAATTCTCAACTAGTCACATTCCATTCCTATCGGGAAGTACCCACGACAAACTAGCTGTTCAGCTTGGTTTTTTTGTACATTGTGATGTGGTAGACATCGATTGACTAACTAGTTATTGGCTGACATGCAGGTAGATGTAGGGAACTATATCTCTTGTGGGGAAAGATCAGCGCCATCTATCCATATTCCCATTTCCTTCATATCATGAGACAGACACTACGGCGTGACAGGAAAATGGACTTCCCCCGGAAAATAAATAACCAATGGATACCCCTGGTCTAAAGTCACTCGCTATCTATTTCCCCATCTCGAGTGGTATTTCGAGGTGGGATTCCTTAATTTGCTTTTCTTTCAGCTGCAGTTGCAGGGTCATTGACTCCATCCCTTTTGTGTCATGCGCATGTCTGCATTATCCGATCGAGTCTATTGTCGGAATCGCCCAGGTGGCTATACATAAAACCATGTTTCCCCGGCTCACGTTTTCCATGCTCCTCTAGCCAGTGGTTCGCAAGCATCCGTTTTGCTGACTTACCTCCCCATTGATTCAGGGTTAAGATGTATTATTCTTCTGTGATCAAGTATTTTTCTTTGGTAGCTTGTGCCAATGCACAGCTACTAGAGATTCCCGCCGTGGATGCTATAGTCGGTTCTGCCATGCTCCCCTTTGCGCAATATACGTCCTTCGGCCTAGCTCCAACGAAAGTCGCCTCTGCTGCTGTAAGCTTCGGAACTAAGGCCGCCGTGAACGCCGAATCTGCCGTTGCAGCAGTGGCAGCAGCAGACACTGCATACTGGCTAGCAGATATCGCTCATCAAGGAGTCGCAGCTTTCAACCCGAACCCTTCTGGTTACCAAGTATTCCGAAACGTGAAAGACTACGGAGCTAAAGGTGAGCATTCGTGGATCCCTATTAACCCCGAGAAGTACTAAAGTAACTACAGGTGATGGTGTGACCGACGACACGGCCGCCATTAATGCGGCCATAAGCGCCGGTGGTCGTTTTAGCCCAGCAAGCAGACAATCTTCCACCACGACTCCCGCGATAGTCTACTTCCCATCTGGAACGTACATAATCTCAACATCGATCATTGATTACTATTTCACCCAGCTGATTGGCAACCCAAATGCAATGCCCGTCATAAAAGCAACCGCAGGTTTTGTCGGACTAGGGATGATTGACGGTGACCAATACCAGAGCGATGGAAACCAGGGCTGGACATCGACGAATGTTTTCTTCAGACAGATCCGCAATTTGAAATTGGACTTGACTTCAATCCCTGCCGGTACTGCTGCGACCGGTATTCATTGGCCGACTGGCCAAGCTTCTAGCATCGAGAATGTTGTCATTGCTATGAGTTCTGGTTCTGGAACGCAGCACCAGGGTATCTTCATTGAGAATGGTATGTCGGTACTTAGATTCATTTTCGATCTGTACTAATGTAATCTAAGGCTCTGGTGGCTGGTTGACCGATGTGGTGATTACTGGTGGCCTTTATGGTGCCAATATTGGCAACCAGCAATTCACAATGCGGAACTTGGCCATTTCGAATGCAGTGACCGCAATTTCTCAGATCTGGAACTGGGGGTGGACCTATCAAGGTCTGTCGTTGTCTAATTGCACAACTGCTATTTCAATCAGCAATGGCGGTGCCGGTAAACAGCTCGTTGGCTCGGTCAATATCCTTGACAGCACCATTCAGAACTGCCCTACCTTTGTCGATACCGCTTGGCAGACCTCGACGCTATCAACTGGAAGTCTTATTCTGGAGAACATAATTCTAAACAACGTCCCGGTTGCAGTCAAAGGCGTCAGCGGTACTGTCCTTGCTGGCTCGTCGGGTTCTACGACCATTGGCGCTTGGGGACAAGGACATAGGTATACTCCAAACGGACCTACTAACTTCCAGGGATCCTTCACTGCACCAAGACGTCCTAATGCTTTGCTTGCTGGTGGATCGAACAGATATTTTACCAAGTCCAAACCTCAGTATGCACAATCACCAATATCTTCGTTTGTCAGCATTCGAAGCGCAGGCGCCAAAGGAGATGGTTCAACCGATGACACGGCAGCCATCCAATCCACATTAACATCTGCCGCGTCTGCAGGTAAAATCGTGTTCTTCGACCAAGGAACGTACAAAGTTACCCGCACTCTTTACGTCCCGCCAGGCTCTCGGATTGTCGGCGAGGCATATTCTGTCATCATGGCCATTGGAAGCGTATGGTCGAGCATTACCAATCCCATCCCCGTTATACAAATTGGAAGACCTGGAGAATCCGGTTTTGTTGAATGGTCCGACATGATAGTGAGCACCTCGGGTTCCACGCCGGGTGCTGTACTCATTGAGTGGAACTTGGCAGCAACATCAGGTTCCGGGATGTGGGATGTTCACACTCGAATTGGGGGCTTCCAAGGATCCCAGCAGCAGGTTGCTCAGTGCCCAACGACCGCAGCTGTCTCTGCCGCCTGTCAGGTTGCTTACATGTCTATGCATATTACCAAAGCCGCCAGTGGTGTTTACTTGGAGAACGTTTGGCTTTGGACTGCCGATCACGATCTTGAAAGCCCAACTAATACCCAGATCTCTGTATACACCGGTCGTGGTCTCTTGATAGAAGGGAAGAATGTTTGGCTGTAAGTAGCAGAGAATCCTCACTATGCTCTCTCATGACTAACACTGGCGCAAGATACGGAACGGGATCCGAGCATCACTCGCTGTACCAATATCAGTTCTCAGGCGCAAGTTCGATCGTGGGAGGTTTCATGCAGACAGAAACTCCGTAAGTTATCCTACATGATACCGCCATTGTATCTCATATCCTAACCAATTCCAGATACTATCAGCCAAATCCCAACGCAAACAGTGGCCCATACACTACCAACTCGACTCTCAATGACCCCGACTATAGTAGCTGTCTCGGCGGAAACTGCAACTCCCTTGGTCTCCGGATCCTGAATACCAAAGATATGAACATCTACGGCGTTGGACTATACAGCTTCTTCAACAACTACAGCACCACCTGCTCCACATTCCCTCTTCCAGAGGACTGCCAAAGTATGATCTTCAGCATCGAAGGTAGCACCAGTGGATTGGTGGTATATGGGCTGAACACTGTTGGAACAAATTATATGATTGTGAAGGATGGTACTGCGCTGGCGACCGTTGCTGACAATCTGGCTACCTATGCTGCTACTATTGCGTACTTCACCTTCTAGAGACTCATAACTTTTATGGAAGGGGAAAGGTCTCGAGTGTCAGAAATTATCCGGTACATATGCCGAATGCTATGCAAGTTCCAAATTCAAGATCTAGTTATATGAACTACGTTAAGTGGGTCTAGCACCTATGGATAGAACCCTGTAGTCTTGTTGCTTGAAGCTGATGGACTTGTTATCATTTATGTGGTCCGTTGTTAATCCAATTAGACCATATAGACGAATGCCCTAAATATGAAATGTGTCCTCCGTATACACATTTGAGAAACGCCGGAGATAAATTGCTGCGGATATGAATCCGGGGTTCATAGATGAGGGGTCGGATCTCCTGGAAAATACATATAAAAAGATACATGTACAAGCCTCATCTTAATCTCAACCCCATACCATGACGAAATCAAGAAACGACGCAGTCATCTCATTCGATTCCCTTCCACTAGACCCAACAGGCCCACGAGGAAATGCCTGGGGCCGATTTGGAAAAGATGACCAACTTGGGACATTGAACCTCCTCACTCCCGAGCGGGTTGTCGCAGCCGCAAAGGAAATCCAAACTGGCGTGCGAATCTCACTTGACTGGCCGTTGAGCATGCCTTCGCATCCTAGCTTCAATCGTGATCCATTTAAGCAGGAGCTTGTTCTTCGGAATCCGAATTGTGTTTATGACGATATCTTAACATTCAATAGTCAAGGGTCTACCCAATGGGATGGGTTTAGACACTACGGTATGTTATTGTGCGTCTATATATTATGTCTGAGGTTATTGCTCACTGGCAGGTGGTTTTATTTAGCAAACCAGAAATCCCGCCAGTTCTATAACGGATATACCACAGAAGAGATAGAGAGCTCGGATATAATTGGAATTCACTGTATGAACTAGCTCTACGATACAGGATACAGGGCTAACCCCGCGCTGACCTCAACCCCTCATAGCCATTTGTGAACACGGTGGAATAACAGGCCGTGGTGTTCTCCTCGACTACGCAGAATGGGCCACCACAAGCCCAATCTCTATCTCCGCCCTCAACTCTGAGGCCATAACCCTCGAGAACCTGAAGCGAGTAGTCAAAGATCACAACCTCAATTTCCAAAAGGGTGATATTCTATTCATCCGCAGCGGCTTCACGGCCGCATACAACAAGCTGGACAACCAACAACGAAAGGACCTGGCACTTCGATCATCGCCGGATTTTAGCGGCGTCGAAGCGACAGAGAGTATGGTGCGATGGTTATGGGAACATCAGTTCTCTGCTGTTGCTGGTGATGCACCGAGCTTTGAGCGTGCACCTATTAGAGGTGCCCATGCGGATCCGAATTTCAATTTGCATGAGTGGGTGCTGGCGGGTTGGGGAACTCCTATTGGGGAGATGTTTGATTTAGAGAAGTTATCGGAGCATTGCAAGGCTATTGGACGTTATAGCTTTTTCTTGTCCAGTATGCCTTTGAAGGTGGGCTTCTCGTGATTATTGGCTGCCTTGGAATTGTGCTAATTAAGACTCGGTCTAGGTTATCGGCGGTGTGGCTAGCCCACCTAATGCGTTTGCTATTTTCTAAATTTATTTTCTGTCTACTGAAATCGACAAATAATCCGAGAGATCTTTTGCTCCACCATGTCCACAGAAGTGGTGGCGGGATTGTGCCGCCGAGTGTTCCGCCGAGTGGAGAAGAACAACATCGCAGAATGAGGGAGATGGGACTGAGAAGTTGTACGGTGGCAAAGCTGAATCCGAACCCCCGGTCAACGGTCAAAAGGTATATAAAGTCTACATAGGTCCTTCTACAACCACTCAATTATCCAAACCAACAATTCTCAAATCATCTTCTCTTCTATACACATCTTCAAGAAAACATCTCTCCCTTTCTCGCAACCATGATCGAAGTTCCCAAGGCCAGCTCCCTCAAAGACCTATTCAGTCTTAAAGACAAGGTCGTAGTCGTCACCGGCGCCTCCGGCCTCCGAGGAATCGGCCTCGAAGCAGCCCGCGGCTGTGCGGAAATGGGCGCCAACGTTGCAATCACATACTTCTCGCGAGGCGAAGGAGCCGAAGCAAACGCCAAAGCCCTGCAGGAGGAGTACGGTATCAAAGCTAAAGCCTACAAATGCGACACATCGAAATGGACTGAAGTGCAAGAGCTGGTTGCCAGCGTGATTGCCGAGTTCGGCAAGATCGACTCTTTCATCGCGAACGCTGGCCGCACCGCCGACGCTGGTGTTTTAGATGGCTCTGTTGAGGACTGGGAGAACATTATCCAGGCGGATCTGAACTCCGTCTTTTACTGTGCTAAAGCTGTTGGTCCCCATTTCAAGGAACACGGAAAGGGAAGCTTTGTGATTACTGCTTCGATGTCGGGCCACATCGTCAATTACCCCCAGGAACAGACTTCATACAATGTGGCTAAGGCTGGGTGTATTCATATGGCTCGCTCGTTGGCTAACGAGTGGAGGGAATTTGCTCGTGTTAACAGTATCTCACCTGGATACGTTAATACGGGGTTGGGAGACTTTGTACCTGCAGAGATTCAGGATGGTTGGAATAGGATGATTCCTATGGGTCGCCAAAGCGATCCTAAGGAGTTAAAAGCGGCATATGTGTACTTTGCTAGTGATGCTAGTACTTACACTACTGGTGCGGATCTGCGGATCGATGGAGGTTACATTTGTCGGTGAAGAAGACAGTTTTGAAGATATACGGAAGCCGTTGTGTGATATCAATTGTATTTAAAGGTCCAATGAACAAGCCTTGATAAAAAGAATACTCCCCTTCTGAAACTATTTTAAGAAATAGAAGCGAGAAGATAGAATGCAAGTTCCATGACCATCATGTACACTCTCACTACATTGTCACAGAGTCAAAGTCCCCCCATCAATAACAATATCAGCGCCAGTGATGTACCGTCCAGCACGCTGACTACACATAAGAACAACAGGCCCAGTAATCTCCTCAGGATCCCCCATCCGGCCCATCGGACAACGAGAATCCCAAACCTTCCTAACATCCGCCAAACTATCCCCAGCATTAAGAATCGTATCCATATACCCGGGACTAATACTATTAACCCGAATCCCATGAACAGCCCATTCAGCAGCCAGGTTTCGAGTCAGATGCGCAACACCAGCCTTGCTAGCATTGTAAGCAGCCTGTGGCTGCGGGAAATTGGTATAATGGGCCGACATCGAAGCGGTAAATAAGATACACCCGCCTTTGCGTGACGATTCCATGTGCTTTGCTGCTGCTTGGGCACAGAAGAACGATCCGTTTAGGTTGACGTCCATCACTTTGTTGAATTGGTCAGGTGTTACTGTGAGGGATGGCTGGCAGCCAGGGATCCCAGCGAAGCAGCAGAGGATGTCGATTCCTTCCATTATTTTGTTTGCCTGCTCGAATGCGGCTTCGATTGACTCGATTGATGTCACGTCCAGGGGAACTGTTGTTATATTGGCAGAGGGGAAGTTTGATGCTAATGATTGGATTTGTTCTTCTGATGTCTTCAAGGTTCTGGGGAGATCCATAATACATAGTGAGGAAAGACCGTGCTCGAGGAGAGCCTGTGCAGAGACCAGACCTAGTGCTCCTGCTCCGCCGGTGATTATAGCTTTTCCCTGAACTTGGAATCGTGCTTCTGCTCGCTCATGAGCAGATGCTGAGGCCACTGGAGCCAGGGGGCGAGTGAGCGGACTTGAACCCTCCGATAAGGTCATTATAGGGAGGACTCGGGACGTCAGCGAGGCTCGCTGGTCCTCATTCACTCCTGCTGAGGTGTCGGCGGTCATATTGATTCTGTGAAAATGGGTGTTTAACTATGTAGAGATTAATGTAATATATATATCCGTTACCAGGATTGGAGGACATGACAGATCACACTGTGTGAGGGGAATGCAACAAGAAGGGGAAACAATGCGGGGTATTCGGATTATGACGATGAATTATATAAAAGGAAAAGCCTTTGACGATCACTTCAAGCAGCGAGTTTGAAGCATGGAGCTCAAAAGGATTCTCATTTTGGAAGTACGTGCAGATGGTGGGGATAAGCGGGGTGTGAGGCGGGACACTTCCGCCAAAGCGGGGGATTCGGGGATCTCGCTGGCATCGAGCGGAGACATCGAGACGTCCATCGGAGTGGACTGATCCGACCTCGGGAGGAGTATGGAGATTGTCAAGTATATAAACTACCTAGATGGTTTCCAAAATCTGAGATTGGGAGTACTAATGTGGGGAATGGCCTTTTCAGTAGCATTAGACATCCATGGATCATGCCATACTCGTAGATTTTCTCGGTCTCCAATTTGCAAGCCGTAAGGATAACAGAGATTCGAAAGTGAGAGTTGGTGGCATCGTACTTTGGATGTCTTAAGCATAAATATTGAGTTTCACAGCATTCCAAGGTTCCAAGGTTCCAAGATTCGTGTCCTAGTTACCTACCTAGGTAGGTACCTAGTACCTCCTAAATAGGATTAGTAGCAAGTGACTTCCATTGTTCACAGGTGTACCTAGGTACCTAGGTAGTACCTGTTTCCTAAATAGGCTAGTAGCAAATGACTGCTATCAATTGCTCCCTTCAACACATCTTCTGCACACTTTCCTTCACCTCACTCTCGGCCAAGATGACTCCTCACTCTGTGCGCACAACTTGTCTCTTGCAAGATATCTTGGTTTTCCCATCCCATCGCCCACTTTAGTGTCACCTCCTTGAATTGATGAAGAAATGTCGGACTCCATCCCAGGCTCAACGCCTCCAGGCAAAAGCTCTGTTCGAACGTCGAGTCCAACGGCCCGGCGTAAACGGCAGAAGCAATCCTCCGCAGAAAATACTCCAAAATCCACCACAGTTTACTACAAGTCACTGGGCTATCCCCGTCTATTGATAGCGAGAGGCGTACAGCAGAGACCGTTGAACACTATTACCCGTGGCTAGCGAAGCGCTCTATAGTCAACGCTGCTATGCCTCTGCAACGCTAATGTTAAGTAAGTTCAAGTCCTTTACCAGGAGATCGCGATCTCTCTCCCTCGCTGCGTCTTGGGCCTTGCGGGTAGCCATGATCACTGAAAATAGCGCACGGCAGAACGATGGCCTGTCGAGTGTACATTCGGGCGACCTTAAGTCGCTGTGCCTTCGAGATATATACGCAGGATGCGCTGCCGACTTCACGTCGCGCGGGTACAGGGGTACTTTGTGTGCTTTCTCTCCTGCGTCTAGGAGAACTCCACACAGAAGACGGTCTTGACGGGGAGCTATCGAAGTCAAGCCGCGATGAGTCTAGTGGACAGTTGAAGCACTTGAAGATAGTACGCTGTGCTTCATCAGCCGAACGGTTAAGGTCGATGATGCTGTTATCCCGTACGTGCCTCCTCCCAAGCCCCAGGCAGGTAGAAAGGCCGGACCTAACAAATATGGTAGTGGGTATGTCTATGCATCCCTTCCTAGGGTCCTCCTTGACCATATCATCAACGAGGCTGCTGTACTGGGCATCCTGGGCTCGCCAGCAATAACATGGTATCCGTGTACAGCAGCCTCGTTGATGATATGGTCAAGGAGGACCCTAGGAAGGGATGCATAGACATACCCACTACCATATTTGTTAGGTCCGGCCTTTCTACCTGCCTGGGGCTTGGGAGGAGGCACGTACGGGATAACAGCATCATCGACCTTAAGATATTGGGATTCCTGACCGTCCCAGTTGAAGGTCATCTTAACATCGAAATATCTCTGAGGAACCTTGTCACGCAGCTCCGTGCGGGTGAACTCACTAGTATTGTCTGCCACGGGACCTTTACTTGTATCTGGATAGGACGCAGCGCGATAGATATCCTCAACTCGGTCTAGGTGTAGTGGCAAAGCAGTTAGGTGCTCCGGACAAGACGCAGATGCCAAACATAGAGAGTGACTCTATACAAATGATGTTGGAGTATAACATGAATGATAGCAAGATAACATCGATGCTATGGAAGATGACCGGAGCTGACCATGATATTCCTAACATGGCATGTGTATCTTGCTCTCCAGTATACGATTGCATAGCAATCCTTTCAAAAGCCAACAGAATACCGCACGATGATAGCACAACTCGAGGACCGCCCAGCGAATTGGCAGGACCTTCCAAGCAGAACCCTGAATTCCTTCAACGTGATCCTTCAGATTGACGGAAATGAGGGCAGTATTCAAAAAGGCATTGTCCCTATCCTGATGAACTACGCTGGGTTGATGTTAAACGCAGAAACACTGGTCATAATAGACATACCATTCAGCAAAAGTGTCAGCTCCCCGTCCACGCTCCACTCCACGAAAGTTTAAAGAACATCTCAGCTCCATACCCTAACGTCTCTGTTGGTCTCCGTCGAAGCCAGTTCACGGATTGCAAGCAAGCCATTTTCAAGATCTGCCAATTTTCTTTGAATTCAATTCAGATTCAGTTCAGATTCAGTTCAGATTCAATTCACTTTAGAAGTCCCTATACCTATATAGTGAGTCCTATATTATACGTATTGTGATAGAAGGCTTCTTCCGTCTAAGAAGGGAGTAAGATCCGATTGCCCCCAACCATGTATAATAGTACATGGGTAGCTTCTGGCCCAGGCAAGGGCAAATTCGGTTTAGGCGCATCTATCAAAGGATACCGCTGCATCGTCAACCCACTAATGTGGGCAACCGAAGTAAGGAAAGCCCGATTCAACCTCATCAATGATGATGACATGGCTGCAAAAAGCTACACTATGACGGATAGTCCTCAGTATCGTCTAGATGGGATCAAGATTCCGTTCGGCAATTGTGCTGAGGTATATCCGCTCCTCAAGGTCCTTAAGTGAGTCTACCCACAGCCTTAGGGCATACTCTATACTGACCAGATAGGGGCAACACCAACTCCGCCGCAGTCCACGGGATTGCGTTACGGAACCGTGGGGTCATTCCAGCATACGAGGACAATCTGTCAGGAGCAGTGTGGAAAAATGTGAGAGCTTTGTGCACGAATTGTGAAGAGTTAGTGCATATGTGGGGCGGCTTGGTTGCCAACTTTGATCCGTTAGCTGATACTGATGGGGTACCGCCATAATGTTTCATTTAGTCAGGGTGGTCTAGCGTGGGTATTGCGCTGAGAATTGTTATACTGATAGTCGACTCCTCATTTCCTCCGTGAATCGAAGCTCAACATGTTCACTTAGGAGTTATTGTTCTAAGCAATCATCCCCAAGTCGTTATCACCTCGACCCCAATAAATGATAGGCTAAGCCTACAACGTCCAACGATGCACATTCAAAGGGCTTGGAACGCCCCCAAAACGAATCATCCACTACCCTATTGATCCGTCTGCGCTGCGATGCATTTGCACTATATCACTGCGGCTTTGAGTCCTAGAACTGCTGGGGTAACCTCTTGGCTGGCCCTTTGGTAGTCACCGACAACCCTGCCAACGACCTGGGAATACCCGAGCAACACAATAGCAGTATAATGGCAATACACTGGTAGCACGTCGGCAAGTGCACTTACATCTACTGCAGCAAGATGTAGAGATAATGGTAAAAGAGCACTGTTCTCTCGATATAACTTGGCAACTACTTAAGCCGAATCCTCTCATCCGAGGACCTCCTTGAAACCGTCTAAAACTTGCTACATCCCCGTCATGTTGGTGTCAAAGCTCTCCTGCATCGCCTGGATTCTGGCTTCAATGCGCGGGATCATTCTCCCAACAACACTTTGCTTAAAACTAGGTGGTTTTTGCTAGCATTGTTTGCTTGCTTATCACCCCGCCAACAGAGTTTTCTTCCCACAGCACCTCTCTCATCTGCACAACCTGCAGATCATCTATCTGCATTGTTTTTCACCCTCGAAATCATCGTTCTCATCTATTCGTCATCACCATTGTTCTCAGTGTTGAGGTCTACAGGTAAGTAGATGAAGCCACAATGTACCTAGGTATGTTTAAGATATGTAAATTCAATCTTTACCACTGCCACCTTCGCACCCCAAAACCAGCTTTGTCACATCATACCAAGACGCTGGAATCATTGGTTCCTCTCGACTTCTGCCATAGCGCGATCCTGGTCGGCGAGGACTTTTTGGACCGAGGGTCTCGTCTTCATCCTCTCCATCCACGCACCCACGTGAGGGAACTTCTCGTAGATATCTTCGCCACCATAGCGAGGGGCCCATCGCTGCCAGGCAATGAAAGACAGATCAGCGTATGTACACTTGTCACCGACCAACCATTCTCGAGTTTTCAAGACTGATTCAAGCACTTCGGTAACTCTGTGTATTTCGTTGACGTATCGATCAATGGCACTTTGGATTTTCTCCGGGTGGAAATTTTTGAACCACGACGCCTGACCGTAGTATGGCGCCTGGCCTGAGACTTGAAAGAACAGCCATTGTTTCAACTGCCAATGCTCTGAAGAAGTGTTGTAGCTAATACGGTGGTCTTTGTCGTACGTCTCGCTGAGATATTCAACAATCGCTCCTGACTCCCAAATTTGGAGGCCGGTGTTGGGATCATCGATGGTGGGGAGGCGGCCATTTGGGTTGAGTTTGACATAGGGATCTTTTTTGACTTCGGAAAAGTCGACAAACTGTGTTTTGTATGGGATGTTCAGTTCCTCGAGGATGAGAGCCACCTTCCAGGGGTTTGGGCCGTATTGGTGCGAGTAGAGGGTGATTGGCTGCATTTTGAAAAGGAGGAATGGCTTGAGACAAGACAACAAACTCGGACTCTTGGGGCTTGGGAGGAATCAAAGGCGCAATGGAAGATTCTATTCTACTTATATTGATATAAAGGCACATACAATGTGATTAGAAAAAGGACACCAATGCCGAGAGTGCCCACCGAAGGCCGGGAGTTTGATCTCGGGGTCTGGTCCTTTCAAAACATTAGTCGTAACGGAGAATCTGGGTTCATTCACCGTTATCGTCAAAACTACACGCCTTAAGGGTGTCAAGTCTGTCGGAGGCTGCCTACCGGATTAGTGTCAGCCCCTTCACGGCTTGCCCGCACACAGGCTTCGGGGAGGCTCCAAATCCGATCAGGAAGTGGTATACGACACATGTATATCCAGACATATAACTAGTTAGTTATATACTTGTGTTAACCTGTTTAAGTAACTCCTACTTGGGTTAGAGATGTTTCCTGACCCTATCCGAGACGCTTTCTCATAGCCTTTATCCAATCGGGCGAGACTCACTTGGATTGGTTCCCACCATGATCTGATTGCCATCTTGCTCCGTTCTCGCTCAGACACCGAACACCGCGCAGGTTCCGGCAAGTGGAAATATTCTTCAACGTCAAGTCGAGGTGGATGACATTGATCTTATCCAATGGCTGGACTTTGCATTTTCTGTTTCTTTTAGTAGTTACTCCGGGAAGAAGTCTTTGAGACCTGGCCGAGAAAAACGCCACCGGAGAATCGGTGTTTGGTAGTGAGCGCATGATATTCTGAAGACGATCACCGGTGTTTCCTGCTCGTTTCCTTGATCTGTTATATTTACTTATATAGTCGGCCGATGCTAGCTTTTTTTTCTTTCTTTTTCTAGCAGGAAGGCGATATGATTTAACGCGAGGTCTAAGGCAGAAGGTTCAACCACCATTGTCACAGTTTGGGAATCCGATTCAGACTCAACCAAGCTAAATCGACAGACTTGAAGGCTAACCTGAAGACTAGATAGAATGCATAGGATGTACACAATTATTTTAATTAGATAGAAATGATTATAGCAAACTGCAACTAGCAAAAAGCGCGGAGTCGGGGTAGGGATTTTGGTTTAGGCTGCTGTTGTGACGGACACCTGATTGATCAGGCATAATTGTTAGGCACCCCACATAAGTAGCGCTCTCTGCATGTTTGTAGAAATTGACCTTTCTCTCTCTCTCTCTGGGCTCAGTAGCTTCACCAGCTTCCAATAGCGAGAAAGTAAACTATGCTGTAGAGAGGCAAACTTAACATTGCTAGCCATATTAGTTATTGGCGTGTTTATAAAATAATGTTAAAAGAAACTGGAAAGAGCACAGCGACAGTAAACATGGTGGATATTGTCCCTAGATTATCAGCCACTTTATGGCTCTATTGGTTCTCATCATTACTTCAGTCACCAAGAAAACTTGTATAAGTTGGCAGATGGCAAACCGGCTTCCAGAAATGGCCGCAAGTGAGGCCCTTTTAGGCTGTTTGTTGCTTTGCTGAATTTCATCCCACACACCCCCTACTTCCGCCCATGCCCAATTTTTCTATCATTCCTAAGGGCGTCGCGCCTATGTCTTTGGTCTCCACACTATACCCACCATTGGGCGGAAAGACTAAATTTACTACTATAACGCCTCGTCCGCCAATAACAACACCAAAGCACAGCCAACTCCTTAGTTCCATTTATATCTACCCGCGACTTTGGCGTAAGCGCCTCGACGAGTTTGGCATCTGACACAGCGAGCTATGAAAGGCAAGCAGTGCCTATTGGTGCATAATCATGCGACTAGGTGCATTTATGCATTCTTCGCGCTCTCCTCCTTATGCCATGGGATTATCCCACGTGACTCTACACGAGTCAGGCTGGTGCGGCTGAGCGAGAGGGGGCGCTGTCTTTGTTTTCGATAACAGTTCACGAGTGAAACTTCAATCCCGGCTTACGTCTAACCATGACAAGAACAGAACTCGTGAATGATATGAAACTCGACGCCGAGGTTCACCCCGACGGCACCTCACACCCCACCTTTCAACCCGACTACGCCCAAGGAACCACTGGTAAGGTCGAAATATGGAAGAGAGGGAAGAAACTTGGCGCAGGGACATTCGGGACAGTCTGGATTGAAAAATGTGTACCAAGTGAAGGCCCGGCTAGGGTGCGAGCTGTGAAGGTGATCAAGAAGTCATCGGATCCTTCCAAACAGATCTACTGTGATCAAGAACTCGAGGCTATGGCGAAGTTTTCTCGACCAAGAGTGGGTACTATGCTCAAATCACCTCATTCTGTGGATGTTGACATCGATTAGTATTCAGGGTTGTTCGTGGAATGCCTGGGGTGGTTCGAGGATCAGCAATTCATCTTCATTGCCATGGAACATATGGAGCTGGGAGATCTTCAACATTGTCTCGACAACCCATTACCGGAAAATGAAGCACGGCAAATCTGTGCCCAACTTCTACGGGGTATTCAATGCCTGCACGACAATCAATTTGTCCATCGAGATCTTAAACCCGGGGTATGTTCCCTAGGACTGACTGGGTCAGATTAGGTCGCAAAGTCGCTGACTATATAAGAACGTCTTAGTCGTGAACAAGGGGCCTAATTGGCACGTTAAAATTGGCGATTTCGGCGTCAGCAAGCGCTACGAAAGGGCCTCCTTGCAATCGAAGGTGGGCACTCCGCTTTATCAAGCACCCGAATTACGGGGATTATACCCTCCTGGTATGAGCTTGCAGAAACTCCGTCTGTACACTCATCGGGTTGATATTTGGTCACTGGGCGTGATGGTGTTCTATCTCCTTTGCCACGACTATCCATTCCCGAGCGATAACAGCCTCTCGTTATACGTCCAGACTTCCAACTTCCCGCCCTACCGCAAACTTCGGTCTGTAACCCAGGAGGGCCAAAGATTTCTCGAATGTCTTTTGGCTGCAGATGCAACAGAGCGGTTGTCGGCCAAAGAAGCTCTCCAAGACGGATGGTTGAAACAACCATCCTTCGACCTGGTCTCGGGAATTTCTATGGGCCTTTCTGAAACAGTGGGTTCAAATCCAATAGGAACTGCTCTGGAAGCTTCGAGAGGCTGGGATGACGGAGAAGTTTCTTCCGCAATAGTTGACGACCAAACAAGCTGGGCCGGACGGAGGCCACAGAGAAAATCCACAGGCCTACAGCAATCCAAATCTGCGAGACAGACTCCGATCTCTGGCCTGCCGGATGACTTGAATACGGTTCATAACAAAGGGTTGTCGTTACTGAGACGAAAGAAGCATGCAGACGCTCAGAAAGTGCTCCAGAAGGCTTTTGAATTGCGCGAACATGCTTTGGGTGCCTATCACGAAGACACTCTGGCCTGTCTTCATTCGTTAGGCAATGCTCTTAACTGTCAACGTAAGAATATCGAAGCCGAACTCGCGTACCGGGACGCCTGGGTAGGACGGAAGCGGGTTTTGGGAGAAGCCCATGAAGACACGCTGGCCTCCCTTTATAGATTAGGCGATGTTCTTCACAAACAAAATAAGTATACCGAAGCCGAAAGTATATACCGGGACGTCTGGAAAGAGCGGAAGCGGGCCTTGGGAGAAGCCCATGAAGGCACGCTGGCCTCCCTTCATAGATTAGGCAATGCTCTTAACTGTCAACATAAGGATGCCGAAGCCGAACTCGCGTACCGGGACGCCTGGGAAGGGCGGAAGCGGGCTTTAGGAGAAGCCCATGAAGACACGCTGGCCTCCCTTCATTACTTGGGCAATGCTCTTCGCTATCAAAATAAGTATGCCGAAGCCGAACTCGCGTACCGGGACGCCTGGGAAGGGCGGAAGCGGGCTTTAGGAGAAGCCCATGAAGACACGCTGGCCTCTCTTCGTGAATTAGGCGATGCTCTTACCGACCAGGAAAAGCATGCTGACGCCGAGGAACTATACAGGCAAGCCCGGAAGGCATGCAGAGAAGCGCTTGGAGCAAAAGATGAGACAACCCTTGGGTTACTTCATAACCTAGCCAGAGCACTTGACCTCCAGGGAAAGCATACTCAAGCCGAAGCGTTATTTCGGCAGGCCTGGGAGGGGCGTAAAGAAACGCTTGGAGTCGACGATTTTAGTACACTACAGTCTCTTGACCACCTGAGTATGAATCTCATTTTGCAACACAAGTGGTCCAAAGCAAAAGCATTACAACGTCAGGTTTACATGGGTTACGGGGAAATGTTTGGAGCAAGCCACCCGACAACCCTCAGGTCTCTTCACACCCTAGGCCTAATTCTTAAATCTCAGAGAAAGTACGCCGAGGCTTATATTGTACTCCGAAAAGCCTGGAAAGGGCGCAGTGAAGCCATTGGTGCAAACCACGAAGATACACTGGAATCTCTGGGTTACCTACGCGATGTTGCTCGTTCCAGTTCACCATTAACGACACGCAAGCCCAACCGCTTTAGTCGATTTTTCCAATAATGCACCGTCATCTTGTCCGCAATGCATAGGTCCCCCCTTCTACCGTGACAACTGTCATTCGCGGTGAAAGGTCCAATCTCCTGTACTCATTTCCATCGAATGACACGCTGTATTGAATGGTTCAATTGATCTTTTTATTTCCCTTTGGAAGTCATGTCGCGGATTGGAAATATCAAATACTTGAGGAACGATGGCCCATACTTCCTTGACTGCCTATTTTGGACGACACTAGGTTTTTTTGGCAGCTTGGATTTGTTGAGCTCTGAGTTGCCAGGAACACGATACTCTTTTTGAGGGATGGGTAGAAGAGATGACTGGCAATTCTCCCAATTCTTTTATAGCTTTCTAGGCCTGCAATTCATTTGATCTTGCCCATCTTCTTTGCTCAACAAAAGGTATGAATGGCGAAATGGAGATAAGGCCTATGTGTGAGAGATGCATATATTAATCCAGGGCGTCAGGATGAGCTTTTGGTCAATGATGAACAAATCATGGGAGATGAGAATGTGTAAGATAAAGAGTTGCGGACAGTGTTATTTATAGGTAGAGATATATGATCCCTTTGTTAGTCTGCATCCGAGTCACCACAGCAAAGTACATTTGGCAAGCAGTGCCTATTGGTGGAATATCATGCGGCTATAGTAGCTGCAGGGCACTTGGCTCTCATGTGATCCTCGACGTGTCAACCTAGTGAGGCTGAGCGAGGGCGCTATATCCCTCAAAAGAAATCCTTAGCTTTCTAAGCTTCATCGAATACTGAAGATCAAGGAGCATACCCATTAATATACCATGAGCGGCTTAGAGATTGGGCTTGCTTTGCCCGGTATCATTGATTTATGTTTAAGGTACGTGGTTATAGTATATACAGGCCACTGCGCATCGCCCCGTGCTAATGTTCTTCAGATACGGAAAGGCCATTGTGACCGCATACAAGGATTTCAAACATGCCAATGAAGAGGTCGAAGAGCGGAAACTTGCTATCGACGCTGCTTGGGCCAAAACATCAGAACAATTAGCCTTCCTACGTCGTGTGTGGGATAGACTTAGCGAGAACTACCGGGATCTCCAGAGCCGCATGCTTCGTCATTTCGAGAAAAAGCTAGAGGCCGCTGTGAGGGAGCTCAGCAAACTTGACAATCAGGCCGCTAAGAGCGGAAGTCGGCTGTTAGGAAAGTCGAAAGCAGCGAAATATGCTTTGTTGAAAAAGGAATCGCTGGATAGGGCAATCCAGAATCTGCGAGTGTGGCAAAATGAGTTCGATACGACGTGGTACTTGGTTTTGCTAATGGCCGATGAGGCTATTGACAAAGCGTTGGTCAAGCGCATAGGAACCGAGAAGTTATCTGTTGCTAGGCATGTACGGAGCGCGTTACGACCAGAGCTACAACGAGAGACTACAATTTTCCTTTCCGGAAGCAAGCTTCAGTCTGCTAGACGTTCTGAAATTCCATATTCAACATCAGAAGTCATCGAGATCGCGGGCGTCGGTACGTTTATCTTAGATTCTGCGGACTGTTCGTCTAGAAAAGACGCCACCACATTCTCAAAGAATGTCCGAAGCCTAGCTATGAGACTTCAACAGGTCGATGCGAATGGATTTCATCTGCTTAAATGCCATGGCGTGGCTCGCATAACGGACCCAAGCACTAAGCAGTTGCTCTCATTCGACTTCATCTTCAACTTCCCCCAAGGATATCAGAAACCCCAGAGCCTTCGGAGCCACCTTCTCTCCCGAGCAACCCATTCTCTTAGTGACAGGTTCAGCCTTGCTAAGCAGCTTGCCACATCAGTCAGCTACATCCATGTCCTAGAATTTGTGCATAAGAATATTCGCCCAGAGACTATTTTGATTTTCGAAGGCGCTGGACCCCATCTAGGCCTATTATACCTGCTAGGATTCAGAGCATTTCGCATGGCTGAAAACAAAACATTACGACTGGGCAACTCCATTTGGTCTGAGAACATTTACCAACATCCTGATCGACAAGGAAGCAATCCCCGCGTGGACTATGTCATGCAGCATGATATATACAGCCTCGGTGTATGCCTCCTCGAGATAGGACTTTGGGATTCACTCGTGAGTAGCGAAGGAGACGCAAATGTTTCGCTACTAGCTGGTGTCAACTGTGATCCTTCGGCCTTCAATAGAGACAGTTCGCTTAAAGATCACTTTATGACGTTGGCGAAGAAACAGCTACCGATCAGGATGGGAGAGATGTACACGCAGGTCGTTGTTAACTGTCTAACTTGCATGGATCAAACGAACGAAGATTTTGGCGATGAGAGCGAGTTTGAGGATGGTGACGGCATCCTGATTGGGGTTAAATACATTGAGAAGGTATAGTACTGTCCATTCCTTGTATGGATGTAACGAGAGAAATTCAGCGGGACTAACGACTAAACAGATTCTTCTTTTGCTCGGTGAAATAACGGTCTAATTATATGGGAGGTCGCACATGTTGTTCGCCTGTGTGATTAATCTCATCGTCGTAGTTCTCGTGTACGAACCCTCGGCTTCCTCGAAGTCGAGATACTTCCTCCAGTTCATCAACTGGCCGAGGAAGCCAAAAAAAGAGTGACTGAAGGCAAATTTTGACTCTAAACCTATCCAAGCGCAGTATTGATTTATCCGATAGAAATCAATGAAATAATACTATTGTTGGATTTCTTACTCTGTAACTCAACTTTTAAAACTCTCTGCTCAATCAATCTCACATTGCACAATGCACTTCGACGTCCACCACGTAGACCTCTCCTAACAACTATCAACCATTTACCTCAGTTCCCTCAGCCTTTCCCCACTCTTTTCACCATCTGTTTCACCATCGCTTAGCAAATTCATTCGTTATTCTTCTGCAAGTATAATTCTTATTTTTTGTCTTGTTATATCTTTTTACTCCATCTTTTTATCGTTATCTACGAGAAATTAGAAACTCACCGCCGAAAGAGGAGAATTCAGCGGTAACAGCTACTCAACCCTGCATAGCAATCTTGTAATTATAATCTTCCCTTAGTTGGAAGCTTAAACCAACCTAAGAGAGACAACCCCAAATGCATCATGGTATTATGCTCAAAGGCCGTGGCCTATAAGAGAAGCCTGAGTATGTAGTCGAACAGATCTAAATCTAAACAGTGAATCTATGTAATCTATGTACTTTTTGGGAGAAGCGTCTTCCTTCAAGGTTCATCGCTGCCAAATCACGCATTATTGGCACAAGTCCAACTTTTGGAAACAGAGTCTTCGTGAATTGCGACTCCTGAAACCCATAATCCCAACCCGCACTAGAAAGGATTAACCACCATAAACAAAATCAAGCAGCAGAAAACTTACAATAGCAAAGGCAATGGCCAAGACGAAAACATTGACAATCGTCAAAACAGCCTTCTTCCAGTTCTGGAAGTAACGGCCTTTGTTCATATAGAACCAGAAGATCGCAGGGAGTCCGACTAATCAAAGTCAGTATTGTTTAGATCTGGAGAAATTCGATAATGGGTAGAGGGGGATCAATCTTACAGCTGAACCAACTTCCAAAGACCGCACTCTGTAATTTCTGCATCAGCCAACGCTCGGAGTCAAATTGAGATTGGATGAAAGACTTACAATTAGACTCAGTAGATCATTGAATACCGGGATGGATTCCGCCACGATCCAGGCAACAACCCACACTGCGAGACAGATACCGACCCAGGATCCAATCGACAGGAAGCTTCGGTTGTGCATCTTGTCGGATCCACGGAACATACGCACGTAAATGTATTTGCACGCGACGTGACCCAAGACAACTCCGGAAAGGATGGTCTGTATTGAATCAGTAAGGTGGATACGGAAAACAGGCGGATTAAAAGGTTAAACTCACCGTCGGGATTGAAATACCCCAGGCAATCTTGCTCATCAACGGGCTCAGGGAGAGAATGGCAGGGGATTGGACACCGGGGCTGGTGGCCGTTTCCGGTCCCACGTAATGATAGATGATCAGTGCACTAACAAGGTACAGGACGGTGTCGACGATTTGAAGCATGGCGAGTGACTTGTTGAATGTGCGTGGGTCTTCTGTCTCAGACATGAAGCCAAAGTACGCAACGTGAGCGACTATAAGATTGTCCTTGGATTAGCTCGGTTTACTTTGTTAGGTGCTGATGACTAGCATCATTTGGTGCTTCACGTACGGTAAGCGAAAACGATGTTTGTCACTGCCAAAAAGCCGTCGCGGAAGCTGACATCCGTGGTGGCTTCGTTCTTGATATGTCCTTTGCTCTCGACACCCACGGTGATCATGGTCAACACTGTCGCAACAAAGACACTCAAGAATGCTAGGTACCGATCAGTTGAGTTCTCCTCTGGGTTGAACAGTGTCATGACTGCACTGAATATGGACTATACTCACAGATGACAGACATCCAATAGACCTTGTCCATAGTACGAGGCAAAGCGCCCAAAAAGCAGATGATCAGTCCAACAACACCAAACACCAACGTGCAAGTACCGTGATCGGTCAATACATTCATCAAGATGTTGAACATCAGAATGTTACTCGCCATGAGGAAGATCAACAGCAGAAGCTGGCCGAGTCCCAGCAACTCACGGCCGAAAGGACCCATCAAGATCTCGCCGGCGTCTCCCATGCTGTGAACCTCGGGATGACGAAGTTTGAATTGGCCAATGACATAGCCGGTATACCATGAAAGAGCAGAGACAAACAGAATCATGATAGCAGCACTGTTCAAAAGTGTTAGTCATGGGGCCTCGAAAGCTATCAAAAGAATTACATACGGAACCATTCCAAGGGTAGCGACTGCGGATGGCAAAGACAGAATTCCAACAGAGACATTCTCAGCAATCATGACTGGAATTTGATGTTAGAAGTCGAAGCTTTCGATATGCATGATATCTCAAATTTAGCTACTCACGCATTCCACAGTGCCTGTTGGGAGGATGATTAGCCATGTCCATGATCGAATTCACAGTCTTTATGTAGACAATAATAACATACCACCATTTC